TAATCTGTGGTTCTAGTTGTTCTTGAATCCGTTGAGTGTTTTCACTTACTACGTGTCTGAGTTGTTTATGTTGTGTTTCATACGATTCCTGAATTTGACTTTTAATATTATTTAAATTAGTATTCATAGTCTGGCTCATCTTTTCCCTAATAATTTGATTTTGGGTATGGACTAGGTCATTTACTTCAGCTTTATGGGCATTTAGATCTGCTATCAGGTCCATTTTTAGATTATAGGAGCTTTCGGCAATTTGGGTAACTAATTTAGATTCAATTGATTTCATTTCCTCTGATTGTTTTTGTTGATTTTCCTTCACATAGTTTAATTCCAATTGTAGTTTATTTTGTGATTCAGTGATAGATTCAATTTTGGTGTCAAGGATTTTATAGTGGGTCTTTATTTCATCTTTAATGCTGGTTTCCAACGATATCATTTTATTATCCAAAGATTGGAATAGCGTTTGAATTTGGGTCATAAAGTCGGGTTTCGGGTCGGGTAGTTGAGTGACGGTGCTTGTTGTAGCATTTTGAGAAGCTCGCTGTGATTGATCGTCATGAAACTGTGTTGTGATTGGCTGTTGTGTTTCTGTTGCCGTCGTAAGGAACGTAGGCCTATCAGCTGTCATATTCATTCCCATCATTCCTTGTTCATCGTTCACCGGGACGTTGGTTTGGTCAGTAAAATTTGTTTGCTTTGAGGTTAGGGCTACAATTTCTGATGACTCGGAACCGTGGAATGATCGCTCGTCGAAGGATTTGTTTTCTGAGTGTGTTTGTTGTGATAATGTTTCAGGGCTTCTCGCTGTTAGTGTGCATGATTCATCTTCACTAATATCGCTGGTGTTAGTGTTTGTGTGAATTTCAATGTTGTTGTCGTCTTGATTATGATCGTCACTATCCCCGCTATTTTCGACTAGTTTCCTAGAGGGTTTAGGGTTTGGGCGTAAATTGTATTGACTCGTCATCTTGGATATCTTTAACTAACAGGTGACTAATAGGCTAATTATGAAAGGGGAAACAGGTGGGAATCTTAACTTAGATACCTTTGTAATAGTACAACACTCTTATAGGCTATTCTTAGTTTAACCTAAAAATCACTATTTCAAACACATGAGCTAGGCCTACTTGTATTATTAGCAAGGTTTGGTCAATAAGAGAGCCCCACTCGTTGCGGCGCCAATTGCAACCTCAGGGTTTTTTAGGTTCGTGCTTGTAACTCTCTTTTATTACCAATTTCCTTGCTAATAGCCTATTTTAATTTGAAACTTTTTTTTATGATAATAAAGTTAGCCTTTGATTTCTTTTTTTACTAAATAATTTTATATAGAATTTGGATAAGATTGTTCTAAAACAAAAGTCTTTACTTGAATCAAGAATATAGATTTTAACAGCTAGGAGGCTACTCGATCCACCTCAGAATTAGGCTAATGTTCTCAAATTGTCCAACACTTAAATAGAATTGTCTGTAATAATAAGATGGAGATTACCAAATTTCTTCCAAGTTTCCACATTTCTTCTTGTTTAAACTATTTGAAATAATTAGACTATTGGTTTAGCTTTTCACTTTTTACTAGAAAATATTATAATATAAAAATCATACAAACTAGTTTTTACACTTTCATCAGGCTAGTTCATGATAGAAGAAGGAAATCCAGTTGTTACTTAACACATGTTTTTCAGCAACAATATATTCAGGTCTTCTAGATCTTGATGTTCACTGTTACTTTTTAGTCACTTAGGCCAATTTATAGTATATGAAATTTAATTTGGGTAAATTACTTTTTGAGATTTGGTTTGGATATATATATTTATTTTTACTTTAGCTTGTGTTTGAAATAGATTTTAAACATAGTATATTTTAAATAGGCTTTTAGGCTTAATTGACTGGTAATAGGCTATTTATATATTATTTAATTATACAAAATTTTATGAACTGTTGCACTCGAGCTGGCAAAACCTCATATTTGGCCCTAGGTACGAAATATACTATTACACTAATGGTTTATTTTGCTTTATAAAAGATTGTAGTAACACTTCATAACACTTTGCTATATATAACCATAGATAAAAGGAGTATAATCTATGATATAACTCAAGATAAAATTGTTAAAATACTAATGATTGTGTGGTAAATTTCAGACTCTAATCTTCATATTTAATAAGAGAATGAATATTTTACTAGAATAGTCATTAATGTTTTTCCTATTAATTTCCCTACAATCAACCAGGAACCCAGGGGCGACTCAAGGAATCATTTTTGGGTAGGCTTGACAAGGATCTAGAAAGAGTTTGATTGGGTAACGAGAGGTTTGAAGGGCTTTCCCTGCAAAAAGGGGGGCATTTAAAAATTTAAATACAAAATTATTAGTTTTAATGGGGTCTCTTTATTTACATATAACTATTTTTTTTTACATTTTACTTATAATTTTGAAATATCTACCAAAATGTTGGGTAGGCCCGAGCCTACCTGGCCTACCCTCTGGAGCCGCCCCTGCAGGAACCTAAACAACTTCTTGGAATGAAACAAACTGCAATTAATTAAAATGTTGTGGTATTATTTACCATCTTAATTGACTTCAGAGTTTATTAAAACCTACCTTTAGGTCAATTTACAATGAGTTTTATTTGCACTTAAAATATCTAGGTTGTTTCTATGTACTCTAAGGATGTATATGTGATTTATCTTTTTCTTATTTTCTACAACAAGGTTGAAAAGAATTGACTTGTTACGTTCAATTACATCACTATTTACAACTCTTAACTTAATTACACTTTCTAAATTACCGGGAAAGTCTTGTAAAAATACAAACACAGGTTATTTAGAAAATTGTTTAATTGTTGTTCGAGGAAGTATGGTACACAATTAACTACTCAGGAAAAAATACTAAATACCGTACCTTAATTGTTGTAACTACTACAGGAAAATTCGGGATGAAAAACCAATTCCTAATACAATTTCAATGTATGAAAATCAAGAAAATCCATTCCTAAAACAAATGTTTGATGAAACCTTATTTGTAGAGGAGGGTAACCTCTTAAAATAACACCAGCTATCTTGCATTAGCCTATAATTTTCTACATAGTAAAAGTTGTTATTCCCTTTAACATAAATCTTAAGCTTGTGTTTGATACCTTTGACTATGTAGAACTAGACATTCCATTTGCAAGCAAATTAAGCATGTTGTTGTATCAATGCCAACAAGAGGCATTAACGAAATATTTTTAAACTTCAAAAGTGTCTTCGGAAACACTCATTTAATGTTAATCTAATAATCACGGTTTACAGACACCGATGATGAATGTGGACACTATGCGTACCTCCAGGACAACCAATCAATCAATCAATCAATCAATAAATCTTTATTCAATACATACAACAAGTGTACATGAATGTGTCATCAACCTAAAACTACTTCACATGATTTCACCTACTTCCCAACTTGCTTAGTCATACAGTTTTTTTTTGTTACAGTGTTCAAAACTTTCTAAACTATAAAATTCGCTATAAATTAAAAACCCCTTAAGTTTATTTTTGAATTTATTTACGCTACTTTCGTTTCTAATACTACTGGGGAGGGAATGCATGAATTTGATTCCAATATAATTAGGACTTTCCTTAAATTTTTCTTTTTTATGTTTTTTAGTTATGAAGTTTAGTTTGTTTCTAGTGTTATAATTATGTACGTCTTTCTGTCTTTGAAGTTCTGATTCATGATTTTTAACATACATTATCGTCTTATAAATATAGAGACTGAAAACGGTAAAGAACTCTAATTCTTTAAAATGATTTTTACAGGATTCGTTTATATCGAGATTAAGGATACACCTAATGGCTTCTTTTTGTAAATGTAAAATTTTGTTTAAATTGAATTTACTTGTTCCTCCATAAATTTCTATACCGTAAGAAATATGTGAGTGAATAGTAGCAAAGTAAACCTTTCTTAAGATTTCTCTGTTGCATAATGGATATAAGCGTCTAATAGCAAAAATACTTGAGCTGATTTTATTACATAAGTTGTCAACATGTGAGGTCCAATTAAGTGTGCTATTTAAGGTGAGGCCTAAAAATTTAGTTTCATAAACAAAATTGTTAAACAGTTCTTTTCTAGATTTTTTAGATTCAAACGCAATGAACGTTGTTTTATTTTCATTTAGTAAAAGATTTTTTTCATTCAAGTAATCTTTAATTATTGTGAGTGAATCATGAGTTTTATTTATAAGAAGCTCCATATTCTTATCATAAATCGACATACTTATGTCATCTGCATACAAGCACAGAGTATTATTTTCTACATGTTCAAATAAATGTTTTGGCATCCCTCCCAAGTAGCACAAGAACAAGAATGGGCCCAACACTGGGCCTTGTGGCACTGAGTATTTTACTGTCCTAACCTCAGATTTAATATGGTACATTTTATTCCCACTTAAATGAACAATGTTAACAAACTGCGTCCCTCCAGATAAGATTCAATCCAGCTTAACTCTTTGCCACCAATTCCATACATTTTAAGTTTATTTAGTAACTTTAAATGGTGCACGCTGTCAAATGCCTTGGACATATCCAAGTATGGTACACAATTAACTACTCAGGAAAAAATACTAAATACCGTACCTTAATTGTTGTAACTACTACAGGAAAATTCGGAATGAAAAACCAATTCCTAATACAATTTCAATGTCTGAAAATCAAGAAAATCCATTCCTAAAACAAATGTTTGATGAAATCTTATTTGTAGAGGAGGGTAACCTCTTAAAATAACACCAGCTATCTTGCATTAGCCTATAATTTTCTACATAGTAAAAGTTGTTATTCCCTTTAACATAAATCTTAAGCTTGTGTTTGATACCTTTGACTATGTAGAACTAGACATTCCATTTGCAAGCAAATTAAGCATGTTGTTGTATCAATGCCAACAAGAGGCATTAACGAAATATTTTTAAACTTCAAAAGTGTCTTCGGAAACACTCATTTAATGTTAATCTAATAATCACGGTTTACAGACACCGATGATGAATGTGGACACTATGCGTACCTCCAGGACAACCACACTTCTGTGTTGGGAATGCGGAATGTGGACAACATCCGACAGAACAGCGTGACTGTGAGATGCATTCCGCAAGCAGAGGCGGTTATGATGTTGGCTGCCGATGTTGGTACAAGGAAGCCTAAGTCTAGAGGCAACTCTCTGTTTGTTTATCCTGCACAGTGCAACTTCTCCGGAGTCAAATACCCATTGTCATGGGTACATAAGGTGCAGCAAGGAGCGTTGGACAATGGGAGGAGTCACAGGTTAGTATATAACATTAGGTTATAGCCTGGTTTGAATGTCACATCAGGCTTGAAGTATTGAGTTATAAGTGTTTGTGAACTATTTATAGTTCAAACAATAATATTTAACCTCTATCATTTGGAGGGATTTTATTTTGTAATTTTGAATAAGGTAGAGAGACATGAGAGAGACCACTATAGCTAATGATGGGGTAGTTAAATGTTGTAGTGCTGCCCTAACAATCAGGTTTCGGTTCGATCATGAGAAAACTAGTAGATTTTTAAACTGGACTCAGCTGTCTTTGATCATTGGGACACTAAATAAATAATCCATTCTATAATATCAGCTGATCTAAGCCAGTAACAAAGCTACACAGATCACAAAATCAGTTGTAAACATTCAGCTTTATCCCTGCATTCATATTTAGCTAAAAAATGTGCAAATAGTGAAAAAACATGGTGTGCTAATCCCGTCACCCAGATTGCAAACCAAATCACCTGATTGTATTGCCATATAGGTATATATTTGTTTTGATCTGATTATTATCGGTTTTATAATTTTTTCTAAATGGTGTTTGCAATTTGGGTGACGTCAGCATATGGCGGGAATAGCACACCTATGTTTTTTTCCTTCCACCATGGTCTGGAATGGTCCAACTTTGGCAAGCTTTAGTTGGATAAAATATTTAAATGGTCGTAGACTTGAGCATATGTAGGAAAATTGTAGAGCAAAATATTTTTCCAAAGAATGTTTTACTCCTTGTAAAAATTGATTTTAAATTGTAAAAAAATAAAAAAGAAAAAAAAATTACCTACTACCAAATCTTCAGACTGTATTTAAAATTGATCTGTGTTCTTTTGAATCTACACTGTTTTAATAAACTTTACGCAACACTACACTATTTTGACAAACTTCCCACGCAAGGATTTAGTCCAGAAAACAGCTGTTTGCTGCCAGCTTAATCAAATGGGGTTTCATTGCGTACTACTGTACTGTAATGAGTTTTACCGGACACCAATCAGCTGATTATACTGTATTTGGGTGGCAATGAGTGGTTATAAACAAATACCCCCGCCGCAGCAAACCTGCAGACTAAGCGAATTTCCATTTGACTGATTGGATTTACACTGAAATGTCTACTTAAAAATACCGGGTGTCCATAAAGTCTTTCCCTGATTATAAAGCTTTGTTGTGCGGACACCATCAATGCTACGCCGTACTTTTTTAGTTTTTCTGAAAGGGAATTTAATCAAGTTTTTGTTGGTATCACTTTAAATCCAGCTGATTTCCAACAATAACGTTACGTTCAACAAATAAACAAAACAGTAATACTGTAATGGCAAGTTTGCAAGAGAAATCACAGTGCGTCTTATGGTTTCATGAAACTCATTCCGCTGTTACAGTTCAAAGAAATTTTTTAAGAAACTTTTGGAAGGCCTCCACCTGATGTGAAGAGTATCAAGAGTTGGTATGCAAAGTTTCAGGAAAGAGGCAGAGTGTGTGATAAGGAAAGAACCGGTCGCCCGTGTGTTAATCAAGACACAGTTGATGCCGTGCGCCATGCATTTCGACAGAATCCTCGCAAATCAGTCCGAAAAGCTAGCCGAGAGCTACAAATTCAACGTTCTACTGTACACAAGATTTTGAAAAAAGAACTGAAATTCTTTGCTTATAAATTACAGGTTGTGCAAAAACTTGAGCAAAATGGCTTTCCTCTCCGAACTGAATTTGCAAATAACGTTCTGGATCGCTTGGAGCTGAATGAAAATTACCTTAAACGCATAGGTGTTTCTCAGACATAGCTACATTTCATGTCTGTGGGAAGGTAAACTGGCACAAATGTAGAATTTGGGGCAGTAAAAACCCCCGAGTTGTGATTGAACACGAAAGGGATAGCCCAAAAGTAAATGTGTGGTGTGGATTAATGCACGATAGGATCATTGGACCCTTCTTTTTTGCGGAAGCAAATGTGAATGGGTGGTCTTATTTGGACATGTTAGAGTTGTATGCAGTCCCTCAACTACAAGAACTTCAACCTGAGATCATTTTTCAACAAGATGGCGCTCCACCGCATTGGGCTAGATGTGTAAGAGATGTTTTAAATGCTACCTTCCCAGAGCGCTGGATTGGGCGTGGTGGGCCAACAAAATGGCCACCTCGTTCACCAGATTTGACCCCCCTGGATTTTTTCTTGTGGATGTTTGTAAAGGACATTGTTTATTCTAGCCCGGTAGCCGATTTGGAAACGGTCAAAAGAAGAATTACGAATGCTGTTATGTCTGTGACTGAAGATATACTGACTAAAACATGGAATGAAATCGAAAATCGCCTAGTTGATATTCAGGCCATTAGAGGTGCTCACGTGTAGAGGTGTACTAACATTGTATATAGTTGTAAAAAACTTAAGAAGTTGCTTGTTCTATCTGTAAATAAAACTTTGTTCTCCAATCATTGGTTTTCGTGTTATTCGGTTTCTTTATCAGGGAAAGACTTTATGGACACCCGGTACCGTATAACATTTATTCCCTATTTAAATAGAATTAGTTTAACAAGTACTTAGGTTTGCTGCATCAGGGAGGGTAAAACTGTTTTTTTTTTTGTAAATGTTAATATTTAGTAAGAAATAAAAACATTTTCCAAATTTGATCAAAATATGTTCATAAACAATCAAACTACAACAGTTTACTTATTCTCTATAAGAATAAAATGGGAATTTTAAATTTAAATTTTTTTGGAATTTACTCCGTAACCATTAGGCGCATAATAACACTTCAATATACTAAATTATTTGTTTTTTTAAGCTCTACAAAATGGTTTGGAAAGAAATTGCTAAATTTTATGTTTTTTGGGTCAAAAATGGGAAAAACCTATTTTTACCCCATAAAACCCCGTTCCCATGGTCCGATCAAGCTGGATCGCGAACTCGTTCAAATAAACGTAGGTTTACACGTTTGTACCAAATTTCATAAAAATCGGATCATTTTTGCTCGAGTTATCATGCTAACGGACACACATATATATATATATATATATAAATATATAAAGATATAAACATATAAATATATAAATATATATAAACATATAAATATATAAATATATAAATATATATATATGAATTTGAACGGATGGTGTTTTTGGCCTCTAGGGGCCTCAAAACAAAAAAAAAATCGGTCCCGCGTCCAGGTCTTACCATGAGTACTACGGTAATAGCTTATTCCCTATATGGGAAATTCGCTAAAACATAACCGCTCTTAGAGGTTATGACTATAGTTCGTCCGCTTATAAAACGACCTGCGCGCTAATGCTAAACCAATGGTGGAGGAGGTCGCTTTCTAAGCGGCCGAACTATAGTGATTTTTAGTACTTTAGTTAGTGGTAATATATAAGGATTTGTACAGATTTAGTAGTATAGCGTAAACTATCGTACGTAACTCGTCCAAAATGTGTGTACCGGACTCGTATGGTAATCCCGTTCGTTCGGTAAACACTTATTTTCAGGACTAGTAACGTAATATACTATTCCACAAAAAGATTTAGTCAGGAAATCAGCTGTTTGCTGCCTGTTTTATCAAATGGGATTTCATTACATACTATTGTAGAGTAATGAGTTTTTACCGGACACCAGCTGATTATATTTGGCAATGAGTGGTTATAAATCAAAAACATAACCCCTCTTAGAGGTTATGAGTACTGATTGTTAGTCCTTTAGTAGGTAGGAATTTGTATAATAGATGTGTATAGCATTTTATTGTTAGGTTAGTTTAGAGCAGTATGGCAAAAAATAACGTAAGCCACTCGTCCGAAATGTGTTTACAGGACTCGTATGGTAATCCTGCACTCGTCAAACAACCGTACTTGTCCGGTAAACACCTATTTTTCAGACTAATAACATAATACACTATTAAATTACAGGACTGAAGCTAGGTCTATTATATTCTAAACTTCAATAGAGTTAAATCATAATTTCACACTCATATAAGTCCAACTCCTTTATCTGTTTCCAGAATTTTATTTTCTGCAAGTTATTGTGTTAATCCTTGGTGTTTCCCACAGATGGTTCTGCCTACTGGACGCTGCCACTCTGGTGTCCACCAATACTCTAGACTTGTCCGCTGTGCGTCCGGACTTTGTGTGTCTCTCGTTCTACAAGATGTTTGGACTCCCCACGGGCCTGGGAGCGCTGCTGGTGCGCAACACCAGCACTCCTGTACTCCACAAGAGGTACTATGGAGGCGGCACGGTGCAGGTTGCTATGTCCTCCAAACCTGTGCACGTTTTGCGTCCTTCACTGCACGAGAGGTAAATATTGTTGTCTTTTTTCCACTGTTGAAATCTTTCTATTCAGAGAGAAAAGCTTGTAGAGAGAATAGCGTACAGTAGCCTATGTATATTTAAGTACGGACAACAAAAATCAAAATGGTCTGGGGGGATCCACTACATTCAACCTAGAACTAGAAGGCGTTATCATACAACAAAAAAAGGCAGTCAGGGTAAATTATTCTACCCTGAAAAAGAATTCATCTCATGATCTTAATATATGAAATGTTTCTGTACCCACTTGTAAATATGACACTGTACATGAGTTCAACGAATATGTTAATAAAGAATATTGTCTATTGTCTATTGATTAAAATGCTTTTTTTCTGAGTTGTTTGCTCAGGATAGTTGTGGTATGTGAATGATCAAGGTAAAATGGTTGATTATGATTATTAATTTTGAGTAACATGATGAATAATTTTTCTGAAAAAAATACATAAAAGTGATACAGTTGCATATACCAACAAGTACAACAGTATTGTAAAATAAAGTACATAAATCGCTGACAGAGAAAATATTTGTTATAGTGGAATTTGAAATCCAAAATCAAGGCAAAAATAGGTTTTACATAGCTCCATAAAATGGTCCAACTAAATGCTCCAATTAAATTGCTTAGTAGCTTACATGTTTTGTGGCAAAGGCAACATTGTCAAAGCTTGCAAATCATCATAAACACAATTGAAACAAACACAACACGAACATAAAAGCTATAGGATTACACAAACTTTTAGATAGCCCTATCATATTACTAAATTGGTCTGGAGGGACACGGGGTTGGTAGAAGACTGGAAAACTAAGTAACGTTGTCTCCTCTCCTTTTTTATCACTGATGTTATCAGGCCTTCAGTCGGCTGTTTTTGAATGTAGAATAAATAGTATTGAAGATCAAGTGATGCCTTTTTTTTATTTTGAGAATGAATTTTGAAACATGTAAGCTTCTGAGCTTCTGATTTAATCGTTGGACTATTTGATGAAGGTATGTAAACCCAATTTTTGTTGTCTTGTCCAAAATTAAGGTCTCTAAAACAGATGCAGGCCTATTTTGAGACATCACATCCCATCTAAATGGAAACCTTTATAAGACACACAGTAACAATACTTAAAGCACTAAAGCATGTATTTTAACACTGACAGACAATAGCAACTTACGGTTAAACAAGTTTATATTTATTCCTATCTCACGTTGACAGGTTTGAAGACGGAACTATCAACTACTTATCCATCATCGCAGTCCGCCACGGGCTGGATTGGTGGCAGAAAGTGGGTCTGACCGAGACATTGTTGTCTAACCACTGTTTCCGTCTGGCTCGCTACACTCACATGAGGTTGCGCCAACTCCATCACGCCAACAACCGAGCGGCCGTCTGTCTTTACGCGGACACTGCCTACGACGACCCCAGCACGCAAGGTGGCATTGTCAACTTCAATATGGTCAGAGACAATGGCCAGTTTGTGGGGTGCATAGAGGTAAGCTGATTATAATAACTAGTAGGCCTAACTCATTTTATGTTGAATTATATTAATTTTTTTTAAATACTTACTACGCTAAACTTTTATTCATTGAAATTTAACTTATCATATTGTTATTGTTTTACACTCAAGATACCATTACAAAACTATTTTTTTTATTACTTAGAAAAGAACATGGCTTTCATTAGTTTTAGCAGGATTTTATCTTATTTGTTGTTTTTTATAATGGTAACTTTTACTTGATGTCAGTAGTAATTTTGAGTTGTGTAAATTTATTAGTTATAGTATTTTTTTAAATTTTTATTATGACGACACTCCTATCCTTGTATGTTGTACTTTTTAAGATGTTAAAGAGTAAATAAAGAATTTGAATTTGATAAGTTCTGGTATTTGTAGTAAACATTAAATAAAACTTTAGTTTTTGTTTTAAATTTCCAAGATTTCTTATAAACTGTAAGTTAATGTTCTGATAGCATTGTTTGAAACCAAAATCTCATAAAATCGAAAGACATCTAGTTCACAATGTAATATTGAATTTAGCCTTGATTTAGTTGGATAAGGTTATCGTAATATAGCATCTTTAGGGAAAATAATTTTTTGCAGCAAAGCCTCAGTAACACAATTTATTATCACTGTTGTGGTTGAACTGAAAAATATCATCTAAATAGTCCATGACTGACTAGTGCTGCTACCTAGAAACGCATTGAACAACCTGCTATAGCGCTATCTGTTTGCAATCGCCGGCGTCAGCTTAAATACCTGTTTTTGACTCCTCAGTCTTCAAGCACAGATAGCCGAGAAGGCTAGGGCGTGTGTCACTTGGCCAGTGGCATTTGTCTGCTCGAGTTCGATTCCCGTTCTGTGTGGCAAATGATTGGTGACCTGTGTGTTTGTAGTGATATACTACAACCACTGGGGCATAGTAGGGTGTTCATAATCCTTGGTTTAGACATACATCTCGAATCATCGGATTGGGCGAATCTTTTAGCTAAGTGGTTGTTAGTATATCCTATGAACATGCAGGTCCCTTTTGAACACCAATGTTCCTTTTGCTACATTTTGTTAAAATGACCTTCCTCTCTATATCCCTTAGAGATTTAAAAAAAACATGCAAAAAAAGCATAGCATTGAAAGAGTTAATTGGCATCTTAGCTATTATTTTAAAAGAAATGTTCTTTTCGAAGTAATAAAAAATATGGTTTTGTAATTGTATCATGAGTATAAAACAACAACAATATGATAAGTTAAATTTTAATGAATAAAAGTTTAGTGTAGTACCGGTAAGTATTTTAAAAATAATTAATATAATTCAACATAAAATGAGTTGCTAGTTACTATTAACATAAAATTATTCCATGATATTACTTAAGAGTCATTATCTCATGGTATTTGTTTCAGGTGCTGAATCTAGCGAATCTCCATGGAATACACTTACGTACAGGATGTTTCTGTAACCCTGGAGCTTGTCAGAGACATTTAGGCATGACTGATGAACAATACTACGCAAACTTTGAGGTAAATAGCTGGGTAGCTGAGAGGATTTAATGCTAGAAGGTTCAATTCCAATAAAAGTCCAAATATATTTTAACAGTTTGGAACTGGACCCAGCTGTCCTTAAGCATTGGGCTTTTGAAAAATGATCCTAGCTAAAGAAACAAATTAGTCAGTAACAAGGCTACACTGATCATGTAAGTCATTCTACACTCATTCTGCATTTACTTAGCTTTAAACACCTACACAAAGAACATCACTGTCTTGATTGATAGGAACTAGGAAGGGACTTTTTGGTCCAGACACGTCAACTACAGCTTGTAGAGTGCAGCTTGAAGCTGTCATCAAATCTCAGGTTTGTTCATTTTTTATACAACATTTTTTTAATTAAATTATTATTGTTACCTTACAATATCCGTTTAGTGTTGGTAGATAAACAACTACATGTTTCGTGGCGACTGCCACATCCTCAGGTATCCTCTTCTCAGATTCGTCATCAATTTAAAATATAAAAAACAGAACACACGTAGAAAAACACATTACATTTACTTTGGTACCGTCACGGTGCGTGCACGCGTTTCGAAACAATTTTACAAAATTTTTTTGTAAAAAAAGTTTTGCTACCGTGGATGGCCACCTTGTTTCTAAGATTTTGAGAGCTTTTGAGGAGTCGAGCTTTGCTCGGATCACAGCTTGTGATCTGAGGAAAGCATTCGACTGTATTGATCATAACAGACACCAAGCTGGAGTACTATGGCATCCAGTACTAAGTATCCAGCTTAAGTTTTTTTATTCATTCCTGAGAGAGAGAACTCAATTCTTTGATGCAGGAGGCAAGGTCAAGCTGCTTAAATGTTAGCTCAGGTGTGCCACAGGGCTTGATTAAGGTCCCTTCTTTTTATCACAGTAACCTACCAGCCAACATAAAAAGATCTTCCACCATCACTTTTGCGGACGACACCAATTTGTTTAGGGTTCATTCCAACTTTTATAATCTCATGTCAGTAACTGAGCTCACAACTGATTCAGCTTATATGTGGTTTAATGCTAACAGCGTTTGTCTTAATAAGAATAAAACTCAAAATCTTTTGTGTAGTCTTAAAAACATTCTAGTAGAGTCACGGAATGTAGACAATGAAAATGTCATTACAGTTCAAGGAATAAAAATTGATAAATGTTTAAGCTAAGGTCTTCTCAGATAGATTCAGTTTGTGCAAGATTATAGAGTAATCTATTTGCTTAGAAATCTTATGGGTGTTGTACCTGAAACCTACATAAGGGTAGCCTACTTTGCATTTTTCCAATCCATAATTAGCTACGGCTTGATTCTTTGGGGAAATAGCAGTCACATAAGTGAAGTGTTAATACTCCAGAAGAAGGTAGTAAGAATTATAAACAAAACTCCAATTGGAGAGCATTGCAAGCAATTGTTTACAAGAAGTAGAATTTTGACCGTGATAAATCTGTACATATTTATGTGTTTACTTAGGGTTAAGAAAAATATAAATTCCATGTATATAGGTTTAATATTTTTTATTCACAACCCACATAATCAGTTCCTTTTAGACGTGCCTTATTGTAGGTTAAGTAAATGTAAAAATAGTTACCATGATACTTCATTAAGATTATTTAATAAGCTTAGTACCTTACCTTACCTATTAGGCCACTCAAACCTCAGAAGGTTTTTGGCCTCGCCAAAAATGCCTCGCCATCTCACTCTGTCTTGCATCCATTGAGCCTCTGCCCCCAATCTTCTCAAGTCCTTTTCCACTTTGTCCTTCCAGCGAAGCCGTGGTCGTCCCAAGGGCCGCTTTCCTCTTGGTAGCCCTTCATTTATCGCTTTAACTGTTGCATTTTGTTCTCTTCTTGCGATATGGCCTGCCCACCTGAGTCTTCTGCTTTTGATTTGGGCTATTATGTCCGGGTCTCTGTATAGCTCTCGAATCTCTTTATTAGTGAGTATTCTCCACTAATAAGCTCAGTATCAATGCCAAAAAATTAGATTTTAAGTCATTTAAAAAAGAGCTCAGGATTGGTCACTACTAAATCCTTTTTATGACATAGAAGAATATTTTAAGATGGACAATGTTAACTTTTAATGCCTTCACTTTTCCACATTCTTTTTTTATATATGTAAGCATGAATAAGTAAAGCCTATTTTGACTTGTTTTTAGGCTTGTTTTGTCTTGCCTAAAACATAGGCTGTTAATGTAATAGCTCAATTGTTATTGACTTTCGTCTATTGTATTTGTTGTAAATGTTGAAGGATAATAAAACGTTTCCGATTTCTTCACAAAACATAGCGTTGATGTTTTGTCCTAATGTTTTCACTGATTTTTTATTTGGTTCGATTTGATTTATGGATCATTACTCATTAGCTCTTGATGATTGTTATACTATGTTGTTTGTTGCTGTAGGCTGGCCATGTGTGTGGAGATGACAAGGATCTAATCAATGGCCGACCTACAGGCTCAGTCAGAGTGTCATTTGGTTCCCACTCTAGACAGAGCGACGTAGATCGGCTACTCAAACTGCTCATCGACTGCTTTGTCACCAAACCTGCAGTCATACGGGTAATATGCTTAAGATGGTAGAAAAAATACATGGTTGACTATTTTAGGTAATTTAACTGATTTAAAACTTCTTTTGATAGGTAATGCATATTTATTGTCAAATTTAACTAATAAACGACATTGATTAGATGATACATCCATATTTTAATATGGAAAATAAACAGATTTCTTTATTTTATATATTTGCACATCCAAATTTTAAGGTAGTTCCAATGTCGAACCTAACTTAAAGTTTTACTTGCTTCTGCTAGATTCTCTCTTGCATAGTCACAGATATGTGTTTTATTATTTTCTATTTCCATCAAGCTGTAACATAATAAACAATTTTCACCTCTGACATTGAAATATACATTTTTTCTGGTCTTTAAAGGATCCTGATGAATGGGAAGAGTTGACTCGAAAATTAAGACATAAATTTACTAATGTAAACTTAAACCTAACTAAACAACAAGTAGAGAAGAATGGAATTGATATCAATCGAGAACCAGTTTGCAACAGAAAGATTGAGTCAACAAGTCATCAGCGATTGGCAGAAACAAATGGGTCAGAACCAACTCCAACAAGGTAATTTGGTTTTCTGACCTTGTTCGACAAGTGTCACATTTTGGATATTCTTAATCTTAATATAGCAAATGATAGTGTCCTGTTAAGTATTAAAATTTTGTTTGTGTCTGTTCTTTTTAAATCTGGTGACCCTTGTTGTTTACGTTTTTCACATTGTAAATTTGTTCAACACGTTCGCTGCTGAGCGCTAGATGCCGGGACGGCGCCAGGAGCTGAACTAGCGCTCGCCGCTACATAACATTGCCGCTAATACACTGAATTGCAGTAAAAACAACAGTAGTTTAGTTATACTGGATAGCATTGTTCTGCAATAAAACTGGCTTTGGACATAGTACCAAGCGATTCTGATAGATAGCAGCACTACCCAGGTTGCAGTCGGTAAAGTAGTGTCGCTATCTATTAGGAAAGAGGTGGGACAAAGCCCTGTTCTATACGACCCTGGTGGTGATTTTGGGAAACAATAATTTTTATTGTCAGAAAAGTACGTCCTCACAAGCTGCAGAGAAATATGGCTAATCAATGGAAACGTTAAACAACAATGAACGTTCCGGAACGTTCCTAGCTCCTGGCGCCATGGCCCCACTGACGTTCCGGAATGTCCGTAGCAGCGAATGTGTTAAAACGTTATTCTGGGTATTGTAGCACTGGCTTATTATCTTTGGATATTATCACATTCAATCTATAGACATAATATCGTAAACCATAGCTAGAAGTCATCTTATGATGGGAGGGTCATTAATAAATGTTTGAATGTTTGTTTTGGGAGAGAGTTGGTCTAGTGGCAGAGCCCAGGGCCATGGTCTACAATGTCCTGAGTTCAAATCCCGCCAATCACCAATAGCTTAAGCACAGTTCTGTGTAGAATAATTCCAGGCTAGAGCCTATAGTGTTCTAGAATAAGAAGGAGGCTCGTTAAAGAAAAGGGAACTACTGCAATGATTCTCTAATATTCTGACACTTTTGGCAGTCTAAGGGTCACGCGAGTCTGTCTGTACCCGGTCAAATCGTGTGGAGCGCTGGAGGTAGACAGCTGGCCGCTGGATCACCGAGGCCTGAGGTACGACCGAGGTTGGATGGTGATCAGTGACCTCGGCACGGCTCTCACACAGAAACATGAACCAAGGATGTGTCTCATCAGACCTCTCATAGACGAGGAACAGGGACTGATGACACTTACATTTAAAGGTAGGTTATTTCTTATCTAATCTTATCACACAGGGGCAGGCCAAAACCATGAAGCACTTCATCCGAAAAGTTGAATTAGGTAGGTTTTGGTTAGTTAATTTTCACACAAGTCTGTCTATACCCAGTCAAATCGTGTCTATGATTTCTATTTATAGTTCTAATCTATGAAAACTGTTCTGTGTTTCCTCTATGCAGCAGAGTTTCACAAACTTACGTGATTTGGGTCTCGATGGGTGTTAAGTGTCTAATATGCTGTGTTACAGAAAAAAGGGTTGAAATTTTTAAAAGAGACATACATACTATTTAATGATACAATACTCTAACATTGAAATACATCAATAAAAGAGTGTGAAGAAAATATATCACATACCGGTACTATTTCACTAAAACTCAAGATCATAGTGAATGATAAAGCTAAGCTACTGGCTTGATCTCTGGCAATGAATACAGAGCCTTATAAGAAGCGAAACTGCCGTATTAAAAGAGGCGACGTTTCAAAGATTGCTGCTAGCAGTATTTCATGAAGACTTGGCTGGCAAAGCTAGCGCTTCCTACATAAATCTTTGTGAACTATTGCTGGCGGTAATCTTCCTAGCGTCCCAACTTTTAATATGGCAGTTTCGCTTCTTATAAGGTTCTGTATTCATTGTCTCTGGTCCTCAGGTGTACAGAGCTCAACTTCCATAGGCACTAAGTCCAAATGGCTAAAACAATGTAGCTACTGTACCCTATAACTGCTACCAAGTTCCTTAGCTTGCTACCAAGGTCTTAATCAACACCGTTTTAGGGTTATTTGTTTGGTAAAAATTCTTTACTGGTTCACTGAGAAATCTCCTGAATTAGTTGGAATTTAATCACAGAAAAGGAAGGTACAGAAGAAACAAATCAATGGTACACCTAAGTGGTGTCTAGCATAGCTGCTGGTGTCTAGGGTTAAGTCCAACACCTCACCCCTCGCCATCATGTACTACAACACTGACTGTGTAGGAAGACCCTGTGCCCTGTATCATAGGCTTTTCCTTGCTTGTCGTATATTTCCGGGACAACCAGAGCTGAAAGTGTACAGTCATCCCAAGCATATTTCCTCTGAACCTCACTCCTCTGTGATTTAATGTAGTTTTAATTGAATGGTTGCTGATTTATTTATGTGTATTCTGGGTAGGCTACCCAAGATGCAGTGTGCCAATGCATCCATCCTCAGCAGATGCGACCACAGCTGGTCTGTGCCAATCCAAGGTGTGTGGTTCACAAGTACAAGGGTGGGACTGTGGGGAACCTGCGGCGCAGTGGCTGACAACTGTGCTGGGGAGACCAGGACTGCGGTTACTGCGGCAGAGCGACCACTACGACAGGGCCAGCAAAGGAAAAAGTGGGTGATGTGTGGCAACTTTCAAACATTTATTACAAATTTTAAAACTTCATTAGGAACTGATTGGAAGTGAGCGAAGAATGTAGCAAAGAGCACAAGGGAGGAAGGGACTATATTTCAAGAATTTATTTCAAGTATAGTAGCAGTAGGTTTACTTGAATGGGAAAGAATCGATCCTGAACAAGAAACATAACAACTTAAAATTCCTGTTAGTTGGTATATAAGTATCAATATTTAGAGTGTACACAAACCAGTTGTAGTTTATGCACTTTTATAAAGTATGTAACTTATTGGAAATAATTGTGTCAGTAAATTGTTTGATTGATTGATTGAACAAAGCGCAAACAATAGAATATTTCACTGACACTAGACAGTGCATTCAAAGAAAGATTGTTGGATTTTCTTTGTAACTCAAAATATTCTAGTGTTGTGTAAGGGGCTAAATAGTGTCTACGTTTCTTCTGAAAGGGGACTTATTTTCTGCTGTTTTGGTAAGCCTGCTATCTTGACAGTTTACACAAATAGTTGATTGTTTTTGCATTATTGAAGTAGGCTATGCGGAAAACAGAATCTTCTTCTTATATATTCTTCGAATATCTGTCGGTGGCTTACATCGGCTATGACAATTTTGATTTTAAAAACTGGCGACAACTTTGACATGGGGATGAAATGTCTAGTTGTATCAAGTCAAAGGTATAACCCACTGAGAACAGCTCATGGAAGAAAATCCAGTCTTTTCTGCAATCTAATCTTATTTGGAAGTCAATTTATTGGCATGGTCGGTATAATACCAAAGTCCATTCCCCCCCCCCTCCCCAAATATATTCTATATTTATCACTGCCGATTGTCAAATGTTTAGTGTATTTCTAGAGAACAGCAGTACTTCACTCGCTCTCAGTAACCAGGCTCAGTTTCTGCTAGTCAACGAAAACAGCGTTAACTGGCTGTCAGACAAGTTACCCGACCAATCAGATTGCTCCGAGGTAGTACACCTTCAATATATTATTGTTATGTTAACTCTAACTTAAATCATTGTTATTTATTCAGGTTAAGTTTACCGCTTGCTACAATTATCACATCACATTGTGCTTTCAATAATCCTGCAAAACAAAATCCACTTGGCGAACTCTTGGTTGTGTACTAAAAAACATTTGCTTTGTTTAAAAATAACTGTATGATTTGTCAGATCACCATAGAACCCTACTATGATAGTATGCATTGTTGTTTTAAGTTGAATATGAAATTATAAAGAATCATGTTTTGTTGGTGAAGTTTAAAAAGGTTTAAACTATCTTTCTTGCTCTGCTACTTTGCTCTGCTGTACTTTGAGATGATACGATTTTTAGCGAATTTCCCTATAGGGAAGTAGCTATTACCGTAGGTGGCACGGTAAGACCTAGACCCGGGACCGATTTACTTTTTCATTTTGATGTCCCCAGAGACCAAAAACACCATCCATTCAAATTTTTATATATGTATATATATATATATATAGACTTAAATATATATATATATATATACGTCCGTGAACGCGATAACTTGAGTAATTTTTGTCCGATTTTGATGAAATTTGGTTTAAAGGTGTAAAGCGGGATAAACTTGAATGAGTTCGCGAACCAGCATGATCGGACCATGGGAACGGGGCTTTACGGGGGGTTTTATGGGGTAAAAATTGGTTTTTCTCACTTTTGACCCTCAAAACACAAAATTTCTCAATTTCTCTTTAGACCTTTTTAAAGAGCTTAAAAAAACAAATAATTAAGTATATGAAAGTATTTTTGTTCGATTATTAGTAACGGAGAAAATTAAAAAAATTGTAAATTTAAAATTCCCATGTTATTCTTATGGAGAATATTGTCAAATGTTGTAGTTTGCTTGTTTATGAATATATTTTGATCAAACTTGGCAAATTTATTTATTTTCTACTAAGCTATCAATATTTTACTCAAAAACACACTTTATTAGTTTCCTTGTAGCAGCAAACCTGGGTACTCGTTAAACCTAATGTTATTAAAATATATTTAACTGAAAATCAATTCAGACAAATGGAAATTCGCTTAGTCGGCAGGTTTGCTGCGGCGGGGGTATTATTAAGCAGTTCTTGTTTGTTAATAATTTAATTTTATTGGTTCAACAATTAATTTCAAACACTCTGGTACTGGCTTTACTTCTGGTAACTGTGACTGTATGCAGCATTTCCGATTTGTTTATTACTAGTCATTTTTGTTGAAAAGTGAATCTTGAGATTGAATATTCAATCAATACCTACTGCATTTTCCTGTTTCAGGCTACCATGGTAGACAGGTTCAGGAGCAATTTTGTCGTACAAGGAGACTTAGCTCCGTTTGAAGAACAAAAATGGACGGAGGTTGTAATTGGATCAATTCCTTTCAAAGTGAGTTTAGCCTTTTTGCTTTTTGTTTGTCAACCTTTTTGGAACTAGAAACACAATTAAAGATGAGAAATCTATTACGTTATGTTTTATCTATCTATATCTATCTATCTATCTATACTATTATAAAGAAGAGGTGGTGTCTGTGTGTGTGTGTGTTTGTATGAGGTAATCTCAAAAACTACTGAACCGACTGGGCTCAAATTGCACACAAATGAAGCTACAGCTCCGAGGATACATATAGAACTATTCCCGCTTCGATATTGTCCTAGGGCTCTGCCCCGTGGGCTTTCAAAAATTTGAGGTGAGAGATTTAAAAGTAAATATTGATTGATGGTATCCATGGTAACAAAGAACAAACCTACAAAGTTTAAAAATGTAAACAAGCAGAACTAACTGTCAAATGAATTTTGATTTCACAATTCCACACAGCTGGTTCAAACATATTAAATACTACACGAATATTAGAACAGAGAGGGTAAGGATTATAAATTTAAAATAATTATGTCACTAAGCCCGAATGTAAACATTATTTAACATTACTTAAACATTACTTAAATGGAGCTGTCAAACCATATGTCAATGTAATTTCATTAGTGTATAATTCTTTCAGTTACTTCATTTGTTTATGTTTATGATCAATTATACTGAGTCTGTTCTAATATTTGTGAAATGCTGTAATAATATTTTATAGGGAATAAATCTTTGTAAATAAATTGTTCATGGATATAGGAAATAATTAAGATTCTATAATCAGAAAGTTTTGGATGTACGGATGTATAGATGTATGGATGTATGGATGGATGTTTGTGACAAGTAAACGCGAAAAATACTAAACCGACAAGGTTGAAATTTAGTATGATGATAGCTGACATTCCCGATTAACATATAGACATATTATTCTTACCTCAAAAATCCTTTCAGGCTCCGCCCTAGTGGCTCTGGCTCTGGAGTTTCTCATGTAAACCTTATGAGTATTCATATTTAAAGAAATTAAAGAATTTTGTCAGCCGTTTCAACTTTACAAGTTGGTTCTATGATATTAAATAGCATTAAAAAGGTATAAGGCTTACCAACAGGGTGCAGCACTATTATGTTTTTTGCATGACCACAGCTAATTTTAACCAACTAGCAACAAAAAGTTGTGGTACACAATGAGAACTTAACTTTTTTTCATGGTTTAGGTGCAGTGGTAGAATATTAGGGCTATGGCAGATACTATAGGACACTACATGATCCTATATAATACCGTTTAAATTAAAAGACCAAATTTTAATAAACCGTGTCCTCTCCCATAACTAAAAGCATTTATACTTATATGCCAACCCCGTACGAAGGACGGGTACTCTGCTAGTAGATTATATTACTCTTATTAATTTATCATTCCGCTACTGATTCATCATGTTTCATTCAGTACCATTTCACCCTTGTGCTAAATTGTTTGTGTACATTGATGTAACATACATGGTCGTTTGGATAATTACAGTATTGTCACTTTTGTATGTCTTGAGGAAATAGTGATTCTTGATCAATTGTTTTTTAAGAAACCAATTTTAGGTTTTTTTTTTGTCAGTCAGTAATGATATTAGTACTGGCTTATCCAAAAAGATGTCTAGTAAAGGTTACCTATGTACATACTCCTACTTATTTCAAACTAGAAATTCTTCTAACGGCTGCTTATTACAGACAAATCAGTTTTTCTATTACCGTTGTTGAATTGATTGTTAAATATATCTATACTTTAATACTTTTCTTTGAAATGGCGACCATACAAAGTAGGTATTTTAAGCCAAGTATGAATGGAGATGAGTGTAGGATGATCTTATAGTCTTGTTAGTGACTAAGGCAGACTTGTTAATTTGTGTTGTTAGATTAAGTATGTTTTTTATCATCAATAACTTCATCAGTTATGAAGGGAGGAGAAACTTTTCACTCTGTGTACTAGGCCCAGTAAATATAGGCTTAACAATCCTAACCCAGGCCAGTATATAAGTTTGCTTGGTCTATCACAGGTGGACGGACCGTGTGGAAGATGTCAAATGATCTGCATTGACCAAACGTCCGGACAAAAGACCAAGGAACCTTTGACTACATTGGCAGCCAACTGTAATGGAAGCATGAAGTTTGGCATCTACCTCAGTCAGAAGAGCACTGATGATAGTGCGGTTGTCAAAGTTGGTGATAGTGTGATACCTTCAATTCACTAATTTGATTACTATGTACTTACTGCCCGATAGTCTTTCTCTGTTCATGGTGTTACAATGAGACCTCTCTTAACTGAAATTAAGTAGTAGATGGATTTTTTCGTCAGACAAACATTTTTTTGAACATGCTTTTTTGATATTCAAAGTGGATTGAATAAGACAGTAATAAAAAATACATGTGGGGTGAGATAGGTAAATTTATACATTTTTAATAACTACCGCATGCCAACTAGTTTTTATCTTGCATTGTTAGTTTCCTTGCAACATCTCAATCCTAATAACACATCAGTTGGCGTAGCATCCCCGATCGTTTCACAAATCGTAAAGCTATCTACTAATAAATAATTTGATAAAGCTGAAAAATTGAGTAATACACAAAGACAAATTTAACCACTTGATCAGTATACCAAAAAGAGTTGCTACACGTTCATTAATAAAAAATGCTTTCATAAAGGAATTTGAGATGCATTGGGTGTCTACTGTGGCTTGAATCCTCTTAAAACACACTCCCTGGTTTGTTGGTGTAATAGAAATGAAATGAAACATTATCTAACCCCGAACTGTACGGCACTCTGTTCGGCTACTTCACATGTAAGTTAATGTTTTGGCCATTTCGGTTTATCGTAATTTTGCTAAAAGTATTTTGGTTTAGAGAGGTTTCACTGTAGCTATCATCTAGTGTGATACAAGAAGCTATACGTAGCAACTACTACCCTTTTTCACAGGTTTCTTTCAATCACCCGGTATTCAAGACTGAAGTATGAAGTGATTTGTTTATTATTATGGTGTGGTTATAATTTAATTTTCATTACACATCACTTTCTTATTTAATGTAGCTATTTTTACACTTACTATCAATTATTTTACACTTCACTTATTAGTTATTTTATCACTTTGCTTAGTATTTGTTACACATCACTATAATTTTATCACTATATAAATAAGCAGGGTCAAGAGATGTAACAAACTCTCATGCACACAATTTAGACTGAAGTCGCACAGGAGATTGTCTGATGAAAAACTTGTAGGTTTTTGAAACTATATAAAATCCTACTTAGTTTTTGATCAAACTGATTGCAACCTAGGCAATTAAGAGAGTAAATGAATTATTTTAACAGATTTGTCATTTTAATAAAACTGTTGAAATGTATTTGCCAAAGAGTATTTAAAACTGTTCAAAATAAAGTTTACATAAAATAATAATTTTTAGTTAATCAGTAAGCTGTTTTTTCTTTTGTCTTACCACCTTTTTATTAAGTATTTTTAATGACAAATAAAAACAAGGTAGGTGATTACTAGTATTTACTTCCCATGAAACTGAAAGCAACAACAATAACACAATATAAACCGTTGCACCAAATCTGCGGACTAAGCGAATTTCCATTTACCTGGTTTGATTTTCACTAAAATGTTCTCTTCAAATTGTCATATTTATTTTCCTTTTTAAATAAAGCTGATAGAGAAGGTAATATTTTGTATTATGTTTAATAGCTTAATCAACAAATTTGCAGATTTTATAAAAATACCATAACAATTTTTAATTTAAAGTTTTTTTTTTAAATTTTCTCTGTAGCCATTAGGCACACAACACTTCAATATACTTTTTGTTTATTTTTAAGCTCTACAAAATATTTTGGAAAGAATAATTTGAAAATCCATCCCAAAATTAATAGATGTTCAAATGTGGTACATTACGCTTACTTTGTAAACAAAAATGTATGAAAACTCAACATCTCTTTAATCTACTTTCTAAACAAATTCTATTTTAGGTGTAAATGCCAGTGTTGTCTTTTGTGACCTAGCCCCTGGACTCTTGTCTCAGGTAAGCTAAGCTAGATGAACTTTATGTTCATGTGGACTTTTTCAAACAAATTCCTAAACTAAGATCATGTTTCAAGTTTCTCTACTAATAAGTGACAATCAAAAGGGGGACAGAAGCCAAAAGAATGAGCCCAAAAGCAGAAAAATACCTCTGGAGTCTGAAAGATGTTCATATTAGTTGTGCACAACTAACCAAGTAGTTGTAACTTCTAGGAACCAAACAGTGCAACTTTGAAATTGATTACCATTGTCATAACCAGTGTTAGCCTTAAACAGACAAAAACCCAATCAAATGTTATATGGTTAGGTAATACTAAGTTTAGTTGGACTTTCATAGGGCACAAATATTAACAACTTAAAAAATGTTAACATGATATATTTGATATTTCACAGTTTGTATTTAGGTACCAATAAACAATATGAGTGTGATAGCTGGAAAGCGAGTGATTAACGAAATACCAACAATGATTAATCATACAATCTTACATTAAAATTTATACATATAACAAATAATTTAAATTACACATCATATGAGCAACCTCAAAATAAATTACATTTAATCATGCTTCATCATGATAAAACAATAGGTTTAGTTATTTTCCCATAAAGGTTATGTTTGCTGTGGTTCATCAACATGGTCAAATAAAAACTCCCAAAATACTACAGCAAAATTTGAATGAAAAAACTGTTGGTAATGAAGTCATGGTATACACACTTGTTTATTAAAAAAAATACCCATTCTGATAAAAGTTAGTGGCAGCACTAAGTTTAATAGTCAATACATTAATTGCTGTTGTGGCTTACAGACTACAACAAAGAACATGAAACAGGACCGAAAACAGAGAATACAAGTTTTGTTGGTCCAGGAATCCAAGGAAATAATTTATTTAAAGGGAAGGGTACAATCAGCCATAACAAATTAACATAACAAATTTGATTCAATTATGTTAAATTCTTTTGCCTTTAACAGTTTTATTTTAAACTAGCCGTTTCAGTTCAGTTCTTAGAATTGAAAAGATTCACTTAACAGCATTGTTTTACTTAACAAAACAAGTAACGGACCAATGAGATTCAAGGATTGAGAGAAAACAGTAAAATTGTAATGCTTCAAACTTCAACTAATCAGCCAATTTAATTGTTGATGAGTGGTGCAATTAGTGGTTGATACAATGAGTCGTTGCATTACTGTCAGAAATGAGATATTATAAATAAAAACATTGATTATAAGACACAGACTATCAATATAGGCTAGTTCTAGAACTAGCTTGATAGTTGATACCACACAACATCTATTAACTATTTTTTCTTAGTTTCAGCAAAGACAACTAACTTTTACCAGTAGGGCCTATCTTCTTTTTGTACAGAATGTTTAAATTATAAATTCCATTAAATGAAACCAGAATCATATATTTGTAGAATCAGCATGATTGCTAAGAAGCAAAAATTATTGCATCTAGTATTTGAGGGGTTCAGTTAACTATAAAAATATCAGTAATTGAATATTGAATAACAACTTAATACAGATACAGCATAATTCTGGCATGGTAAATTTACATTAATCGTGTAAAAGAATAGAAAAATAATATATAAAATTAATTAGTTATAAGGTTGTATTTAACTTTGAAAACTACTAAATAAAGTTTTTATAAGTTTCCTAAAAATTAAACATTATGTATAAAACGTAATGTACAGTTATATTATGTATAACCAAACCAACAGCAAACATTGGTTTATCTATTTAGCTAAGCGATTGAGTCTTAGTAGTAATTCTTTCACAAGTCGTCGTTCACAACAATCGTATCACTTAAATATCAATGCTTCACAACAGTGTCAATAATAATAATCCTTACTAAACCTTTCGGTAAATTTAGAACATTCCCACAGAAATTGCAAATTTGTTTTACAAATTAAAAATAATAAATGTTGTGGTAAATGGTTCAAAACAACATAACACTCTTGACAACACTTATAGCACAGACGACAGTGTGGACAAATTAATACGCCCACATTCAGTGGTTTTACAAAGGAGCTGACAACACAAAGGGGGAAGGGGATCTGTCGAGTCTACAGTATCAAACAATAAACAATTTATAAAAGTGAAAACGGCTTCTACAACATCCAACTTTAGTGATGAAGTACAGCGAGGTAATACGTGGGAACACCAAAACATAGCATGGTAATGTCAGTTACACCAGAATTGTTAAAACATTCCTTTAAACAATTTGAAAATACAAATAAAAAGCATGATATTAATACTGGACAACTTTCAACATTGCGATTCACACATCTTAAATCTAAGAAAATACTTAATAATAGTTTTACATTTAAATTCATTTAATATTCAAAATATTGACTATTTGACTAGTTTTTATACATGTAAAAAAGCCAAAAATAAATCATTTTACAGTTTAACTGAATGATACAGTTGAAATCTGGAAAACTATAAATTAGGCCTATCACTCATGATCAAAAAATTTATAAAAATAAATAACAGAATAATATAATAAATTGCTGCAAAGACATACTAAACATAAAACATTCCCGAGTAACTTAATCAATAGTCCTTAAAAAGTTATATTGCAGATTTCTAAATGTGCAAAACTCATTGATAGGACACTAAACATTTTACATCCATTCATGGCCACAGAATAGAAATTAACTATAATGTACAATCGTATCTCGAAATATAAAAAAATCATGGCAATAGGTGCCTTAAACATATAGGCCATTTATATTTTTTATTTAAAGCTCTTACACCTAAAATTATCATTTAAATTTTCTCTCTCAACATTATCAAAATTAAAGTACAACGGCTAGTTATTAAAAAATGTAAAAATAGCCATTGGGCTGTTTGAAACGATGTTTTCTACTCTTGGTAACAATGTTTACGAGCCTCGCTAGTTTTGCCAACTGCTAACCATTTATAACTGTACAAAGACTAAAATCTAAAAATATAAAAATAGGCAAAAGATTTAAGACTTTGTGATAAACGTGTATTGTATAATTTATCATTCTACAAGAGTCTAGAACATAAGTGTATAAGAAATATTTGTAATTATATTGCACAATGGAAAAATCTTTTTTGAGTAAGAAATATTATTTGAAACGAACAATTTATGTGCGCTTGCTGCGATGAGAGTAAATGACTTATAATTGGACTCTACTGGTGTCGTTCATTCGATCGCTTTGCTCAGAAACTCAATAAACCTTTTGCCATATTGTTCTGGATCACAGGTGGAAATTCCATCGACGTTGGCTCCGTATTTGACAGTCTTAGCCGCCTTGGCCGCTTGTTTCTTGACACCGTAGTGTGTGAGGACGTCGATTATTGCCAGGAAGTAGATTTCTTTCACGGGAGCAGCTGTAAAATATTTTTACACTAGATAATCAAGAAGAATTGCCAAAAATTTGAACAATAAGGCTACGGCCACTCGGGCGTTTTTTCACGCGGTAAAATGTAGCTTATTTTCACGCTGCTTGAATTCCCGCTGTTGTATGCCACACGTGCGTTTTTTTCACGCAGTAAAATGTAGCTTATTCTCACGCCGGTTGAAGTCCAGGAGCGGCAAAATGCAGTGGGAACCCGCAGTTGGCAGTTGATTGACGAATTCACGTAATTATGTTAGGCCTATATATCTTCCTCATGGTCGGAATAGTAACCTTGTTTCTGACTAGTGAACAAGAAATATGAATGGTATAGGCTATTGATTTCGATACGAAAACAATACTAAAATTATTTTATTTTGTTAACCTTTCATTTAATTATTTACATTTATTACAAAAAAATGAATATAATATATTAATTTCGATACAAAAACAACAATAAAATTATTTTATTTTGTTAACCTTTCATTTAATTACTTACATTTAGTATAAAAATAAATATAAAATATTAATTTTGATACGAAAACAACAGTAAAAAAATTGTTTTATTTTGACATTTAGTTATAAAAAATAAATATAATAGCCTATAAATATTTTTATGACAAGATTTTCATCAGATCTTTTAATATTCTACTACATAAATTCCTCTTTACATTTTTTAGTCCAACTAAATGCCTTTCCTTTTAGTATCCAGTAAGGTCGACCTATGTTGAAGATAAAACTTGTAGGTCTACTGTGTAATTTGCTAGACCCAAAAATATTTGACGCTATCCTGGACAGAATTAAATACATTTATATTTATTTTAACTGGCTAGGACGACTCGATCAAAGCTGCGTGTTGCTCCCGCCCGTGTGGCCAGGGACAGAGCGTGAAAACAAGCTTCAAAAATGCACCCCAGTCCATTCTTCTGCGGGCCCGCGGCGGTCGATTTTGAAGACGCGCCTAATCTGCGTGAAAACACACTCCGTGTGGGATACCTCATTACATTTAATGCTGCCCATATTTCTCGTGTTTTTTCACGCTGCGTTCTTGCGTGAAAAAACGCCCGTGTGGCCGTAGCCTAAGTCCATATGAAAAGAAAAATTAAAGTTGCACTACAGTTTGAATTATTTTTTGTTTTTATTTAAATAAGTTACATTTCTCTTTTACAGTTAAGCGCTACAAATCAGGTCTAGCTTTCAAAACTTGTTTATCATCATCCTGTTTTTGAGAGAGGTATTTTTGTTAAGCTCTCTTTGTGGGCTAGTTTGTGTTGTTACCAGTCATTAGCGCATCTCAGACCTGGTTAATGACCACAGTAATTGAATTTACACTAGCCTATTTTTTTAAGAAAACTGTTCTCAAATTTAGGTCCTTAAGAAGTCTTGAAGTAATATCAATAGAGCAAAAGTTAAGAGCCAATATGGACAAATTTGTCTACTTAGGCTAAAATTATGATGATAGAAGAAACTATCCCAGTTAATATCTTTAGGGAGTGTTGCACGACGTACAAATTTCATCATGTCCTAAAGTACAGTAACTGTAAGAAACATAGTCTTTCTACAGGCTTTGGACGTCATGGGATTGGTCGTTGTGCGACAACACACTTTATCTTCTTAAAAACTTGGCAGTAGTAGCACCCCGTCCAAAGCCGCTGGACGGTTACCTGGACTGAGGTTAGGCTTTGGACGTGGTGCTACTGCTACTTCTTTAAGAGTATAAAATGTGCTCTTTCATGAGGAACAATCTCATGACGTCCAAAGCTTGTAGAAAGACTATGTTTATTGCAGTTACTGTACTTTAGGACATGATGAGATTTGGATATCGTGCAATAGTCAAATATAGTGATGGGTCGGTACCACTTTTTCAAAGTCAGTACCAGTACCGGTTCCTGGCCAAAATCGATTCTCGGTTCCGGTAACATCAGGACCTTATTTTAAATTTTTAGGATAACACTTAAATTACCAAACACATTCAAATCAATATAATGTATAATGTAGCAGAAGTGTTAAAATATTTGATAAAATTGGTGATGTGTCTATACAAAAATTTATCAATTCTTGATACTGATACCTAAAAAAATATAATAATACTTTACTAGTGGTGGGCGGATCCAAGAAAATGTCGGTACCGGATCCGGATCTTGAAAAAATCGAATGGATCTTCGGAACCAAATAGGGTTTTTTTGTTTCAAGAACGGGTTTTTAAATAACTCATATGGCTAGGCAATGTCAAAGACTTTCTGTGTCCATATACAAGACAATCTGTGTCCAAAGATAGTCCTGTATATGGACACAGACAGTCTTGTATATGGACACAGACAGGTTTAAGTATATGGACACAGACAGTCTTGTACATGGACACAGATACTCTTGTACATGCACATGGACACATATAGTCACTATTAATTTTATTTTAAAATACATCACTATAACAAAACACCTGTTCTTTTGTATAAATTGTTTTTATATATGATACTTTACAACTTTATAAAGGATGTTTTGTGTTAATAGAATAAAAAAAATAAATAAATAAAAAATTGGATCCATTAAAACCAGATCCAGCCCAAGATTCTATTTTTTGAGGACCCATCGGGCATCGGTTCTAGCTCAGATCCGGTGGATCCGGTAGTCCGATATCCGGATCCGACTATCACTAGTTTTTACCAATTTTTTTGTAATGGATTGGTTATACTACACCAGCTCCTGTCTTTATGTCTTTCTATTTAGTATTTTATAAGTAGGCTTGGGTTTTTTTCAATAAAAAAAAAATTGCAGCAATAAAACATTCTAAATAGCTAATTTCCAAGTTTAAACCCTTCATATTTTCAGTCCAGCCAACTCAAACAATAAGCAACCTCAAAGTAACCTCAGCAATAGCAAACTCAAAGTAATAATATAGTGATAATCGTCGTATTCTGAGATCACTGCAAAATCTGAAATATCTTCCTCAATTACTGAAACATCATCACTGTTTTTCACGGTCCCGGCAAGATCATGAAAATCTCCTGCGGCCGTGTAGACATCATCATCATCTTCCACAATTGCGGCAACCTCATGAACATCACTCAAGGTCGTGAAGACATCATCATCGTCTCCCGCAATGGCAGCAAAATCATAAACATCTCCCGTGGACGTGGAGTCTTCATCATGAACTCATGCGGTCCGGCATAATAGAATTTTGTCTTCGTCATCATCCGCAATCAAGGCAAAATCATGAACATCTCTTGCGGCCATGTAGAAGTCATCATCGTCTCCCGGGATCGCAGTGACATCATTGTCATCGTCTGCGGCTGTGTAAACAACATTATTTACTCCCGTGGTCACGAAAACATCATCATCTAGCGCGATCGCGGTAAAATCATGGACATCTCCTGCGGCCATAAAGACATCCATAAAGGTCATCATCGTCTCCCGGGATCACGGAAACGTCACTGTCGTCTTGCGTGATCGCGGCAATCATCGGTGACGGGATCCGGTACCGACATTTCACCAATGGTTCTCGGTTTAGGTTCTTTTGCCAAGAACCGGTTGAACCGTCATTTGAAATTAAGTACCGACCCATCACTAGCCAAATATTTTATATTGGACGTCATGAGACAGCTCAAGAATTATATTTTGGACATCGTTACACTGACTTATATCTTTGGACATTGTGCAATGCATCCTATCTTTATTACCAACCAACGGAAGACATTGTACACTTTTAAACAAAAAATTCCTAGGAGATACTCACAGTCACAGCTGGGGATGGCGTAGATGTCCAGTTCAGGCACAATGCCGCCCTCGTACTGTAGACTAGTCTCTCGCTGTAGTTGATGAGGGGAGTCGGGGGGTGTGGTGCCCCACGGCGGAGGCACACGGTCGCCCACGCCGACACCATCACTGTCATCGTCCTCGTCTCCGTCACCACCTTCGTCCATGTACTCACCCTCCGCCTCGGCTCTAACACAGTCATGGATACCCAGCAGCAGCGAGTAGTCCATCAGGTGCAGTTTGGTGAGGAACTGTACAAAACAGGTGTTAATTGTGAATGAGTTACTATTGTGAAATGAAACATAAAGAAACTGTAAATACTTAGAGGAAGGTTGGGAATTCAAGTAAGGTAAGTAGAGAACTCTGTCAAAAGACCAGTGAAAGGTAATACCCACCACCACAGCAAACTTGCAGCGAATTTCTTCCATTTGCCTGATGGAATTATCACTCCTAGGCCATAGAACATGCAGAAGCCACATAATATTTCGTGCCCTGGGGGCGGGTTCCATGGCTTACCAGTCCTTCTTACTGACTGGTCAGCTCGCTATGTGAATTTTTTGTTGATCTACATGGATCAAATAGCAACAGTTTCGACTCTAAACGGTTTGAACAACCACCATGCACAATAGTTTATTATAATTAAGACACACACTTTTTCTTAAAAATCCTTTTTGTAAAATTTGCAAGACATTTAGAACTCTGGCCAGTTCACAGCCCAACCAGCCACAGTGGTTAGCTTAGTTAATTCTCTGGAAAAATTATTCAATTAACACCCAATCAAAAGTTCAATGAGATCCACACACCTCAATCATAAAACCTTCAACAATAAAAGTGCTCACAATACAGTTTAAATAGTAACAAACATAAAGCGTGAACAACGTATTTACCTCAACATCTGCATTGAGCGTTTCCACCAATTTTTCTTTGGCAATATCACCTATGTAAATTTTGATTCCCTCTTTGACAAAGTCGTTGTCTTTGAACGTAGGCAAGTCCTTCTCCTTCTCCTTGTCGGAAGCCTCTCGGTCGACTGTCGACCCCTTCAGATCAAACTTCCTGTGATAAACAACACGAACTCACATGTAAGAGTAAAAAAAACAATCAAACTTGTTAAAATGTTTTGAAAAAGAACCAGAAACTAATTAATGCATTATTGAGGTTATATTGTCTGGACAGCAATATATTTATGGTGCTCATTTCTAGAGATGTGCGAGTACGGTATGGCCTTGAAACTCGAGCTTATCTTTGAACTCGCGAGTTTGGTTTAAAATTGTAAAAAATCAATATTTGTTAAAATGTAACTTGTGTTTGCATAAAATGCTTTATATTTATTTATTGAGTTACATGTCAGTACATCATAATAACAGGACATATTGTCAATGGTTAAATAAAGACTTAAAACTAATAGATAAAACTAATACATCTGTATTTACACAAAATGAACTGAATCTTCCCAAAACACAACATTTTTACACAACAAAAAATTAAGCTAGAAGGAGTGGGAAGGTTTGTTTATACCTAATTCCAGCCGTCCTTAAAATAATCTGCCAATGAAAAAAAAAGATTTAGTTTAGGTTTAGTTTAGGTTGTAGTTTAGTTTTAGATTTAGTTTTTAGATTTAGTTTTTAGATTTAGTTGATTTAGTATAATTTGTATTACTATAGATTCTACAGCAATACAAACATTTCTACAGTGTAGAAATGAGCAAGAGGTAGTTGTCCTAGCCTATTTTTATAGCTGTCACAACAGAATAGGTAAACTCAAAGCAGTCGCTGGCGACTGACTGGCAATGGCATAATCTGGACTTGACACAGAATGACATGATCGGTAGTGATTTTGTTTTAAAGTACTGTTTCACAATAGAAAATTCCACTACTGAACTGTTACAAGCAATAAATCTATGTTTAAAAAAAAAATCAGAATAGAAACACTACAAAAGGCAAAACAATAGAAGGGAGGGAGGGGTTGTGCAATGACCTCGAAATGAGCCGGCAACAGCGAGTGGTGTAGGGGGTTGGGGGGGGACGGGAAGGGTGAGACCTTGGAGCTATATTTAGACTTAGACCAGACTAGACTTCTTTCACCACTTCCGAAATGGCTGGGTAGGGGCAGGGGGATTACAATAGCAGGTTTTTTCCTTGCCTGGTTTGACTTTTGTATAGGAGATTTGAATCATCAAAAACATAATTTGAATTGACCACAATTAATTATTTAGCATTGAAAATACAATCTGCAAGGGACCAGGAGAAATATTCAAATTAGAGTTAGTACCATGATTTACATTTTTATGTCAAAATACAACATTGCACAATCATGATGTTTTGGGTCATTGACCTTAATAACGCATCTGTTATAAGTTGATAATTATAAATTGATGCTACCGTGGTTGAAAATAATTATTCTGTAAACTTGTAAAACATAGATAACTCATAAATAAGTATAAAATCATTCATAAAGACAATAGTAGCACTCCTAAAAAAGCTTACAAATATATCAAAATAATTAAGTGCTAGCACTTGGTCTTCTAGGTTACATAGTTTGTTTTCCTTCATGACAACTTGCATTAATGTGGTTAATGTGCATGGAATACAATTGATTATAGTAAATTGGGCCTAAGTCTAGATTTCATTTGATTTCTATAACTACTATTGTATAAGCCTATTACATTATTCGGTACAATTTTCAATCTACACTTGTTTTGTTTATCAGTAAGGTAGACTACTTGTAGGCCTATTTGAACTTTATTTTTAACATATATTTTGAGTATTTTGACAGAATGTTTGTTTACAATTAACATACAAGATTAAAAAATTTAATTTTCTTTAATTTCAAAATGTATTTTTACTTTACCCACTGTCAAACCATTGGAAATTTTGTAGGCCTACTGTTACAAAAACAACACCAACTAAAAGAATAATGGTAATAAGCTTAGAAACTAAAGGTGAAAAGGTAGGAAATAAAATTTCAAGTTGTAAATCTCTATATTAAACTTTTTATTGTAATTGCAACCTTAATAAACTGCAATTATTAAAATTAATTTTAGCTAAGTATTATGCAATATTACTTATCAATAGGGATTAATTTATTTAATTTTTTGATAAATAAATATATGCTCACTTACCTATTTTTCACAGAAGTAGAAGTTCATTTATGAGCTCTATTGTTGTTGTTTTAAAATTATTTTCTATGCATTATATTGATATGTTACTGCACAAATATTAATAATTATATTATTTATAATCATACTTCAGCTTGTAACAAGGTTGTTTTACAAGTTACATGCTCTTGGCCTCAAGAATTACTTAAACTTACACATCCTTCGATCTTTTGGGTTTAAACTCAACTCGAACTTGAGAATCAAATCTTTTGCCAATTACTCGACTCAAACACGACTCGACCTGAAAAACCTGTGCTCGCACATCTCCACTCGTTTCAAAACAAAAGAAATATTTAATGGTACACTGGTGTCTAGCACTAGTCACTGGTGTCTATGGCAAACTCCAACACCACCTACCTCGCCCTCATGTACTACAATGCTCACGGTGGAGGAAGACCCTGAGCCATAGCAATTTCCGCACAGTACCAAATCTTTGAAGTGTAGAAACGTCTAATTTTTAAAACCAGTATATATGTCAAGATAGGAAAAGAACAACCTTAATGTTCAACATAATCTATGGAGAGTAAAACATTAGTACGAAATGGATATTTAAAACATAAAAGTTATACAATTCATTGGATAACTCTTTTTTCCAATTGTATTTAACAGACCTGTGAGTCGCCAGGTGATTGCTGAACACATTTCGCATGGCCACCATGTAGTGTTCCACTCCGTCCACTGTTAGCCGGTACATGCCTAGATACTGGGGCAGCAGGGTCTTGCCATGTCTCTCTACAATGTACTGCAACACATCACAACTACAGTATAGTCTTGGGTATATGACCTAAACTGCGGTAAGGTTGAAAAAGCGGAAGGTCAATAAGCAGAAAGCCATAGAAGCCATCATCATGAATAACAAAAGACAATTTACATAGTAGAGACACCACTGAGGTCGCTCTAAAAAAGTCCCCAAATCCACTAGTCTCCAATCTCACTATGTCTGAGGGCTAGCTGAGGAGTTGAGAAACTGTGATGCATGCAGCGGTCAAACAATCATAATGTACGTACAGTCAAGGATAGGTGTCTAAACTAAAGCCATTGGTAAAGATCTTCCAAGTGAAGACAAAACGGGCGGCAAAACTGCAGTGTAAAGTTATACTACATGACAGAGAAGTAAGGTACAGAGGAAACCAGTCAACTGTGCTCTTAAGTGGTGTCTAGGGCTAGGTCCAACACCGCCGCTTCTCTCAGCCCCCTTCACACTCGTTCACTTACGCTGTAGGAAGACCCTGCACCTTACTTCTCTGTGACTACAGAGAAACAGCATGTAATTTCTTGGTACACAACTGCTAGCATAGAGGGTCAAAAACAGATTGGTAGGATGACTAAAAATCAAGAATCTTCTGCATTATCATTGTTACAGCATTAAACAAAAGATTTGTGCCCATACAACTTCTGCATTAAGTGAATGGAAGAAGTCTGAAGATATGGATTTTAAATAAGTTCTCTTAATACTGGGATGTTAATATAATCAACAAAATAGTGATCCATTTTGCTATTGGGCTACACTCTGGGTTTTAGTTACTTTCTTTTGTTAAAACCAGTTGAACTCTTACCTGAATAAAAATGGGATTTAAATAATTGCATGCCTTATTGAGAACAGTAAAACAGTTAAGGCTGATGATAGAATCTCCTCAACATAATTTATCCACAAAAATCCTTACATGTAAAAACATAACAGCAAAAAACATAATGTAGATTGAGGTTAAGATTTAAATGTTGTAAACAATGTCTTCAGTCAGACCACAGGAATGCAGGGTACAGAGGAAACATTCAATGGTGCCCTTAGGTGGTGTCTAGGGCAAAGTCCGATACCGTCCCCCTTGCCCTCATCTACTACAACACCCAACGGAGAAAGACTCTGTGAGATAGGAATTTCTGGACAGTGCTCACCTCCCAAGCTCTTCCTTGCTCGTCACAAGTGGATTTCCGCTAACTTGTATGTACGTGCATGATCAACATACTAGAGCTGAAAGTGCAAATTAACTCTGTACATTAGGCTACTTCTCTGTGGTCAGCAAATCTGTATAGGAACATAAGGTGGTACTCACTGGATGGTATTGTTTAAGAAATGAATGCATTCTTTCAACCTCCTCACTGGTCAGAGTCTTGATGATAAACAGTCGATCGTAAGAATGGTAAAACTTTGCTCCAGACTTTCCTTGCGAGTCATCGGGCACAGGCTGAGACCTGGAACAAATCAAAACTCATCTCATTACAAATATAAAATACGCCACTGATAAATTCAACATTCACTGTGTACCATCGAGCAATTGTGGTTACAGTTCACACATAAATACTGAAACTAAATTAGAGGTTGACCAACCAATATATTCAGCATTCACTATCATTTACTTTGGGATATTGAAGTAGACATCCAACTATATGGACCAGCTGTAATAAAAACAAAGTCCTGTAAGCCAGTCCCAGAGTGTGCTAGTGTCTAAAATTCTATTTTCTAAAAATTTTGTATTACTGAGAGGTACCATAGATAAAGGTGAATTTAAAAGATGGTAGAGCTTACCATAAGTTTTTTCATGAGTTTGACTTGGTTGAAGTCTGCACATTTGACAGAAATCAGTAATTTACATCAGCGCAAACTGTCAGTGGCTCACTTACACTATGTCCATTTTGGTTTAAATATCAGCGACAACTTTAACATGGGAATGAAATTTTTAATTATATCGATAGTCAAGTCACTATTTACCATTGAGCTTTTTGCCAGTTCACACATCAATTCAATATAGACACCAAATACGTGGTTTGCCCTTTTTTTAGCATTTAATCTGAGAATCTTGAGAACAAGTTGTAACATTGTTTTTCTCGCAATGATGATGACAATTTTATCTGGGTTATAAAAAAATACCTACTTAAGTACTGTAATTTATTAGATCAATTTGTCTAAAATTTTAGTCTTTTTGCAAAAATTATTTGTATGCTGTGTAAAAATATCCATATCTTAATGTCTTTGTATGTTTTTGTCATTTGACATAGCTTTAGCAAAAGGTGTTTATTGGGTGTTAAATTTCTTTGAATCTTTACTTACATAAATGATTTTTTACTAATTGTTGGAAAAGCAACATAAACATTTTTCACCGATGTATGTTTAGGTAGCATTACACCTATATAAACCTTGGATTTTAAACCTATAAATATTTTCAAATTGATTAAATCCTAGGGGATAAATTTTGAGGTTGCATGTCAAGAAAAGTAGATTTTGTGCATTATCCTTTAATGAAAAACCAGGTGTTTACAGTAAAATGCTGGAGTTATTTAATCTATCTATATATTAATAGGCAAGCGTGTTTCTTTAAAACCTTTTTTCTCAGCTCGTGTGCATCGCAGGGAAAAACTACGCATACTGTTGGAAAGATATTTTCCTGTAGATGTGCAGAATGCTTTTAAAAATTAAAATAGGCTAACAAATAAGAACAAAAAATGAATTTGAAAACTTCAAAAAATTAACATGGACCATATGGGTTGCCATGATGGTGACGAAATAACAACAAAATGTAAACAGAAAATCAAAACAAATGGAAGAAATTCCAATCACATGTTTTATTTACAGTGTGGGGAGAAAATAGAGAAGTCTGTACATTAATTATTTTTGGTCGAGTTTCGACCACAGGACGACCACTAGTTATAATAATTTACAGTGATTATTTTAATTTGTTATCATTTTGTAAACAAATATCCCTATATCAAAGATAAGGATTGAAGTATCCAACGTTCAATAGGATGGATTAGTAAGAGGTTTAGTTGTGATGGTAAATAAGGAAAAACGCTACTAGAAACATTTTAGATTTCACACTACACTAATATTTCCTTATATACTATCTTTAAAATATTTGATAAGGTCTTTCAAATTAGTGCTTAATGGTTGCCGGTTATTATATTAACAACTCACTGTGAACTGCTTTTTTATTAAAATCAAATCAAATCATGTTTATTAGCACACAATGTACAGTTTTCAGATAAATGTACAGGTGTTTTGTCAATATTCAGTTAAAAATTTGAAATAAATGAATCGTCATTATTTACGGTAAACCATATTTCATAAAATGTACTGGGTGGCGCATAAAGAACGCATGGATTTGAGTTGAGTGGTGAGAGCAATAGGAGCGTAGTGGAGGGACTGGGCCTGGTTGTTTTGTAGGTTAGGGTGTCCAGTTTTAGTAGCAATGGTGCAGTGGTCCGTGGTACATAGCATTTTTGCGGTAGAACATTTATTCAAAAGTAATTAAATCTGTTAAAACTGTTCAACGGCTTTTCTGCACAAAGTTCAATGTTCCGCGAGTCCTCAAAAAAGTACGGTAAGGCCCAAGAATTTCCACTTTCGAAAGTTACACCAAACGTTAAGTTTCAAAGCGTGCAGTGGTTTTTGATGCAATTCTTTTGGGTCTTCTGCTGCCAAATAGCGCCAGTTTTGCTTATTGACATAAATATCCAAATAAAACTGCGCTCCATCATTAACATCACAAACAAAACGCCATCAGTGGCAAGAACATCAACCATTCTCTCAAAACAGTTTCCATTTTTCGTAATCACGTTCATAAATCTTCTGTACGATCATAATTTTGTAAGGATGAAATTTTAACTCATCTTTCAGGTTGCCCTGCAACGAGCGTCAAGACAAGCACACAGTTGGAGCGAATCGCCTAGTGTAGCGGCGAGGGCTTTGAATAACAGACGCCCTTACTCTGTCGACATTTTGTGGAGTTCGCGCCGTGCAAGGACGACCAAACCACTTCATAACTGATTCAGTTGTGCGAAAAGAAGCTACCCAACAAAGTATTGTGTTGCGATCGGGTTTTGTTTTGAACCATTGAACTGTGCACGGGGAAGCCATTGAACAGTTCTATCAGATTCATTATTTTTTAATAAATGTTCTACAGCAAAAACGCGATGCGCCAGGTCGATTGCACCATTGCTACTAAAACTGGACGCCCTAACCTACAAAACAACCAGGCCCTGTCCCTCCACGGACGCTCCTATTGCTCTCACTATTCAACTCAAATCTATGCGTTCTTTATGCGCTACCTAGTATAATATTGAAGGAAGATAGTTTTAAAAAAATTGGTTTTGTGTTATTTGGTTGACAAAAAAATAATCAGCCTGATAAATAACAACAAAAGTACGGTAATTACTAATCTCTGCAACAGGCAAATTACACAAAAGATCCTGACTAAAACAGGATTTGAGCCCTAAACCTACATTGTTGTCTCCTAATTGTAGAGATAGTGCCTTAGACCATTCATACTTCGGAAAGAAAACAATGTTCCGCGCTACAAACGCTGGTCAACCTTGCCCGAGCGTAGTGACTAAGTTCTTGACTCCTTTGTTGTAGCACATATCAGGTTTATACGGATTTTGTTTTTATACTACCATTTAAGTTAAATTTTGATCATGTTACTATTGAGTCTAATATATCAGTTTTTGGGGCTCAAAAGATTACTCCATTCTGTCTTTGACTATAGATAGAACTAGACAGTCCATCCCAATGTTAAACAATACAGTTTTAGTCTAATTGAACGTTCGTAATTGATGTGGGCCACGGACAGATTGCACTGATGTAAATCACTTATTTATGTTCTATACTCAAACTATTTAACCTATATAAGTCACAAACTATATAAGTCACACTGATAGGAAATTTTACTGTAAGCTATAGTATCTTTTACGTCACATCTACTATATCAGCTACAAAAAAAATGTGGAAAATGAAATTAAAAACACTAGTCCAATCTGTTTGTCCTTCTTTGTTACCGACCTAGTTGATGGGGCATAACAGATTCTAAAGCTTACAATAAGTCATCCTATCGGTTGACTTGGTTGAAAACCAAACATATTTGTCAGAAATCAGCACAATCTGACAGCGGCTCACATAAAATACATCCATTTTGATTTTAAAACTGGCGACAACTTTAAAATGTGGATGGAATGTCTAGTTATTTCAATAGTCAAAGATACTACAACAATTTGAATTTATTTTTTTTTATCACATATAAATGTAATTGTATGTAATTATTTACACGATTTCAGAGAACAATCCATACCCTATTCGATTAAATAAATATTGATAACTGTTAATACTACAAAAAACTCTAACTCAAGTAAACATTAAATCTATTTACAAAGACTTATCTTTGTTATCAAATTTAAGCTTAAAGAAGTGTTTTTCAAGTGAAACTACCATACTGATAAAAGACTAATCGGGATTAGCTGAATATAGTTTGGCCGCTTAGAAAGCTACCTGCACGCTGATGCTAACCAATGCTAAAGGAGGTCGCTTTCTAAACGGCCAAACTTTAGTTATTTTATAAAAAAAATGCACTAGGATTATTTACTAGGATCCTGAACATTAAACATTTTTTCTGCAGCCTAAACATTGCTTTTGCAGTTGGCTTTACATATAAATATGTTATTCTTACAGAAATGCAAATATTTTACATTCAACAATGTAAAACATACTTGCCGATAGTAAAATATTTTTCTTTCTTTATCTTATTTTTTATTGTCCACGCCGATGGCAATTTGAAGCCAAAATTATTCGTATTCATTTGAGATGAGGACGCTCCCTATTCGAGCATTTTTTAACCCAAATATGAGTGAAGGATGAATGTAGAATAGCGGGAAATTATCTGTGTAGCTTTGTTAACTTGAACTAGGCATTAAAATTGTCAGCATTACATTTCAACTTCTTTATACAAAATATTTCTAGTCAAAGGTTGCTTTTTTTTAGCGAAGCCATGAAAAAAATTAACCCTCCTAGTGTTATTTGTCGCTGCAGCGACCCACAAACACTGTTTACGGCGAAGGCTCTATGACTGACTGAATCGGATTGAACTGGATCGAGTTAAGTATCGTTCTTTTCGTTAGATTCTAAGCTTTCTCCAGAGGTCTGTCTCTAAGCGCTTTATGTTCTCCGAACCGATCGTAATTGTAGCAGACAGCTGACGTGCGTATTTGTAAACAGCTAGGTTACCCTCGGACTGATGACTGATGTGTTTTATTACGTTTATCATTGTTTTAGTGTTAAAAATCAAAAGTAGTGTTATACGTGGTGCATTATAAGAAGATTTAAGTGATTTTGAAGGGCTGGTTGATGATCCTGAAGAAGTAGGTAGTGATATTGATGTAAATTATCAGCCAGATTCCTAGCTATGGTTAGGCTATGCATTCTTAGCTAAACACTATGTACTGAAATCTGTTTTTTGCCCATAACTTATTTATTTGCAAATCTACTTCCTTATATTATTATATATTTGTAATCCTCTTAAAATTTAGAACAAAGTGGCTATTTTCAAATATTTATAGGCCTATAATTTATAAAATTTCATTGAGCGTGAACTTATTTTTTTTTTTTGAAAATTTTCCAAAATTTTTTTTTTTACCTAAAAATTGTTTTTGAAACAAATGTTCTTTATGTTCTATGTATAATATTGAAGCCCATGATTTTCCAAACAAAATGGTATATAGAACAGTATAATTAACATTGTTTTCAAGCTTCTCAGATCCGTTTTAATAAAACCTTGCAAATGAGCAAAAAATAGGCAGACATTGAGGCCAAAACAAGGGACACTCGGAGGGTTAAATATTTTGCGACCCACAATAACATTTCAAAATAAAAAAGTGCTCGACTAAATAACCAAAACATATAACATTTTTGGCCATTTTCTGTAAGAGATTCATAGTTTTAAACATAAAAGCTAATCATTAACATTTTTTTAGGCTTTTGAGAAATTTAAATAATGTCTTTTTTAGCAGTTCTAAAGTTAATACCTACTGCACTCAACATAATTCGTCAAACAACTTTACTACCACAACAATTTGCTTGACATACATATTTAACAATAAATCACAAGTGGACGATGCAATCAATAAATTCTCAAAGTCCCTTATGGACAAAGTTGCCAACAGCAATGCCATCTGAATAATAGATTAGGTCTTTCACGTTCATATCACGAGTGCAGGTCTAGTAAGAAAATATGTACACTGGGCCTATATTACTATTTGATGTCAAAATATAGACAATACATATTACATTTTTTCACTACTACATTTTTTTTTACTGTTAAGTTATTTGTAAATAAAATAAATTACATTGTGGTGTGATCAAGGAGAAAATGTATTTAGTTGTAAGACCCTACAATTTATTTAAAACAATCGAGGTTGGTGTGTCTTAGAACCCACTATTACAATATTAAAATGTTAGATTTTCAATGTTTCACCTTCACATCTTATGACGTTAGGCTCTAGACCAAGACTTCAAGCCAGGCCTGAGGGTTGTGGCATTTCCACATGGATAGTAACATTGGTGATTGGCGGGATTTTAACACAAGACCTTGGGGACTGAAGCCCTGTGCTCTACGACTACACCAGCTTGTTACCAGCTGAGCGAGTCGGGGGAATATTTTTTACATTAGAGAGATATGTGAAGTTATTTCTATCAAATGTTCAAAATATTCAATAAATGTAAACAATTTAATATTTTAAAAAAACACAATCAGCATTGAAATCGTAATTTGGTGGAGTGGTTCAGTAAATCGACTAGATTGCACTAAGGTAATTTGATAAAATAGATTGATTTACGGTATCAATTATGTTAAAAAAGAGCTTAACCATCCAGATGACTATGAAACTTAGAATCAGTGCTTAGTATGCAGATATAAAAATTACTGAGTCTAGATTATGCTTGATTTTTTATAAAAAGTGCACATGAAAATAATATTAAATACCCTTAAGTAACTTTCAAATAGAATATTCAATGGTTTTATGTTGTAGAAATGATTGATTCTCTTTGTCGCACAATCTTAAATAACAGTTATATTAAAATTTCAGACCAGTATTGAATTTGTTTGATTTTTTCTTTCCAGTTAAAGAAGATTTTCATGCAATATATAATGTTAAGATTTATCCTATTATAGTGCTAATTTTCAATGGATCAACACTTTATAATTTTTATTGGAAACTCAAATCAATCACTATAATACCTTTAAATCAGTTAAAAACTCAAAAAATGTAAATAAAATAAAACATTAACTTCCAATATAAGAGATTTACTGGACAAGATTAGTTAGGTATCAAAATCACAAAAAAGAAAATCCTTGTTTAAACCACTCGTGAGGAATTCACATTTTATTTTAGGGGTTCAATTTCACTAAAATCATGCAAAAATAAACATCTAGTTTTTGCTCCTTGAAATATTTCACACATGTTGCATCCTTCTTTCATTCGGTTACATACATTTTTTAAATAAAAGATAAATAACATTTATGTAAATATTCTGGGTAAATCCATTAAGTTTTGTTGGTCTGGTGGACCACTTGTATTTTTAACATTAATTGAGGTGTAATATTAAGACTTTAGATTGAGATAACGACCTGTAAAAGGATTGTAGACCAAATTACAATTAGTAGTTTTCTAACAACGGCTACAATTATAGCTGTCATTTGGTAAATTGTAAGATCAATTATACTAATTACTTAACATAACAAGAGGTAGGCTTAGTTAAATATTTACTAGCCTAGACTTAAACATCACTTGAGTAGGCCTTGTTGATTTCTGTAGTATTAACCTTTACTAAACAAAAGTATAAAATTTACAATTAGGTTTCCTCAGCTGTATTATATACAATTGTCTACAGTTTCATGTGCGACTTTGCTCTATTTGTTCAGCGTGGCAAGCATGACATGTCAAAGCGGTGATTTGACTACCAAAGTTCAAAATAAACAAAAATTATGTAAACAAAAGGAGGAACCGATCGCAAACTGTTAAGTTGTTAGTCGATAAATCATCGTGTTAGTAGTTACTGGCGTGAGAGATGCAAACAAGACGGAAGCAAACGGACACTCTAGGGCCAAACATTACTGACAGACCTCCGCTTTGGTTTAAGGAAAGTCTTGGATTCGGGCCTAAAACTGACAGGCATTGTGGTCGATCTCCGTAGGCCCTGACAGTCGACCCTGCGACATTTGGTGTTGCTTCGTGCGCTTACACATCTGCGGTGAAACCCCACCAAATAGTAAACTCATCCAATTGTCAAACATACAATCAACGAGATGAGATGAGCAGTAAGCTAAGCAATTGCTAGGTTAGGGAAAGCACTTTCAATTGTTCAACTGACAGGTTTAGAGATGGATAAATGTTGGTAAAGTTGATATCTACACAAACTAAGTAATATTTTAGGTTTAATCATAAAAATATGTTTAAACTTATTTTAAATGAATAAATATTAAAAGAGAATTAAAATGATTGCATAAAAAGTTGAAAAATAATTTAAATGTTTATCAAACATAATTACGTAAATAGATGTATCAATCATATGCGAGGAATGTTTTCCTTAAGTTAGTACCGTTTTGTAGCACTAAATAACAAGTAAACTTATACAAATTTACGAGGACATACAAGTATGAAGATGAGATATTTCTACCTATCCTGCAATTATTGGTTAGGGTGCTATCTTTTAATACTATTATTCAAGACTATTAATACAACAATATCCAATAGTCAGTGACATTATACTGGAGAAAAGCTTTTCAATTTTCTTCAATCAAGATTGCCTTCTGAATACAGTCGTCATAATGTTACCAACTTTTTTGATAAAATCCAGAATACTTATGCGACAGATCCCCTGAATAATAAATATCATGAATCCTGTCATGGTAAATCTAATGAGATCTAATCCATTTCCACATAACTCTTCTTTCATTACTTGATAAGTGTGCGAGAAGAAACATAAGCCGGTTTTACAGCCATAAGGCTAAACTACTGAAACGAGACATTAAAAACACGCACAAAAACATAAGCACAGTTGACTGGTAAAGAAATGGCGTCACGTACATTGTGCGCAAGCACGGCTTGGCAACCGCAGCACTGAAATTACGCAGCAAAACGGTACTCACTTGTAAAACATGCCTCGTAAATTAACTTCAACACCTCTCTTCAACGATTTGCTATCTCGCAAACAGGAAAAGGATACAACAATGTTAGTGAAACATGACAAAAATTAATAGATGTTCAAGCTGAGCCGGTGTAATGAGGAGTTTTATAAAGAGTAATACAGTAGTAAGAAACTAATGGAAGAGTAAGAAATGAGTAGGCCTAAATCAAATTGTTTAGTGTCTGATTAGACAGGAAACAGTTTGTCAGCATGGCATGTGATGTTTTTAGACTGGTGTAAACTAATATTGTATGTATTTAAAACAAATCATTCATTTGGATGTCAGTTTTTATGTAGTCTAGTTTGAACAAAATTATTCTTTTGTTACTAAATAGACAGTGTTAACATCTGCGTTTGAAAAATTAGTAAGAAGGACTTGAGAACCAGAGGAGAAACAAATATGGTTAGGCAGTTTCATTTAGTTTTTTGAATTTCCACTCAAAATATGTACCTACGTCAATTAGGGTAACGGTATGCAAGTAAATTTATTTCAAGAAGGGTTTAATCTAAATAGCTTGTAATTTTAATGTGATGTTAGACCCAGCTCTTCTATCTTGAAACAATTAATTCACTTTACTGAATGAAGTAATTGACTGACCTTGTCATCGACTCTTTATAATCTTGATCGTCGATTCCAAATCTTTCCCGCAGATTCCTGAATACCAGTGGACAATATTCTTTTATTTTGAAGTGGCTTGGCATATTTTCCCTGCAACATGAACATTATTTAAAATTCAACCAAAACTGTAGTCCTGGTTGCAACCAGAAATAATTAATACCCCTGCCGCAGCAAAACTGCAGACTAAGCGAATTTCCATTTGCCTGATTGGATTTAAACTAAAATGTCTAAAAATATCACATTTATTCCCTATTTAAACAGAATTAGTTCAATGAGTACTTAGGTTTGCTGCAACTGGGAGGGTAAAAAAGTTTTTTTTTATGTAAAATGTTAAAAGGTACTGATGTTTAGTAAGAAATTAATGTATTTTCCAAATTTGATCAAAATATGTTCATAAACAAGCAAACTACAACAGTTGACTTATTCTCCATAAGAATAACATGGGAATTTTAAAAATACATTTTTTTTAATTTTCTCCGTAACAATTAGGCGCATAATAATGCTTCAATATACTAAATTATTTGTTTTTTTAAGCTCTACAAAATGGTTTAAAAAGAAATTGTGAAATGTTGTGTTTTTAGGTCAAAAATGGGAAAAACCTATTTTTTTACCCCATAAAACCCCCCATAAACCCCCGTTCCCATAGTCCAATCATACTGGTTCGCGAACTCATTCAAGTTTATCCCGCCTTACACCTTCAAACCAAATTTCATCAAAATCAGATTTTGTCAGTTAGTTTATGTTTATAGATATATAAAAATTTGAACGAATGGTGTTTTTGACCTCTAGGGACATCAAAATGAAAAAGTAAATCGGTCCCGGGCCTAGGTCTTACCAATAGACCTACGGTAATAGCTACTTCCCTATAGGGAAATTCGCTAGTAAAAGGAAAGTTGTGGGTAGTATAATAAGGCAGTGATAACAGCTGATTTTACACTTGTCAGACCTTCTGAAATTCAACTTCAACTAAACGACGCAGTCATCTCTCTATTATTATGATTCGCTAGTCTATTTCAACCGTGATAGTCTTCCTTCTAGTTTAATTTTACACATTTTGAACTCAAGATTTGTAATTTACAACCATTTCATTAGCAATAATTGAACCGACTTTCTTAGCCAAATAGAAAAAGTATTTTTCCTACCACCATAAGGAAATTATCACATTGCCACACCTTAAAATAGTATGCAAAATAGCTCATTTATGCTGAGTGGGAGTGACTATTCTCACTAGCTGAATCTGCTGATTTCACAATTGGCGTTTATATAAAACACAATGATATGAACCAGTAATGTGAATAGACAGTGTTTTGATAAGTGTGGATAAGTTAATTATGGTGGTATGAAAAATCTTGTGAGTATTAACAACACAAACAGTCATTGACGCCTTCGAAATGTATGACCGCACCAAGCTTTAGCTGAGTGCGTCCATACATTTCGCTACATACATTCAGCTCTCAAGCAGCAATGACATACTTTTTTTATGCTCTCAATACACAAATAGCAATTTTATTTTCCTACGAGCATTTAAATGCGGTTACCTCCTAAGTTACCTTTAAATAACTTCTTTGTAGTTTTTGATACTTACACCTAGGCATAGGGAGTTTTGTTGTTGTGTATAATTGTCTTTTTACAACATTGACGGATTTTTCATAAAGCCGTGACCAAACCTTAGTTATTGTTACACACCATTTTCTGATGCCAAAGACAAATTGTAACCGAGATTTGATCCAACTCGGAATCAATCTGACAACATTGTAAAACTTATGTTATTGATCAAAAACAAAACCGCACAGTAGTAAATTTAATTTAATAAGCAACAACATTTCAGGAAATAAACTCATGATTTTAGGAGACTACTTGTAACAAATTACTCAGAGTACTAGAAAGTAACTCTAGTAAATCTAGCTTGTAGGCTATATAGCTAAACTGAGTATATCACTAAGTTTATAGATGAAATCACAATCAGTGACTCATTTACTCACTTGTTGAACAAGTGGTTGTCCACTTTAAGCTTTGAGTACGCTCTGAAGTCATCTGGGAGGAGCATCACTGGGATCGTTACATGGCTGAGCTCGTTGATCTGAAATAAAAATATCTATGACCTCGTGTGGCTCCAGCAGATAAATTACACTTATGGACAAAACAATCACAAACCACCACAAGAAGGAACATATCTAGTTTGGGCCAATTACAAACAATAATAACCTTTAACCTGAAAAAGATTTTCCTCTGAAAATCCAAATTGTTCATCACACATAATGTTTGGTATGTATACCATTATGACCATCAGGTTTGGATGCTTTCCAAATTTTTACTGAACATTAAGGCTAGGCTATAGACTGTACTGAAGAATTTGAAATTGAGGGGTAATTTTTATATTGAGGTGTGGATCTAATTACAGTAGGCTACCTACATTGTATTAGACTACTCTGTTAAAGTTCAAAATGATGGAAGAAATAGTTTTTAATAAAATATTAATTAGTAAATTATTGGTTTTTAGTTATAAGTTATCCATTTGTTGCACAAAGGATAGATTATTAATAATTATAACAAACTTCCTACAACACTACATAAGTTACTGTACGGTAATCAGTTCATGTAAAAAATTAAAACATTTAATAAGACTAATTAATGTAACTGACATATATAAAGTCCTGATATTTTTATTTTGTCTGTAGTACAAGATAATTTAAAATCTTGAGTTTGTTACATCTTCTTATATAAGTATAAAAGAGGATGTTTGTTATATATATTTGTTTGGCAGTAATAAACTCAGACACCGCTGAACCGATTGCCACGAAACTTGGTACATACGTGTAGAATGTCATGGAATAGGTTTATAAACCATCAATTTCGCTATCCGTCCAATCGGCTCCGCCCCAGTGGCTCTGGAGTTTCCCATGTTAACCTTATGATTTTTCATGTTTAAAAGGAATTAATGAATCTTAACAGCTGTTTCAATTAAACAAGTTGGTTCTGTTCTATGATGTTCAATAGCATTAAAGTTACGAGGAATACCAACAGGGTGCAGCACTATTATTTCTTTTACATTTATGACAACAGCTAATTTGCAACCAAAAGGTGAGTGAGCGTGGCGAACGAACTTCAACCTGGAGGCGAGTTAGCGTAGTGAACAAGCTAACCTGAAGGCAAGTGAGCGTAGCGAACGAGCTAACCTGAAGGCAAGTGAGCGCAGCGAACGAGCTCCAACCTAAAGGTGAGTGAGCATAGCGAACGAACTTCAACCAGGACGTGATTGAGCCATGCGAACGAGATCATCTTGAAAATTAAGAAAGTTAAACGGGGCAAAGCCCGCGGGTTACAGCTAGTTCAAACTAAAATTGCCGAGTTGATTTAACTTAGTGTGATATATAAAATAGCATGTGATGTGTCTTGACCATAAACAACTTTTTACTTAGAGTAGGGTTAATTGGGGTAAATATGACCACTTTTAATTTTTTTATTTTTACTTGTTAATTACCTACTTAAAAAAAAATAATTTAATGTTTTTAATAGTTTAGGGTGATCTTTTGGCTCTTTAAGAATGTAAAAAAAATCTAAAACCCTAGGTTTCTTCCTTTGGACTTTAAAGGGGTGGTTATAAGTACTCTCCTGAATTTTCAAAAAATGAAAATGTGGGGTAATTATGACCACTCTTTTTTCTTGTAATTTATAAATGATGAATAAGTATTGGCAGGGCTCAAAAACAAACATAAGCGGGTTTATAGTTAATCAGTAAGTAGAAAAATAGAAAATCTTACAAATATGTGAGGCTTCATAGGCCTATACAACTTAAAGCTAGTAGGCCTAAACAATTTTTCCTTTTTAATTAGGACTGTTCAAAACCTCATACAGTTCCTGGGAAAACATACATAATCTTTCGGTCTTTTTCAATTAGCTTCGGTTCCGGAAACACAATGATATGGTTTTTGCTAATAACAAACTCATCTTTTTCATCAAGATAAAATGTTGTGGCATGTTTATCTGAAAGTCTCAGTCCTGCCACTCTCATTTTAACACAATCTCTTTTTTTCACAATCATCGTCCTCATCATATTCATCAGCTTCCTTGGGATTGTTTTTCACATTACTTCAGGCTAGACCTAGGGGTTGCGGGCATTATCACTTGGATAAAATCCATTGGTGACTTGGCGGGGATCGAACCCGGGACCTCAGGCACTGAAGTCCCGCGCTCTAACCACTACGCCAGCTCGCTCCCACACAGCTTCGTATATAGACTGTATGAAACAGACATACTTATAGTTTGTTGTTTTCCTATAACCTCCTTTGACATTGACTAAAACATAAGATCCAGGCTTCAAGTTCGTCTCGGTTGGTGTTATATATGAACAACAACGGCTAACAAAGCAGGCTTTATTTGGTGATGTAAGATTTTTCTCCTTATAAACAGCTTCCAGTTTTTTGTAAAAATCGCAAACAACTTCTGGAATTGTGTTATTTAGACAAGACGCAATGTCTGAAGGTGCTCAGGTTTGTTTAGGGATAAGCGAGGATGTCTCCGCATGAAGGCTACCAATCCTCCCATGGTTTCCCATCCTTAAAAACATTAGGAATAGAATGTTCTGCAACGTACGATGCAACAAGATCCAAAAGTTCCTGCCTGTCACAAGGGTAATCAAATTTGGCTTGTGCCAACAAACACTCTACAAGTTCATTTTCTTCTGTAATTGACAAATTTGTTGGGTGTCCAGCTCCTTGATTCTCCAAACTTACTTTTCCACTAATACGCAGCTGTATTAATCCCATATTTTGCTGCAGCTTGACGCTGGCTCAGTTTCCTCTCATAAACCATATTAAGTTACCTAACAGCTTCCTGCAGGTCCTCTAAGGAGTAAGTAACAGAAGGCTTATTTTTGGTATACCGTAGGTATATTCTTGGCATGTTTTTTAATGATTTTCAATTACTTTCTTGTAACAGGAAAGCACAAATAATTAATTTTCTTTTCATAATTAAAATGTGGCCATAATTACTCCATTTTTTTTTTATATGGGGGTAAATATGACCATAAACTTTTATACCAAAATTGTTAATGGATGTGGAAAATGATAATCAAAAGTAGGTATAAAAAAAAACTTCATGGGATTAATAGCCTAGGCCTGTAAATAAATTCTTTCAAACAAAAAAAAATCTTTTTAGGTCTGGGGTCTTTTTATCAATGTAACTTACGTGTGATAACCGTTAAATGAAAATTTGTGACGTGTTTTAAAATTATTAAAATATTTGCCTGATGTTTTCGTCTGACAACTGTTTACAGGTTGCCGAAACAAAGTACACAATATAAAACATTGTAAAACACATTTTTTATAATTTTACTGTCATTAGGTTTTCAAAAATGGCACAGGTCATAATCACCCCAACTAGGTGGCTAACTAAAAAACAACTAAGTAACTTAGCCTAGCAATTACAAAACTAGAGTCTTTTCTCAGGAAACCAACCCTTGATAGAGAAAAATACGAGCCCTCCTGTACTGTAAACAAAAGTCCAGTGATATAGCATAACCTATTTTGCCTAGTCTGAATTGAAACTTTTAACAAGTAGAGCCTACATCCATTGGTGGTTCCAAGGGGGGGGGAGGAAACCCTGGAATATAAATTAAACATACTTGCATTTTGTGCAAAAACTTGATTAACTTAAAAACAAAATGGAGGGTTTTGAAGACGGTTCCTTAATGTCGGACACCCTCCAGTACCCCCCCCCCCCTGACAGGTCCAGAACCACCACTGCCTACATGAAACATCAGCTTTGTGATGTAGGTTCTAAGAGTCGGTAAGTTAGGCAAGAATAAAGGTTCCAGATGATTCACTGGAGAGAAAGTGGAGGTGGCAATTATAAAGGGGAAAAGCCTAAAAAGTAGCTCAGGAGAAGGGTATAGGCCTAGTCTATACTTACCTTAAAATTTTTTAAGCATAAATTACTACCGGTACCTGAGATAAAAGCCTGGCTTCCTGCTATAAACAACAAGTCTGCATTTAAACCTACAGTCAACATCTAGACGTTTATGAGGATCTAAAATACGGAAAAGCTTTCTTAAAACAAGGAAAAGAACCACAGACTGCAGGAAGATATCATCCTCTGAGGACCTGTCCTAAAAACCACTGATAACTAACACACCAAGTATTTCAGGCATGTGTATTTTACTGTGAGTAGGTTGTTTAACTAAAATAGGCTACAAGACGTCAAGGCTAAGGGGCGGTTTGGGAGCTCGAGCCCAGCTAGTACGCGCCTAGTGATGGACGCGCCTAACTTTAGTCCCCGGACCAAAAACCAGGCTTGGGAGCTCGCGCCTAAGTTGAAATAGTCGTAGATCAAGTATAGTCGCGACTAAGTTGCAGCGCAGCTAGATGGACAGGGAATCGCGGGGAATTCAGGTTTTGACGTTGGCAACGGCCACTGCAGACCATGTTACCGTTGACAACAACAAAAGATGAACAATTAAAGATGGATACAATTTTATCTTGGTACCTATATCAACGGTGGCTAATTAGTAGACTATGGTGTAAGTTTCTGCATTGTACCATTGCAAAAATGTTGTTTTGTAAGATCGTGAGATTTACATCTCAATGACGGCTATTTTTTATCTATGGTAGGCCTACTACACCTTATAAATACGAACAGAGCAACATAGGTTTCTGAAAATCAATATGATTTCTTTCAGAGATAAAAAAAAAAAAAAAATTAACAAAGATTACCCTGTGTGTGGAACAGTAACATCTGAATCTCCATTACATGCAATAAAAAGCTTCAAAATTAAACAGCAATTGCCCTGTATACATAATATATGGGTATTGACGGAAATAAAAAATAAAAAGTATTTTAAGTAATTACGGAAAGTAAATAAGAGAAACGTCTTATAACACTTAAAAGATATATTTACGCTTATACTGTTACTCACAAGACGGTAAATATACAAAAAAGATGGTAAGTGGTGATCGATTTCGATTGGACACTCCAATCATCATCAGACCCGGTTACCGGACGCGTATCCTCTGTGAAAGCTAAAAGCCCTTTGGTTTGGTTCAAAGTGTTAAAAGTTAACCTCTCAAGCCTGTTCAGTGCTGTATCAATTGACTGTAATAATTATTGTTATCATCTAGAGAATTAAAACGAAAATTTATTCATAATTTTAGAACAATTTATATTGCAACCCCTAGCACTATTGGCAAGTGCACATCCACCCAGGTCATGGAACAGGATAAGCTTAGGCCCTAGTCTAGGTCTAGATATAGTAGGTAGGCTAGTCGGCAAACTTACCGTATGATTAACACCCCACATAAACACTGATAGAATAGGTTCATTTGCACGAAATAGCTTGACTTTTTGATGTTTTACGCGAAAATGTTTCTTTTTTAATTTACTTAAACCACCTTGTACTTGAGCAACACTCATTTTAATGATGGACCACTGCAGAGAAGGGATGAAAACGAATTCTCAAAACAAAGATCGTTTGCACTGATTCATTACCAGTGTTGCATTCGAAAGGCTTTATGTTTACATTACTATGTTTTATTTGAAGAAATGCATAATTCTTAAAGATTTTTCTACTTGAAAAGTCAATAAAAGTGCAATATTCCCTAACCACAATCAATAAGAGTATCTTCCTTCACCGCCACCTGCCTGCACCAAAATTTCCTCTTGTCAAACATTAAAGGCAAAAATAACCCTGACTTCACGACTTCGGCATGATTTTAGCCTTTGGAAATAGGTAACCAGTTGATGGTGAGCTGGTATCGGCTATTAAACTTTGTATGTATAAAAGAATTTATTTATTAAAATAAACAAATCTGCCTTAAAAAACAAGGTTGCCAATGACACAGAAAAAAAATATACACTCAAAATATTGAAGGATTATAACAGCTAATAATACTGATTAATTTAGATGTTTGTCATATAAATGATTTCTCATTATAGTCAATGAACCTCTTAATGTTTCATGGATGATAATTTTCAAAAAGGATCTGTCAAAATCATATTGTTTCCAAAAGTTCACAAAAATGTTGATAATGTTCCTCTAGAACCAATAGACAATCAAATCACCTCCATTTTTGAAATTTTGAAATTTTGCTTGAAATATTCAAAGGTAGATTCATAAATGTTTTTCTTTTCCTCATTTACTTCATAAGTTGATTTAGGTTTATTTCAAATCGAATTGTTGGATCGAGAATTATCCCTTTGTTTGTTTCTCTTTCGTTCAATAAAATATCTACTCTTCTGGTGCTTCCGTTAGAAGAAAGACAGTGTACTTCTTCGTGCACTTCCCATGTATTATACCTTTTTCGGAAGGCATTTGCTATAATACTTCTTATTTTGTGGTGCCTAGTGTTTCTTAGAAGTTCACCAAACGGACAGAAGCCAAGGGCATCTGCGAGGGTTTCAATCTCACCACAGGCATGCCTGCATTGGTTATTGCCCTGACTTCTGCCGTGGAGGACACACACTGTCACCACATTTGCAATCATTTTTATACTGTCTTTCCACTCAGATTCTGACAAGCCTTCTTTATTAATAATACCTTTATTTCCAGGAGTATAATCCTTGAAAAGTTCAACACCTTTACCCTAATGTTTGGTTCGGCTTTTCCAGTTTTCTCTTAAGTTTTCTTTTAAATTCTTTTTCTCTTAAGTTATTTCTTAATTTTTGAGTATTTGTTGTTTGATTATAATCAATTTCTTCTAGTTGTAATTTTTTAAACAAATTCTTTCTATCCGTTTAAATTTGTCTTAATTTATTGTATAACAATTTTTAACCCGTCTGAGTAATTGTATAGAATTAAGTTGTTGATGGTATATATGCTTCCCATTGGGCCTTGATTAATCCAAGTCCTTTATATTTTTTTGGACTATATAACATAAAATCTGGAGTGTCAGTTGGTAAACTTAATATTTCTTTAACACTACTTTTAACCAGTTTGTCTAAGTCAGTTAAAATACTGCTGGTAATTTATGGAGTGGAGCATTTTGAAAAGGATATATAACGTTGGCCATATACTTATATTACATTTTTGGCTTGACAAAAGTAATGTAGCCTAGTTGAAGTTAGTCTTTCTAATTGGGACTTGAATTGTTTGATTAGGTATTCTTTCTTTATTAAAAAAACGATCCCTTGGGAAAAGTTAACACCTAAATACTTTATGTTTTCACTATCTGAAATGCTTTTTATGATTAAGTTTTCATCTAACCAGATATTACTTTCAATTAGAAGCCCTTTTTCAATTACAATAGACTGACATTTTTTGGGGTTTATTTCTAGTCCGATCGAATTAAGTAAATTAATGGCCATTGAAGTAAGGGCTGCAACACTTTGTTTGTCTTTTCCGATAATAACAATCATTAGCAAACTCCATTATGGTTAGTCTATCTAAATCCGGCAAAAGTTCGTATCCGTAAGCCATTCGAACTTCTTTTTCACTTAGTTCATTTAAAATGAAATCTGTGCACAAATTATACAGTGTAGGGGATAAATGTGCTCCTTGTAGTAACCCTCGTTTGAAGGGAATCGCTTTTGTTTTACTTCCACCAGTTTCAATAATAGAATGGTTGTCTAACTGAAGATTTGCTATCAAGGTTTTTAACTTCCTATGAATTTTATGTGATTCTAGCGTTTTTACTATAGGTGTTCGTGTCAAACACAATCATAAGCTTTGTTAATATCCAGAAAAAACCAATGAAACTTCTTTTTCCTCTTTAGATTTTGTTAAAATGGAGTTCACTATTTCTACATTAATTGTTGTTCCTGGTGTACTAGTAAAAACCTCTTTGGTTTGGGTTAAAACGTATATGACCTCTCAGTCTTTTGTCTAGAACTCTTTCAACACTTCTTCGTAAGACAGAGGAAATAGATATAGGTCTCCAGTTTTTAGCATCTTTAACGTCACCTCCTTTGTAAATTAAAACTGTTCTTGCGAGTTTAAAACAATCAGGGATTTTTGATTTTTCTCTTTTTGAAGCTCGCATTGGGTTGCTTGAGGTTTTATATGTTTTGCCATTATTTAAACTTGGGTTTGATTTTCTTAAGTTGTAATATTTCATCGCAGGGTGTTTAGGTCCAGGCAAATAGTTTACAGCTGAAGCTAAAAATTTTGTAAACTCGTTCATTTTATGATTCAACTGTTCAATGTTATCTAGATCTTATTTTATCAAATTTTTCATCCCAATCACATAACATTTTTTGAAAGTTTGTGTCATTTGATTTGGTTTTAACTTTATCGGTAACATTTTCTTGTACGTCAACAAAGTATTTTTCAATTAGTTTATCTCTATGTACTGTTGCATGGGCTCTGCTTATGTGAATAACTAAACTTTTTACTGATTTTCCACAATGGGGGCATGTTATACTTTTCTTTTTACTAAAATCAATGTCAGTATTTTTGCTAAGTTTTCAATGCTTTTCGTGCCATTTATTTTCTTTGTATTGTTAGGTTTATCAGTCAATTTGACAATTTGTTATTAGGTTTGAGTGACGTGTGAAAATCTGACTACGAGTCACTATCATTATCATCGCAATATTTCAAACAAGGTCTGTGTGCTTAGGATCACGCGAAGGAGGTATCACTACCAGGGTTTCGAATTGGTGGGTAATTACCCACTTTGTGGGTATTTTAAGCTATGGTGGGTATTTTTGCGGGTATTCTATTTTAGTGGGTAAAATAGGGTATTTCATGCTCGCTTCATGGTATTTTTCGTTTTTAGTGCATTGGGAAGTTTCTGCTTTAGCAGGCTTCATGTTTAGAATCAAACCTTAAAAACATTGGCAACTTTTTTTGCCTTCAGCAAAGCCTTTTTTCTTCTTCCACTTCGATAATTCCTTGTTGCGATACCACTGTCTTTCCGATATTTGGTATCGATACCGTATCGCAAAAAAGTAACGATACCGGCTCAGTATCGGAACTAAAGTATCGATACCATTAGTATCGGAACTAAAGTATCGATAACATTAGTATCGTATCCATTCGATACCAGTGACGTCATATTCTGATTCACTGATCTTCGATTAAAGTTCACTCGTTCCAGTACAGTGCAGCCAATATGGGATTCGAATTCAAGCTGCTAAAAACTACCTAAATATGTAAAACATTGATAAAATTAACCAAACATTGCCAACCATTGTTTTCAATTTTACCTTCAAGTATAAGTTCAAGTAGGCCTAAGCTTACCATAAGTTCTAGGCCTATATAATTTATATTTTCAATAGACAATGTTATTAAATTACCAACGTAACGCATTCGTGTTTACCATCAGCCTAAAAAAAGTTTATTTTGTAGTTAAATAACTTTAAGTGCGGTGCCATCTTTTTAGTTTATTTGATGTTAAATAGTCCATGGTTTCATATTATTTGCCTAACACAACGTTGCTAACATTGACTTGTAACAAAATTAACTCTGCAACTAAACCCTTAAGTTGTATCATTGACTAAATATACGTCTGTAGGTATATATAGTCAATGGTTTTACTTATAGTTATGTAAAGTTCTATGGAAAGTGAATCATAATTTACTCAAACCACATATCAGACAAGCTAGATAAAAAAAATATTTAATTGGGTTAAAGTTTTTTTTTTTTACAAAAATACATCATGTCCATTTATTTTGGGTAAAATAGTTTGATATATATTTCAATTATATATTTTACGTCATTACACCACATACTCTTATTCAAGCTGAGTGGGTAATAGTGGGTATTTTTAGGTAAAGTGGTGGGGAAAATTACTGAAGTGGATTAGAAACCCTGATCACTACAGCAAACTGCAAATTCATTTGTTTGTAGAGGAAGGGCCGAAGGGCCAGGTTCTTGACTGTAACTGTAAGTGACTTTTTGTATAGACCCATTTTGCAAAGATACCTTTGATTTATCAGTTGATTTGATGCTTGGTCCTTATGAGGCTTTAATGTGTGAATCTAATCTAGTAAATGATTTAAGACAGAAAGGACATTGTTCTTTTGTAATATTTTCACCTGTAGGACCAGGATTTTGGTGTATATCTATATCACCACATAAAAGTATAAGAAGCACGATTGTGTTGACAAGTGTGTTGCTTTAAGTGATTCGTTCTTAATCAGCAATGTCCAGTACTTTTTATTTGTTTTGTACTTTAGTTAGTTGTTGTTGTTGTGTTGTTACTTAGCTGAATTTTCGTTTTTGATTTTGTGTGTGTATAGACAAAGGAAATGTAGTTAAACGTTACTCGATCAGTTTCAAATATATGATGATCCATTGCTTGCTTTTTCAGAAATTTTCCTCTTGTGTGACAAACCAATCAGGGTCATTTTTAGTAATAAAAACATTAATAATATTGGAATAATATTATTAACATTATTAACACAAGAGTAAAAACGGTAAAATAAGTTTTGTGTTGACTTGTGTTTTGGATCGTAACTTTTAAGCTTGAGTGCACGGATACTGGTCCATGTTCCTAATCTTATTTTAGGATTAGGAAAGTGGTGTTTTACTCTTTCAGTGTGTTAAATAATGAATTTACTTTTTCCATAGATTAAACAAACATACTCTCTTTTAGGTCTATCGTTTATCACACTCGTATATCAGGTAAAGACAATTAATGTTTAGATTAGCTCTGCACGGTTTTAGGCCTATGTAGAAGCACGTAGAAGGTGATTTATTTTGTTTTATATATCCATTCCAACGGCCAAGACCATTATTCAATTTGATACATGCAATTACTGTACTGTACAATGGTAATCGTATACTTAATAATGTAAATATCTAGACATAGTTATACGCAATAATCAGTTTGTTGTCTATATAATTCTGTTTCTTGGTAGGTACCGGTATTCAATTTATGTCAAAACTTTTTATCACGCATTAACTACTGAGCGTATTGGGCTGAAATTTGGCATGATGATAGTTCACATTCCCGATTAACATAACATATAGGCAAATCTCAAAAATCCTTTTGGGCTCCACCCCAGTGGCTTTGTAGTTCCCCATGTTAACCTTATGAGTATCTATATATTAATTTGAAACTGTTTTTCTTTGTCACAGCTATTTTGAGAGAACGGCTGGGCGTAGAAACTCGGTAGAGGTGTCTAAAGAAAGGTCTTGGTCTGTAGATGAGCCATCAAAAGAGAAACATGGTGATTTCCCTTGGGGCTCTGCCCCAGTGGCCTTTGGATTCCCATCCCATGTTATTCTTATGGAGGAAAACGGGGTTTTTGTCACAGCTAATTTGAGAGAACGGCTGGGCGTAAACACTTGGTAGGGGTCTTTAAAGAAAGGTCTTGGTCTGTAGATGAGCCATCAAAAGAGGAACGAGATAAATTCTCTTGGGGCTCTGCCCCAGAAGCCTTTAAAGTTGCCTCTTCAGATTTGTTTACATTACGACCATATGCATTCTATACTTTTTTAATGAAACAGCTGTTAATATTTAAATTGTGATTTATTGAATTTGTCAAAATGAAGTAGAGTATTTGCAATGGGTTTTTCTGATTTTAAATTGGATTTTCTTCTGCATCGTGTCATATTTTGCAATATAAAGTTCTATTACCAAATCAGTGGAAAATCCTAATATCACAGTAACTCTTAAAATTATTTCTTTGGAGTTAACTTATATCTATTGTATGGGTTGGTTTCTGCCTTTTTTTACCACTTCTTGGAGATTGTACGTAGGTGATATTCGTTGGCATATTGCATCTGTAGACGAAATTTGGGTTGGTGTAATTATTAGAATGGAAAAGAGCGAGAAATCCTGGACAATTTGATATAGGCTAAAAATAAAACTGAATTAACACTGTTCTACATTTCTTGAGCAATAATTGAAATAACCGATTTGCAAACAATGGAAACATAGAAAAAGTCATGGAACACAACCAAGTAGAAGAAATAGAAATAATGTTTTTTTTTTTCATTTATAATCGTTATCATAGACAACCTAATGCGGCTATGAGAGGGAAACATTTGTAGAAAACACTAAAAAAACAAGATCAGCTTTTTGAAAAAAGATAAGATATTTACAAAAGATTTTGATTATATCTAACTGTTGTGTAGATTGTGAGTATTTCCATAATCTTTGAGTCGCCTGTAATGCTTCGCAATTGCTCGAATTCGAGCAACAGGTACACTAGTTCATATTTAAAGGGAATTATAGAGTGTTATTATCAGCTTTTTCAACTAAAAGAAAGTTGGTCTATGATATGCAAAAGCATTAAAAAGTTATATGATTTATTAACAGGGTGCAGCACAATATTTTTTGGCATTTATGCAAATCTGCTAATTTGAACTAAGCAGCAACAAAAAAACGGTGAAACGCAATGAGAACTATCCGTCAAAAAGGATTGTTTACAGTTGTGTTTATGTTTTAAATTTAATGAATAATTTGTGATATTTTGTCAATTTTTGATAATTTATCTTTCTCTATTGTTTAGGTGAAGTGGTAGAACATTGTGGCTATGGTGTGTAAATAAATACTTGAAAGAATTCCTTCTTAAAAGAATACTTTAAATTTAAAGAAGCAAATTTTATCAAACTGTGTCCTCTCTTATTGCAAACGTGAAGCTTGCGTATAACTGCAAAAAGCATTTTATACTTGTTATATATCCAAGAAGAGTTATTTATGTTATATTATATAGAGGCAAGTTGACCTCATCAAATAGTTTAAATGTTAACTTGTCGGGCCTGGTGAAGGAACCAAACCAGGATGAGTCATTCGGTCAAAGTCCAAGAGGCTGACTAGCCGATCGAGAAGGCACAGTGACGGAACGTCATTCGACGTTATGAACCCGGTGAGTAAAGTCAACTCGTACGCTTACAGTGTTAGTAGCCTAGTCTGCCAGTGTCCTGTACTTGTCCGGTTCTGTTCATTTCCAACGTCCGAGTCATAAAAATACTTATATGCCAACCCTGTACGAAGGACGGGTACTCTGCTAGTATAATTTAAATTTGACTAGAGAGCAAAAACAAACCTATAGGTAGTTAAATGCAAGTGACAAAAAGTGAATGATTTAACAGACAAAGAAGCATATCTGTAATTGCAACAACAAAGAACAGATTTTAATAAAACACAGGTCAGAGACTTTTGATAGGAAGAAAAAAAACTAAACATTAAATGTCTTTAAGTAGGGCCTATTGTATTGATCTTCTTTTTCAGTGTAGTCACGCTGTATTGAAAAAAAATCTACATGTTTTATCACTGTGTTGCCTGCTCCCTTGACTCGCACCATCGTGCTGTTGGCTGAGTAGCTAGTGGGGTGCTGTTGCTTAATAAACTAACAGATCATACGACCTTGTGTTAGAAGGGCTAAGGAGTCTTGAAATGGATTTGGCGGAGTATGTCAGGACAGTTTGACTCTTCCGTTGATAATATTGTGCAGCAGGACTGTGTCAGCAATATGAGTTCATCCAGCGACTGAAGACCGAGTACCGGGGATATGATATAGTGTCAATCTGAATCTGCTCCTGATGGTATGGGAATCCCATCTCGAAGCCCACCACTCGAACAAATCTTCGTTGCATTTTCTTCAACTCATTACCTAATTAGGAACTTTTGATGAGGGCTCCATATTGGTGAACCATATTTGAGAATTTGCCTCACCAAGGCACAGTAAAAAGGAACTTTAAAGCTTCTGAACCGCTGAGCTGCTTTGGGAAACGGAAGATGAAACCGGAGCGTTCTGATTGCTCTGCCTGCAGCATAAGTCCAATACATAAGTTTGGTAGTTCAATGAGGGCGTTAAGATAATGTCAAGGTCCTTTACCTGCTGCACTCGATCAATGTTTATGTTGCGAACTGAATAATTATAATTTATAGGGGCTTTACAGCGATGAAAAGTAATGACTTGGCACTTCTTAATATTCAAATTCATCCTGTTGTCCTCACACCAACGATCAAGACTAGGCAGATCTCTGAATCTGGAGGCAGTCATCTAAAGAGGATATAATGGAGAAAATCTTTACTATAAAAGGTATAAAATTACCGGAGTACTGCCAGAGTGATCCTGTTGGTCCTTACGGATTACGCGTTTCGAGGAGCTTAAGTCCTCATCATCAGATCTTGTACAAGAAACACATCTATCACTTCGAAAAGGTCGTCAAAAGTTTAAATATACAACACGGACACATAATAAATAAGCACATTTTTTACAATTACGGGTAGGCCTACCGACAAAAACTTGCAATGTCCGACCGCACAGTTGTAGGTTACAGTCATGACTGCATAGATGTGTTTCTTGTACAAGATCTGATGATGAGGACTTAAGCTCCTCGAAACGCGTAATCCGTAAGGACCAACAGGATCACTCTGGCAATTTTATACCTTTTATAGTTTGTTCTGTGATCCAGAGACAAAAACAACTCAAATCATGAAAATCTTTACATAGTCAGCGAAAAGAAGAGATTCGTTCTGAATTGCATCAGGGAGGTCATTAATGAAAACTGTGAAGAGATACGGACCAAGTAACGATCCCTGGGGTTCCCCTGAGTAGGAAATAAATTCGGAGAAGAGAGCCGACGCTTAAATGACGTAGATTGTCCTCTGAAACTCTTCACCGGATCAAGGGATCTTTCCGGATATACTCAAGGTTGGTCAAGTAGTCCCTATTTTGAAATGAGGAAATCCACCAGAAGTAAAAAAACTACAGGCCCATAACTATAATACCAGCTATTTGTAGTACTTGAAGCACTTGTTCTCCCTAGACTCAAAGCCATTCCTAAGACCACACATCAGCCAAAGGCAACATGGGTTTACTGCCTCGAAGTCTATTGATACAATTTTTTTATTATTTTGTAGCAATATTCTATCAGCTTTGAGAAACAGAAGATAGCTGGAAGTAGTTTTTGTTGACTTTGCAAAAGCTTTCGACAAGGTTGATCACTCTATCCTCATTGCCAAACTGAAAGCCTATAGGATCCTGGTCCATTTCTCAAGAGGATGAAAGACTATCTTACAGGGTGGCGCTTGAATTTAAAACTGCCTCTTTTGCAACTCCGATGTACTTATCCAACTCTCAGGCGTCCCGCAGTGCTCTTTCCTAGCACTACCTCCTTATAACTTTCATTAAGGACATTGTGGATTTGCTTGACGAGGAGACCATTTTATTTGTGGAGGATGTTAAAATATTTGTTGAAGTATCACGCTCTGAAGACACTCTCCGTCTACAGCAAGCTCGCTAGCCTAACTACTACCCATGATTGGTGCGTTTTGTTTCAAACAATATGCTCCTGGTGAACGTGTCCAAGTACTCCAAAATGACTTACAGTAGGATTCACACTCCATACACGGCAGAGTATTTATTACATTATGAACAAACCTCTGAAAAGAGTATCAATATCAGAGACTTGGGAGTGGTCTTCCCTCATCAGACTTCTCGTTCGAGGAGCATGTGGATTCTAAATGTAGCTAACCAACTACTGGTCTTTCTATTTCGTGCTACCTGGATGTGGACTAACAAATGATATCGCTCTTAAGACTATGTATTGCTCTCCTATCCAATAGCTGTCCGATGGCTGGCTGGCCAGGCCATTTTGGTCACCCACACCACACCTGAACATCAACAAACTCGAAGGTATCCAGAAGAAATACCTCAGATTTCTCGGTGTAGTAATACCACTAAAGGTAACTCATATCCTTGTTTAATAATAATAATTCCAATGAGAAAGAAATCAATATAATGAAAAATATTATCAAACTTCTTCCATTTATTTATCTATAGGAGAGTACAAATACTAGCTATGAACTAGAATTCTGAAAGGGTGGATTAAAATGAATAAATATACACTTTTTTTTCAAACTATTAACAAACAAAACAAGAATTTTAAAATTACAATAAATTTAAACCCATAGTTTGATAACAATGCTATACATAATATTTTAAACTATACGACCTGAAAAACTAGCAGCATTGAACTACTACATTTTTACGTGAGATAGGTACAAATAAACAACGGCAAAAAACTGCAATGTAAAAATAACAAAATGATTAAATGATGATCATATTTTCCAAAATAATCAATAATCTGTGAACACATCAGCTTAAACATTTAATCTTAACAGATCCAAACACATATTAAAGCGATTTTTTTCTGAACAACAATTTATTACATTCACCTAGAAATACTTAAAATATTACAAAATCTAATAAAGTTCTATTCATTTTAGCTATTTTACATCGTCAAAGATCGGAACACAAAGTTCATTGCAGGTGATAAGGCAGATCACACACACAAAATGTCCGTCAGTTCGTGTGTGAGGAAAGCAACAGAACACCAGTCGAAGCCAACGAAAGACTATCACATGACGCAACACCGTAACAGTAACGAATCACTTGTACAGGAGATCAGTTTGTACAGCTTCAAACAAGTGTTATTCACGTTTATTTCGTTTTCAAGAAGATGAGTTTTTCAGCTTCTCTCTCTTCCAGGTCTGGATTCGTTCTTTCAATTCAGGAGCTGAAATAGAAGAGATAACATGAATAATAAAATAAGACGGATGTACATTGTGAACATGGGATCTTATAAAGAAAAACAAAGTCTGTTCAGAAAGGCTTCCTTTAACTATTGAGTCTGATGTCCTTAATGACTACTTTATTAACTCTATTGCTGATATTAAACTACAGCTTGATAACACAAAAATGCAGAGCTCACCAATAGACTTTACTGATGGTGGTATTAATTTAAACTATGTTGCATTTAGTTGGAAAATTGTAACACCTATAAAAGTTGTCAATGCAGCACTAAAAATGGAAAACTCAAAAAGTGATGATGTTTATGGAATGTCAAATAATTTACTAACAAATATTATTTATGGATTACATGTACCTCTTGCTAATTGTATAAACTCATTGTTAGAAGCTGGAATATTCCCAGTCTTGTTGAAGGTCTCACATGTTTGTCCAGTCTATAAGAAGGGTCCAAGAGAGAAGCCCCAGAGTTTTTTTGTCCTATCTCAGTAATGCCGGTAGTTGGTAAATTAATTGAAATCTTGGTCTTTAAACAAGTTAAAGAGTATATTGAGGAGAACAACTTGTTTAATGTATCCCAATTTGGATTTAGAAAGTGAATGTCTACTTGCTCTTAATAATCTAATTCGTCAAATTCATGAGTCATTTGAAAATAGGTTATTTGATCAGGGCACTTTTTGTGACCTGAGCAAGGCATGTGATTGTGTTGATTTTAAAATTCTTACTAACTAATTACAGAATTATGGGTTTTGAGGGCCATCTCTACAATTATTTTCATCTTACCTAAACAGTCGTAAACAAATAGTAAGTATTAACCGTAATACGTCCCCCATGGCTCAGTCCTTGGTCCACTTTTATTCTTAATTTATTTTAATGGCCTTCCATTGGCAGTAAACAGTCAAACTATATTCTTTATGCTGACGATACAACATTTTTTCATGTAAACCCCAACCTAACAGAACTCAAAAATCTTGTCCATGAAGCAAAGCTAAATGCATCAAATTGATTTAATGCTAATGGCTTTTTGATAAATGAAGAAAAAACCCAAAACATGATTTTTACACTAAAACAGATTACCACTAACTGTGATCTAAATAATAGCACAGCTGTAAGATTTTTGGGGCTTAATATTGATAATCAACTCACATGGAATGCTCACATAGATTATTTATCTTCAAGATTGTCTCGTGTGGTACATCTTTTAAATCGTCTTGTAAATCAGGTTGCGAAGAAATATGTAAGGCCGGCCTATTTTATTTTGCATACTTCCAGTCACTCATGAGATATGGATTGGGGCTTTGGGGTAGTAGTGGTATAAGAAAAGAAATTTTGATTTCCCAAAAAAGGGCTTTAAGAGCTATGACTGGGACGCACCCTGATCATTGCAAACCGCTTTTTATAGATCTGCAAATTCAAACTGTAGTAAATTTGTTCATTTATGGTCTGATTGTTTATATATTAAAAACCCCTGAATATCTTCAATTTAATAATCACAGTCACAATACTTGTTTAAAAAATACTACGCTGTTAGAATCCCATCGCCTTGGTAAAACTAGTAATTGCCACATAATTTTATCAATTAAAGTGTATAATTCAGTAAAAAATAAAATAAATATTCATTCAATTAACAAATTTATATGTTTTATAATTATCTGCTTCAAAACCCTTTTTATAGTCTGGATGATTATTTTAAACTGGGAGAAATTGTCCTTTTTTTGGTTTTCATTTTGGTACAGAATGTGAATAGCGTGAATAGTGAATGTTGTAATATTTGGCCTATAAGAGTATTTTGTTATTTATGTTAAGACTTGGTTTGAAAACTGCAAATAGACTTTATCAATGATATGTAATTGTATCCTTATAGAAAATAAAGATTGATTGATTGATTGTGGGTCTAAAAAAAAGTCAGTTTGGGCCAGGCCAACAGTTGATCCAAGATATCGATGGGCCAGAAATAATTGTTGGGCCAAGCTCGGGTGGGATCATTTATATTAAAGGTGAGCAAGCGGCTTGATTTTGGTGCCGAGCTTTAATTTTCGTGAGCGCAGAAAGCTTCTTCAAATACTGCGTAGTCTAAATTTTACGATTCGTCATCACGGCTGCAGCAGACGTTTACCATTTTAAGCTCTAAAGTTTTCATTTTTCCGGACAAATTAAGGACACTTGAGTTTCTTAACAAGATATTTTGGAAAATTATTTCCCAAAAATGGAAAAGTATTGTTCTCATGTTTTCATTACGTTTTTAGTGCAACTTTAGATATGCTTATGCTAGAAATAAAATTAGGAGCTGTCATTTAAACAAGACTAATCCTAGAGCTTTTGTATCTCGATGAAAAAAAGACTTGCGTAGCCTGATGAGGTAGCCATTCATTATTTGTCATAAAACACAATCCTGAGGCTATCAAAATAATTACAAAAAAAAAATAACAGTGACATAATGAAACCCAAACCAAGCCTTTTGATGATCTATATCTATCTTTATCTCTTACCAGGCTGAAGCATGTCTTCGGAGAGTGGCTGACGACTGAAGGGGTCTGTGTTTGAGTTGAGCAAATGTCTGATTATGGTGTCTCGGTCCATAATCTTGCCACTAGGCAGCAGCACCGGGTCCTCCATCAGTGTGTCCATCAACGGATCTACAACAAACAAACAGTCAAACCTTCTGTGGATTTGTCACCAGAACTTTTAAAGTTAAATAACCTTAATTCTAGGCCACTACTTTTTCCCAGTTTAGTTAGGATTATAACTTTTTAAGTTGATATGATATAAAAGCAAGAAAATGTAGGTGGTGGAAAAAAAAACAGTAGCATCATATATTTTCTAGGAAACCATTTGGAAACTGCTCGTGTAGGTCAACAGTATCTTAGTTTTAAGTTTAAGAACTCTAAAATGTTATAAAGTATCAGTCATAATAATTGTAACCAGGATTTGTAGCAGTATGTTAAGTTGTCGTCGTTTTAACACCTAATAAAAATTGTCAACAGCGATCAGATGTGTAAACTTTTAAAATTTATTACTTTTTCAAAACAGATTTTAAAAAGATGTGCAATTTTTTAGGACAGATTTATTATGAAGGGTTGCACTTTTTACTTTCCTGAGGCATGTCAAATTGTATTGCACTCCAACCAATGGTGCCAAAATTGTCAAAACTAGTTTTAAAATTTAGGACTAAGTTAGAGAAAGAGTCACCTTTCATATTAAGTAAGCGAGGATATTAAACTAATATTTTAAATGGGTTATTAAAATTATTACACCTCTTGTCCAATTTTGAGTGTAACAATATTTTAACGAGCACAATCATGAATTGAATATTTATTTTTAATAAATTAAAAACAATTAAATGTTTGATAATGCAACTAAATATTAAAAATATTACTTAATGTGCTTTTAGCTAATAAATCAACTCCAACTAACCTCTAAATTCCTCAGGAGCGTCGCTGAAGTCTACTTCTCTCTTCATGTTCTGAATAACAATCTCGGCTGCTTGCTGGGCAAGTTTTCTGAACTTTTCTAATTCAACGGGAGTCTTGATCACAGCCCTCTCCATTCTCAGGGCTGCATCGTCAAACAGTTCTTTTCTGAATGACCTCTGAAAAATAAATAAATAACAATAAGTGAATTGATGTTAACAGTTCAAAATTGAATACAATGTCAACTTGTATCTTGTATCCAGGTAGAATATATTGTATATAGTGACTGCTGTGTAAATATCAAAACTGACGACCCCTACTTGGACAAATACATTTTGGTATTGTGCTAACTGAAGGCTGGGTAGCTGAGTGGTTATAGTGCTTGCCAAACCCCTATGTTTATAACACACTGCATTCATTTTAAGTTTTAAATATGTATTAAATTTATTTTACTGTCAAAGCAAAGTGATTACTGGAAGCAAGATTATTAACCCAATGACGAAAGGCAGCTGAATCTAGAATCTGCCATTTTTATTAGAGTATTTTTTGACAATTTGGCTATAGCATGTTATTAGCTTTGATGGATCGTAATTAAAAATGTAATGATAAGTAGGCTATGTATAATGACTGAGCTCTAGCAAATGAGCCACTTATCTTGAAGAATATGATATTCAGAAAAAAATACTAAACCAACAAGATGAAAAAAATTAATTTTTCTATAGCGTAGGCCTATCTTAACTTAAAAGAATCTTTTGGGAAATATTCTAATGTTGGAATTATAGCCTATAGCTCTATTAATCGCGTGACCTGATTTCTGTAGGTTTTATAAATCAGAAATCAGAATGTTTTTATTGTCCTTCAGCATTACAATCATACAATTAATAGACAAAGTCAAAGTTTGATACATTACAAAATTAGGCTATACAGTATCAGAGTCAACGTTTAAATTGTAACATATATTGTAATACATGCCCTTAATGTTTTGTGTTGTGTTCACAATGTGATTGGCAATTCCCAATTGGATGAATAAATAATTTTTTGGTTTCATGACACTAGGTGAATCTACAGTTATGGCAAAACATGTGGTAAATTACGCAAAGTAACTGCAGATACAAGGAAAAAATAGCCTACAGTAGACTGCCTCTAATCCAGGCTTTTTGGGACCAAGGCTAGCCGGGATAATGGTTTTACCGGTTAAACAGATGTCCCCTTAAACTCGTTAATATATGGGGAATCACATTAAAACTACAGAAAAGCAAATGCACACAACAGTATACTGGGTAGTACAAGGTAATATACTGTACTATGACGTTTGGTACAACCGTTCACAACAACCACAATTTACGGTATGCATTGTATGAAGGTGTCTAAAGATACATGAACACACCATGCGAATCAATTGAAAACTTTTACAAGCAGCCTATTTTACTTGAATTTGGGAGATCATTGTTTTTAGACTAGTAATAAATAAACTGGTCTCAATCCTTTCCCAAGAGAGAAATAACGCCCACTTCCTACCGATCCAATCCAGTTAAACCATTGTCCGGTTAAAAGGTGCCCGGATAAGAGGGAGTCTACTGTATTGTGTGTACATTTCAGGAACATTAAGTTTGGGTGTTAGATTCTCATAACAAACAGACCTCGTCGGACGCGATGGCCGCAGCAAACTGTTCACAATCCAGGTGAAGGTAGATGTCCACCAGCTGACCTAGTAGTCTGCGAGGTTCCCAGCCGTACTTGTCTGGCGTGCGCACCTTCAGGTTCTTGCCTGTAACATAGATAATACAATGCTATAAGGCTAATTTTAGGATATAAATTTATTACTGCTATGAGACATAACACAAGTACAACACCTGATTATGGAATAAATGTCATTGGAGATATTGCTTTAACTTTCCATCACAGTCAGTAAAAATAAGCTTTAACATTTTTTAAGATCTGATGTGGGACTCCCGATATATGTTTTCAAAATAATTAAATAATACGGAGAGGAAATAATAAATTCAAAATAAGTGTTGCTTGAAAAAGTAATAAAATAGAATTAGACAATTTTAAATTACCAACTATGATTTTTTGTTGGGTAAATTATAAAATTTATCATCATTGATGTAAATTATAGTAAACAATTATATCATTCCCAGGGCTGCTTTGTTGCTTTCAAAGTAGTTTCGGTAAATTGATTAGTTTATTTTTAGTTTTGTGTCCGCCGTTTCTACATTTCACTTATTGAACCACCGACAGGGTGCTGATAAATTTACTAATTTCTATTGAATAGCCTACATCAACTTTTTGTAACCTATAACATCTTTCATGTCACATCAACCATACAAAAGAATCAAGAATCAAAGTTTATTCGTCATTGAGTAATACAAGATCACAATAGGCTTCATCCGTTATACATCAGCTTATACATTGCAACAAGACAGTACCAAGAAGATAATCTATAATATTAAAACAAAACGGGGTTTTTTATTTCACGATTCTGAATCAACCACTCGACGGATTTACATGATTTTTGTGTTGAAAGAAAGATAATTTTGAGAACTAGGGAATGTCGAAGCCATAATTTTAGTTTAGGGTTTCAGTTTTTTAGAAATTAAGTTTTAATTTTCAAAAAGTCTAGCAGCCGACGGACGAGTTTAAGTCGTTTTAGTGGTGGTTTAACTAACAGCTGGTTTCTAACTGTCATTGAAATGTTTATGTTACAAGTTGTATACAAATATATTGATCAGAGTTTGCCTACACACTATTTCACTTTAAAATGTAGTTTATTTCCTACCGTAAAAGATCTATGTTATCAGGAGATTGTGTAATTTTGAACTAAATATTTAAAACGTATAATCAAGTTTTGTCATAAATGCAATCCGTCTAAGTAGAAGTGCTTAATCCTTTAAGATATAAGTAGTTTACGTGTTGATACATTTTTTTTTCTAAATGTTTGAATATAAGTATGACTGCATGCAGTACAAATTTTATTCGTAATGAAAATGTCAACGAAAAACTAACCAGTAAGCTGCAGGGTGTCAGTAGAAACCAAAATCGATTCATACCATATCATAACTATCCCAGTAGTACTGTATGATTCAGAAACTTGATAAAGGGGTACAAAAGAAGACCAAAAGGCTCGGATCTCGGATGGGCTGGGCAGGCTTTGCATGGCGAAGAGAAGATACTTCAACTTTTAAAAGTGTATTCCAAGGAGTACTACAGTGTAGACGACCACTTGGAAGACCAAGTAATGAAAGACATCTTCAGACTGGTATCTTCCTTAGAAATGGCAGGGCATAGAAGAGAACGGGAGGCCAGGATCATTTTAGAGGTTTCAGTGGCCAAGGTGGTAAAATAAGGTACGGTAAGTGATAGTAGGCCTATGAAGTGGAAGGCGGTATGTAGCTACTGTACTCAAAGCCAGTGTGTGTGAATCGGCCACCAAGTTGTAAACTAGCTGTTCATATTCAGTTTTAGTTGACTACTCGATTCCCGTACGTAGGATATAAAATAATAATAAACATAAAGCCAATATAAGTTGAAAGTAGTACCAACAAAAGAAAATAAATTGATGAAACAATAAAAAACCATGAGGAAAAAACGGAGGAAATATAATTTTAGACTGTAGCACACTCAGTAAGTGACTTAAGATTAATTTATAAATGTTTTTAAAATAAAGAATAAGCTTTAACCGTTTAACCAGATAGATGGGATGTCTAATTCAGAATTAAAAAGTCAATGATATATTACAGTAGTATAGTTGTTATACTTGATCCTCATACATTTGGGTCCACACAGCTGCTGCAGGTTGAAGTTCAACATGGCCGACAGTCGTCCGACCAGCTCGGGTCGCAAGAATGGCTCCTTGATGTCCACAGTGAGATAGTGGAACATGTCAACTGTCTCTCTGGCCAGTGTCAGGTAGGACCTGTAACACACACGTAGAAAACACTTGATTCAGGCTCAAATAACAGCATTATGTTGTAAACTCATTAATATTTTATTTTTTGGATGTAAAGGCATTAAAATTAGCAGTACACTAAAAAAGAAGAAATGGATATTGGAGACACAACCAATTTACCCAAGAAGTATTCGGGCAGTCAAGAGTAAAAAAAAAATTGCAACGCTTGACAACTTGTTCCAACAAGGAGTTCTTCAGAATGAAGTAGAATGGCAGTTACAAAACTAGCGTTGTTTTATCTATTTGTAACTTCCATTCTACTAATTCATTTTGAAGAGCCTCCTTGAAGGGGCAAAATATCAAATTAATTTTGTTGTGAACTTTTTGTGTGCTATCAACTACTTAATAACTTCTTGATCAGCATTGTAAGTGTTATTAAATTTATGGAAAGTAAATAAAGACACGTCTTATAACACTTAAAACATATATTTACGCTTATACTGTTCGATTGGATTCGAAGATTCGCCTATTGGGTCTGATGATGATTGGAGTGTCCAATCGAAATCGATCACCACTTACCATCTTTTGTATATTTACCGTCTTGTGAGTAACAGTATAAGCGTAAATATATGTTTTAAGTGTTATAAGATGTGTATTTATTTACTTTCCATCAACTACTTGGAACTGCTTTGTTCAGTCAAGTTGTCTTTGTTTTGTGTATTAATTTTATATGTCTTTGTTTTAACAGTCTATCTGTAATTCCCATCACATTACCATATGTAAATTTTCATTGTTGCATACATTCATCGCGAATCACTTCTCATAACAACACGTACCCATTATTTCTCTCATAAATTAAACCTCTTTCATACCAAAACCCTCGACCTTTTATTCTTTATTATAATAACACCGCACATTTTTGGTCCTTTTGAGCCGTGGATTTTTGGTCCTATCGAGCTGCGGATTATATCAACGAACATTAGTGCGTAATTTTTAAAGTTAATTTAAATGTCTCGGTTGAACGTATTTCATCCAACGTGAAGCCGCCAAGGACAATACCGCATCGCCATTTTGAACTTTACGTCTACCTCACGATACAGTTCACACTCCTCTCATTCCAAGTGTTCAACATCGTCATCGTTCTGCTAGTTCAGCTCCGCATTCAACACTTCATTTCGTCTACACTACAACTTCAACTTCAAACGTTAAGAAATTGAAAAGTAAGGTTATGTTTGTTTGTACTTCGAAGACAACGCACCGCATCTCATCGTAAGTTATCAAAATAAATCAATATCAACATGAAAATAATAAAGAAACCCTGATTTTATTTCTCAGTCGTCCTTATCCTCAAATTACTCCATACATTTACAATATCTCTACTATTTACTGAACTCATTGAACAATCTCGGCCTGACTTCCAAAATGAGATTTTCAACATTTTCCAATAGATGCAAATTGCAATTAAATAAATTAAATACCATCAGTGAGTATATTCAATCATGTCCATCAGAAATAACAGAAGGTCAAACCACTAAACTTAACCTTTATTTGCACGAAGCTAAAACCATTTCTGACAAATTTTGAATCTAACCTAGATAAGCTTCTTGATGTTGATGACGATACTAACGTTTTTCCTGACAATAAAGAAGCTATTTTAAAGATCCAGAACGACATATCAGAACTCTCAATAAACATTCAAACCGAAATTTCTCTTTTAATTCAGAACTTTAATGATGAACACTTGTCAAATAACTCTGTAACTTCAAACACCTCTAGGCATACTACTAGCGTTGTAAAATTGCCCAAGCTAGAACTGAAGTCCTTCAATGGTGACACTAAAACATGGATATCCTACATTAACTTTTTTGATACTACTATCCACAACAACAGTAGCTTATCCCTTGTTGAAAAACACCAGTACTTGATAAGTTCACTTGAAGGCGAAGCCTTACACCTAATCAAATCCCTACCGATCTCGTCTGGCAACTATACAGTAGCCTATAATGCTTTACGGGAAAGATACCACTCGAAGCGTAGGCTAATCTCTGTCCACCTCAGTAAAATTGTTGATTTGCCCAATATAACTGACAAATCTATCAAAATCCTCAGATCATTTTTAAATGAGTTTAATGAAAATGACCAAGCTCTTAGTGTTCTTGACTATAATGTCATGGAAGACAACTACCTACTAAGTATGTTGATCTTACGAAAAATGAACTCCAACCTCTGTCAAGTTTTTGAATCAAAACGTATAAATTCTTCTGATTTTCCTCAAGCTAGTGAAATAATAAAATTCCTCAAAGACCTTTGTAACAACAGTGAAGATGCATCTCTATGTCACAGTCAGCAAGCAGCTCCTCTCCAAACATCCAACCTTCACCAAGTTCCACGTCAAATTGATGAATCAATTCAGTTTCAACATCCTCCTATGGCTTTGATATGTACTTCAAATGATTTGAAATGTTTTTGCTGCCATAAAAATCACAAAATATACAGTTGCCCTGTCTTTCATAGTAAAACCCCTCAAGAAAGGCTTAAAGTTGTACGCGACTTAAAACGCTGCACAAATTGCCTTGGTAATCACTTTGCTAAACGCTGCAAGTCTACTAATACTTGTAAGACCTGTTTGCAACTTCATCACACACTCCTACATTTTTTGAAGCCTACTAAGCCTATGGCTGATAACAGAAATCACTACAACCAAGAACAAAAAGAAGCTATAGAAAACTCCAAACCTTCGAAACTGACAGCTGTAACTCCTGACCATTTTCTTATCAACTCTTCTCTGACAACTGTTCCTGACCCAACAAAGATCTCACCTCTTATTGATAATAATTTACCTCAAGACATTACCCAACGCCTATGCTGCCGTTGGAGTCAAGAATATTTTAAGACCCCTCATCAGCGTTGTTTCAAGTGGAACCTCAAGAAAGAAAACCTCAATGTAGACCCTGTTTGCTAAAACACATCAGCTCCTTCTAGCTACAGACCAGCTGGATCCTCATTCAAGACCATCATTCAAAGTGTCTTCATACCATTAAGCTGCATTCTTTAAATCATTTTTCAACCCACTCTGGTCAATTCTCATAAAAATGTTATATATTTTTTTCAATTTCTCTTTTGTTGAACCTTGTTGGTTCAAAGGGGTCGGTATGTTCAGTCAAGTTGTCTTTGTTTTGTGTATTAATTTTATATGTCTTTGTTTTAACAGTCTATCTGTAATTCCCATCACATTACCATATGTAAATTTTCATTGTTGCATACATTCATCGCGAATCACTTCTCATAACAACACGTACCCATTATTTCTCTCATAAATTAAACCTCTTTCATACCAAAACCCTCAACCTTTTATTCTTTATTATAATAACACCGCACATTTTTGGTCCTTTTGAGCCGCGGATTTTTGGTCCTATCGAGCTGCGGATTATATCAACGAACATTAGTGCGTAATTTTTAAAGTTATGAACGTATTTCATCCAACGTGAAGCCGCCAAGGACAATACCGCATCGCCATTTTGAACTTTACGTCTACGTCACGATACAGTCCACACTCCTCTCATTCCAAGTGTTCAACATCGTCATCGTTCTGCTAGTTCAGCTCCGCATTCAACACTTCATTTCGTCTACACTACAACTTCAACTTCAAACGTTAAGAAATTGAAAAGTAAGGTTATGTTTGTTTGTACTTCGAAGACAACGCACCGCATCTCATCGTAAGTTATCAAAATAAATCAATATCAACATGAAAATAATAAAGAAACCCTGATTTTATTTCTCAGTCGTCCTTATCCTCAAATTACTCCATACATTTACAATATCTCTACTATTTACTGAACTCATTGAACAATCTAGGTCTCATAACAACACGTACCCATTATTTCTCCCATAAATTAAACCTCTTTCATACCAAAACCCTCGACCTTTTATTCTTTATTATAATATGCTTTCTTGGGTAAGTTATGGTGAGTTGATGACTCAAGTAGTTAGCACAGTTATAGTCAGTGAAACCAAGGCAGCGTTGTTTTGGGTTAAAAGAAAACACTAATGCGTGTTGTGTTTGTAATAATTTAGACTAAGTTAGTAAAATTTGGTTTAGGTTTGTACCTTTAATTTGCTTACTATTTATTATGCTAAGTTAAGCCATAGACTAACCAACAAAAGTAGACTTCTCATCCCATTGTAAATTTTGAAGCACGTTTTTCGTGTCTAGTTCATGTACGTGACACAAAGGCGCTAGTGTCGATGAAACTTTGTTTCCATTATTTTAGGGTTAATTTCTTGATTTGTGCTTTACTGTTTGGTTATATAACTAGGGTACAAGTTATTTTTTATGATTAGATCGTATTATTTGGTTAAACGAGGTTTTAAATGGCTGTAATAACGGGAAACAAATTGTAAACAAAACACGACCTCTACATAAACCGTACATGAACTAACAATAAAATTGTCTTCAGCTGTTCCATAAGGATGAGAAATCTACTAAGGGAGTATGTTTTATCTATGGTTAAGCCTAGATTAAATACTTATAGCAAGACAAATGATTAATCTGAAGAATTTCTTAACAATACAAATTTAATGAACTAAAAATAAGATATTACAATGATGAATGGGGTAAATGAACAGATAACAGATAAGTTAAGTTATAGGGTTGCCATCTTTGGTTTAGCCTAGCTCAGTAAAAACAGAACAATGAGTTTACAATTTAGTTTAATTACATAAATCTCAGGGAGGGGAACTCGGCTGGCTAAAAAGATCTTCAAATATTTTAATTTATGAAATAAAATATGTCAATTATTATGAAAAATTGAATAATTTTGATATTGCTCTTAGGCTTGGATAGGTAAATTAAATAAGTAAGTCCAACAATGAATAGACTAGGTGAAAAATTTATTAAAGTTGAATTTAGTTCTCTTGTTCAAATTGTTTTTCTGGGATTATTCTTGATGAAATAAAGTAGTTTTTGAATTCAAATAATTAGGTTCGATGATCAGAAAGTAAATAAAATAGGTCTATTAAGTTGAATTTCTTGAAGGTAGGCTAAGCCTATACAAAATGGAAAGTTCTCACCAGATCTTCAGTAATAGTGTCCAATTTATATAAATCTTGAGGTGGCAGTACAAATTTGGAATGAAAAAAATATATATAAAAGCTAAACTGTTCTTCTGTTATTAAGTTAATGTTCAGTTAAATAATTTTAATCAATTTGACTTTTTAAAATGTTAGGGATTATACCCTCACTGATTTTAAGGTGTTGATGCTGCCATGTCCCAATTGAGAAGGAGGAAAATTTTTATTTCACACAGGAAGATCAAAATTCATTGTTGAAGCCAGCTGTCTTCTTTCTTCATCACTTGCACATGCACTAATAATAAGCCAGGCTTTTGGATATAATCAATGTTGGGGATTTAGAAATAAATTATACTATATTAATAATTTTGGATAAAAGTGTTATTGCAACTATGGACTTAATTACAGGTTACAGTTTTTTATTAATAATAATATGTGTTGAATATATACAATATATTTTAAAATGTGATGATGGTTTCTGAGGGGTGATTAAAGGATAATATAATTTAAATTTACTATTAATTTTCTGACAATTTAAATAGGCTATATGGCGAATTTTGGTACAATAAAAGAAGAAGAATTATATAACTAAAGAATGAATGTAGTGAATGGTCTAAAAATGACATGTAACATTGCAGGGTTCACGTCCTGTTACTGCCAAATTTATCAGTTCAGTTTAAGCATGCCTTTGAGAGCTATGTGGACAAGCAAATGAAATGTTAAAATAAGTTACTACATTCTTTAAAAAGGTGATAATTTTCCCTTAACTGACCTGCATTGTCTCTCGTCCGCAGAAAGCTGTCTCCTGCGAGTCTGTTGCTGTTCCATGCCGATCCTCTCCCAACCAGCAGTGTCAGCCATCAGCTCCTGTACCTCGTGGATGCGCTGTCGACAATATATTGTGTCAAGATACGTAAACATTTTTAATAGAGTTCAGAGTAACCATAATAGATATTCACCTGGGATAGAGGAGGAATAAAATATGTGTTCATCAACTTCTACATGCTAGAGCAATTCCACTAAATTACAATAAAAGAAAGTGACATTCCAATAATTATTAGGGTAGGCAACTGGATATGGTGCTTGCCTTCATAACTGAGGGTTGCTGGCATAATCTCAAGCAGGATTGAATGCTATTCCCTGATGCAATGTGTCACTGGGCTATCAATTACAGTAGAACCCCGGTTAACCGAAACGGTTCCATAAAATAATAAAGGGCTAAAATATAAGTAGGTAGTACATAATTTAAAATGCTTTAGTAACTTCAGTTGTTTAGTTGAAAGTATTTTCTAGCCCATTGTAACATTTATGTAGCTGAAATAAAACCCTGTATTATATAAGCATTGTTTAAAATTCATTTTTCCTGCACACTGTGGTAATACATAGGCTACTTTTAGCATACTAGGTGAAACCCGTCGAAATCGACGGTTACTTTTAAGACTTACGCTAATTCATCGAACTGCGATAAATTGAGAGAAATTATAAATATTTTGAGCATTTAGCATTATTTAAAGATTAATAAGTGTAAAAACAATAATGATATTAATTGCATTAGTTACCAAATATGGTTGATAATTCTATGAATAAAATATTTCCCATACTGTACGTCATCGGAGTTGTTAGTATGCTATCTGGTATCTCTTCCTTTGGAAGAACCTTTAAATAGTATTAAAATCGTATTGGTGGATCTTTTGTACCTAAACACTTCAGTGATTTCATCAGTGTAATGATCTATGATTTTATTTGAAAAAAATCTGTTTGTTGGGAAGAAACGATCTAACTTCAAAGTGAGGTATATCCGTTACAGTGTAAGTTTGATTTTTCCGTCACGTCGCGTACTTCTGTGCCAATGAATAATCCTCTAGCATAGTTTTGAGAAATTGGTTGTGGGGTTACTGGAATTCCTTGACATAAGGGATGTCAGTTAGTTGTTTCAGCCTTATCAATTACATAAAGTTGTCAATATAATCTCTCTACGGAATGTTAGGTGTAGTGGAATATACTTGAAGTGAAGTTGGCTTTTATTCTTCTTCTTAACTTGGAACAATGCTGGTGCACAGTTTTGTGAAAGCTACTAGTGGAATCACCCCTGCATCATTGAACATGTTCAAGCATGCAAACCAGTTCTAAAAACATTATATTATGGTCTTTCAACTGACTGTACAAAGACTTACTTCATATTTTAAACAAGTTTAGTCAAAGTAGCAACTTACAATATTTTCAATCCAATAGTTTCCTTACCTTGAGACTTTCTAAACTTTCATCCAACAGGAACGTTGTGTCGTTCATTAACATGTTGATGAATTTGACAAACTGTTTTCCAGATCTGTAAAAGAGGTTTGCATATGAAATAAATGTAAGCCTATCTTAAATAATTTGAAAAAAAAACTTAGAAGACACATAAATTATTTAAAAAATAAAGCATCCAACTCTAAAGCATTAGTATTTAAATAATAACTAGTTGTTTGTCCCGCTCTTCGTTCGGACAATAAAAAAAAATTAAAAATGCAGGTGTTAAAACGTCTGGTAGATTCTTATAAAATCTCGTGTATGGATTTATTTCTATCAAAATTGCTCCTAACTCCTACAAAAATGTCTGATCCAACTCATTAGAGTTACTCTCCATTATTTTGTCAGTAGCCTCACCTACATCAGGGCTACAGATATACAAGGGCTAGGCCAGGCGAGCTCAGAAAGTGATGCCAGGTGGCTCCCCACCACTCCGCCGCTGTGACGTCACGGCGATACCTCGGGCTCCCGGCACCGTATATCTTTGCCTGTGTGAGCTCTGGCATTACCGCACATTTAGCGTTTATTAAGCTCTATGTTGGAAACTTTTATTAGGTATTAATGTATTTTATAAAAGTAATTGATTTTCGAATAGGATTACGTATAACATCAATTCTAATAAGTAAAAAATTAACTTTAGTACATATTTAAGGATGGGAGTGGAATGTAAAGCGATGGCTAAGAATACTGTAGTTATTGATCCAATGTATTATGTTGCTGTGAAATATCTGTGTTCGTATTGCTCGAATGTATCTTAATGTATCTTTTTCAGTAACTTCTAGTTTAGTAGGATCCATCCATATTATAATTTTTTTTTAATGTATTACTATAGACTCTCGTATTTGTTTAAATCAAATTAGGGGTTTCCTTTCTAATATTCAATTTATAAATGTGTTTGTCTTTTTTAATTTCTAGTAGATGTAGGTAATAGCATCGAACAAATTTTAAATACTTTGTATATTGCCTAACAATGGTTTACAAGAACTCTTCCCCCGATCACAGATCAACAGTCTATCCGGGGGAATAATTCCATGTAATATATTGTTCTATTATTGTACTGTTTAATTTTTGGAATAAAAGTATTTTGATTTGATTTGAATGTATGGATTATTAATTGTATTTATTTATTACTTACTAGTGTCCCTGTTGCTCGAATTCGAGCAATTGCTAAGTATTACAGGCGTTAGTTATTTTAAAACGAATAACAGTCATAATGTCTGATGACTTTAAAAGATTCGACTCAAAGATTATGGAAATACTCAAGATGTACCTAACAGATCGATATAATCAACATTTCTTGCAAATATATTATCATTTTTCAAAAGCTGATCTTGTTTTTTAGTGTTTTCTACAAATAGCCTTACTCTTAGCCACATTAGGTTGTCCATAATAACGATTATAAATTCTAAAAAAACATGATTTCCATTTCTTCTTCTTGGTGGTGTTCTATGACTTTCCTATGTTACCATAGTTTGCAAATCGGCCCTTTCAATGATTACTAAGAAATGCAGCACAGTGTTAATTGAGTTTTCTTTTTAGTATATCAATCCATCCAGGCTCTCTAGCTTTCTTCCATTGTAATATTTACGCCAACCCAAATTCAAATAGTGAATATTTCATTTCTACCAAGTCAGTAAATGTTTGTAGTAAACTGTTAAATTAGCAAACTTATTGACTGTTTACATATGTTCTTCTTCTCACTTTTAATTTCTAACAACAGCTGGAGTTTTATAATAATTTTTGTTTCCCTTGCTAATCTTATGGAGAAATACAAAACTTTAAAGGGCCCCAGGGCCTCACTCTCTAATTATTTCCCTAAAGTGAAAGTTTCCTGCACAACTTCAAGTTACGCTTTTTCCAACGACACCAAAAACATGTCAATCGGTTCAGTAGTTTCTGAGGAGTAATTGTCACAAAAAACCTGCTTGCGTATTAAATAAGTATAGATTCATACCTTTTAGGATTCATTGAGGTTATATAAAATACATTGAGGTTGTATAAAAATACATTACCTATACTTAGTATTTTGAAACTTTTACAGGAAGGAAAAGAATTTCAATTAATCAATTACATTTTATTATAGGCCCTACATATTTTAATACATTAGAATAACATATAGTTGCAAAAATACATTAAGTTGCCTGACTAACTAATCTCAATCTCTGTTGACCAATAACTAACAAGTCGAGTTTTGGTGTTATTTTACTTTATCAGTTTACATCGTGATTATAAGTTGTAAATGTTTCGTTACGATATTATTTATTGTGCCTCGACTGTAACTGTGACATTACTTTTAGAAACTTGAGACACTATTTTTAGCCAGTTTTGTGAACTTCATTGACTGTTTATAAAAATTGTACTTATTTAGTTTATAAACAGTTTTATGTGGATATACTTTCTTAATTTGAGGTCTGGGACATTACATTTAGCCCGTTTTTGAAACATTTCGTCATAATTAACAAACGATTTAATCGCCAAATGAAAAAGGCACAGCAGCATTTTATAGAAAAAACTATAAAATATTTATTTTTGTATATTTGCCTTTATAACTATGTATATTCATGTAGGGGAATAAGTTTACTTTCATTTTATATAGTTGGTTTGTGGGGTTTTAAAAATAATATATACGTGTGAATAACAAAATTTTTTTCTAGACAAATATAAAACATTTATTAAAAGTCATAAACATCTATTGAAATGATCAGTATACATAAACAATTCTTACTTCATTTGATCTCCAATATTATTGCCTAAAAATGTTTACTTTTACTTTATCTCTTGATAATACATTTATTTGGTTTTTATTTGAAATTTGTTGTGCAAAATCGTGAAACTTGTCATTTTATTGTTTTTGGGCCATAACTTTGTATAAATGGTAATTGGAATCTTTTTACATTTCCATGTAGGGAAATAAATTCCAAACAATTTGTATATCTTATGAAACATTTTTGGTTCATGCAGCAATTTTTCTACCTACTGACAATATTTTCTACAATATTTTTAATATTTATTTTGTTGCCATTTTCAAATTCTTCATTTCATTACGAACACTTCAAGTTGGAAATAATAAATACGGTTCGTAGGTTTGATTTGTTGGTTTAGTTTATATGAATTTTCGAAAATATGACTGCAAAGTCGCCAAAAATGCCTTGCCACTCCCATTGCAAGTTGGAGGGTTAACGATCAACCCGCTTTAAAAATCACAATATAAAACTAAATTATTACAAACACAATTATTAATATGCGCGTAGATGCCGGGCGACATATGCACTGCCGTGCTAGGCTGTATATCTGTAGCCCTGTGCTAGGCTACCGTCAGGCCTCGCGCCGATGTATCTCCGCTACGTCACTGAGGAGTGGCGGGGGAGGGGAAGTAGGATCAGGCGGCGACCGCTAACATCAAAGGAGTGAGCCAGCCCTTGTATATATGTAGCCCTGCACCTACATCAAGAACATAATAAAGTTGTCCTCCGAGAGTTCGAGGGTCTGACGCATAGAGATCACCTGCGTAGTGTTGGACCTGTCCACATACAATAAAACAATAGGGCCCATAACCTTTAGGATGTCTTACATCAGCGTCCTATGCAGTTGAACTGTAAACCTGTTTGTAACTGGCCATAATTTACCTTAAAGTTTAGAAGTAAATAGGGAGAATGCAGTGTTTCACCTCAATTGTTTACTTTGGATTCACTGCTGCAAAGTAGACATGCCAGATTAATAATAAAACTTTAATTTAGAGGATTAGGCTATAAACTACTGATACATGTGGTATAGTGGTGACCACAGTTAGTAATAAGATAGTGAAGGCAGTCATTCTCAAACCACTGTCAGCCCAAGAATCTTCCACCAAGCTACCAGGTTTGGTTTGGAGTGAATTAGTTTTACTCTGATTACTGCAGACGAACAATTCACACTTACTTTGACTCGTTGATGATCGCCTGTCTGTGCACGGCACTATCCCACATTCCTTTGAGAATCAGACTGATGTGATAGCGGATTGTGAATTTATCGTAAAACTCTGAGCTAGACCCAGTGGTCTCCACATCTGTCAAAACATAACACCAACTTGTATTTTTAATGGAAAAAAGACAGTTATTTCTCTAAAACCAATATTCCAGCTGAACTTCATAATCTATTTGAAAAAATCAAACAAAATCATAACTGCACACTTAAATTTCTAAATATATGTAGAAATATATGTTTTTAATTGTTATGTTTGTAGTTGCAAGTTTACAACTCCAATGTCATTAGGTAATAACCCTAACAAGACGTCATGGCCTGGCCGGATATATCATGGAATGTGCTGATGTCATAGTACTTGTGGCGAACCGTGGTATCTTGGTTCGCTCTTCAGTCTTCACCAACCTTAATTTTGTTTGCACCCAAAGTAATCATTTGGCTGCAGACCTGTCTAGCCCTTAGTATGATATTTGAGGTATGACACTCAGCTCGTTTTGAGTCACATGAATGTTTCAGCACGTTGACAAGAGCGTGGATTCCATGAAGACCAAAGAACATACTCATAGGTCTGTGCTGGGACTCTATTTCCCTACTCTTACAGCTTAAATTGAATTGTATTGTAATGATCAAAGTTGAAATTTATTATTCTTTTGTTTCAAATTGTAAATTACGATAGGTGAATTTATGGTGTTATATTTATATTTATTTATGGTGTTTTAGGTGTTATATTTATCTTCCCGCTCCTGTCGGGTTTAAGAGGCTAGCGACAAAGTTACCAGTTTGATCCTTAAAAAAAGCTCGTTGGGCTAATAAATGAACCTGACTGAAGAAACAGCTAGTTTTACTTAGTTACAAAGGTACACCATATAATTCAGTCAGTTTTAAACTAATCCTTCACTCATTTTGAATTGAAATACACCCAGTTGCATCACAATCTTAATCAGTAACAATGGTAATGCTAGTAACTGACCAGTGTAGAACTTCATAAGACAGGACGGCAGATGAGTCTCGGAGATGGGATGTGACAGGACCCGATTGTACAACTCCTCTGTGTGGGGGTTGAAGCCTGGGTTGAGTACGAAGAGTACCTCTATGATCTTGGCCACCAGGTAGGGGTTCTTAATACAGTGAGGTGAGCAAGTGGCCACCAACAACCATGTGATCATTGAGCGATCCATGGAAGTGGCTATTACGTTGGGACAGTACCTAGACACAACAGTCACAAATGTAGTTTTCTTTTAAATTTTGTTTCTTTTATTTTTTGTAAGATTGACATTACAGGTGTGCGAGCGGCTTGATTTTCAAGCCTAGCATACAAGCTCGAGAGATTAAGCACAAAGTCAGGAAATCAAGCTTGAGAGATTAAGCACCAAGTCAGGAAATCAAGCTCAAGAGATTAAGCACCAAGTCAGGAAATAAAGCTCGAGTCAAGTTTTATAGGATCGCAATGTTATCGCAGCCGCAGAATGTGTCTGCAAAAAGTTTAAAAAACCACGCTTTCGCAACCATTAGGGATGGTGTGAGGTGATATTTATTCTTAACTTAGTACAGTAGAACCTCGCTAATTCGAATTTCACAGGAAAGTCAATATACTTCGAATTATAGGAAGTTTGAAATATAGAGAGTTTGAATTATAGAGGTCAGAATGAATAAAATTCGAATTATGGAGGTCCCAGTTTTATGTGTGGGGAGTTTGAATTATAGAGGTCAAAATGATAAAGTTCGAACTACAGAGGTCCAAGTTTATTGTTTAAAAGCTAAACAGCATACAATTCAAACACACATCTCTTGGACAAAATACTGTTTATATACATTACCGTACAGGACATATTGAATTACAGTATTAAAAATAACATATTAAATCAAAGAAAATGAAATTGAACATTGTTCATTCTGTATTAAAAAAGTCTGTAATTCGTGACTGTTTTAAGGCTCTTTTGCATTGAATATCAATACTGTTTTCAATGGTTACAATGGCTGAAAAAACATTACCACCAGTGTCACTTGATTGTTCGATAAAATTGCGGATGGTTTCTACCGCACGCCGCGCTTCCTTTATTGTAACGAAGTGAAGCTGGTCGTCTGCTCCCGTCTCGTCGTCTCCACCCAACCCATCGTCGTCTGCTTCTGCCTCGTCCCTGTCGGCCACTGCCGCCACTATCTCGTCTTCTGTCAACGTTCCGGCGACTGCTACATCGTTGTCGACTTCAACAAAATCTTCAAATGTTGTGTCATTTACATTAGGCTACAGTGAGTCATTATGACATTCCATTCGCTCTCGATTAGATCTTCAACAGGATCTGGTGTAACTGTGACGATTTCTGGTTCAGTTTCTCCATTTACAAATCCACACGTTTTAAAACAATTAGCAATTGTTTCTTGCGTTACATTTTCCCATGATTTGTTTGCCATTCTCATCGCTTGTAGGATGTTGATTGGAACGATGGCTTTCTCTTCTTCGATAGTTGATAAAATATGTCTTACAACTTCTTTCCTGTAGAGAGTCTTGACATTTTTTATTATTCCCTGGTCCAGCGGTTGAAGTTTTGACATTGTGTTGGCAGGAAGGAACTGAAATTTGATTGCGTCAAGCTTTGGGATGTCATTATGGGCACTACAGTTGTCAATGAATAAAAGAATTTTACGTTTTTCCTTCTTCATCTGTTTGTCTAGCTTAAGCAACCATTGCCCAAAAAGGTAACTATTCATCCATGCTTTAGGATTTGCGTCATATTCAAAAGGAAATGACTTAACACCAGCAAAACATCTCGGCTTTTTGTATTTACCGATCATAAACGGCTTTAACTTTTCTGTTCCTGTCATATTACTCGCAAGCAAAAGTGTTGCTCGAACTTTACTGTTCTTACCGCCATGACATTTTTCGTTTTTGAAAGTTAAAGTTTTATCGGGAAGACATTGGTAGTACAAGGCTGTTTCATCCGCATTAAATATGTTTTTAGGATCATAGTCTTTCAACATTGTTTTAGTTCCTCTTTCCAGTTTTTACATACATTGTCATCAACACTTGCACTCTCTCCACACACCTTACGAAAAACAATGTCATTTCTTTGTTTGAATTTCTCCAACCAACCATTACTTGCTCGAAAATTATCATGGCCTAATGATTTGGCAAAACTTTCAGCTTTTTCTTTGAGGATTGGCCCCCCTACACTTACGTTATGGTCCCTACATTGCTTAAACCACTTTATTAAGCATTCCTCCACTTCAGGAAATTCGGATTTACGCACTCTCTTATTGTTTAAATTACCTGCCTCCATTCGTTGCCTAACTAGTTCCTCTTGTTTAAGGATCGTAGACAATGTGCTGGCGGGGATACCATACTCTTCAGCTATATCCTTTTTACGTTTTCCACCACTGTTCACTTCATTGATTATTTTAAGTTTTTCTGCCAAGGTTAAGGACTTGTACTTCTTACCACTCATTCTTGCTCACTGCACTCGCACTAACACTCATCAACTAACAATCAATTAGGCCTAACACCGCAAAATCTGACTGACTATTAAAGACGTCTACGTTGCATATAAAACTGTTGGAGACTGATGAGCTAACTGTGGGAAGATCAATAAGAGCGTCAAGTTCATGTTTCAACAGGATAATTTTTTGTTGTGAATTCGAATTGCAGAGGCTTACGGTAACGCAGTTTGAATTGTAGAGGTTGACTTCGAATTGTGGAGGTAACACTTTGAATTACGGCAATAAATTCAAATTGTAGAGGCTTGAGTACGTGCAAATTCGAATTAAAGAGGCTGCCTAAAGCATAAAAATCACTTCGAATTATCGGTATATTATTTTTTGAATTTTAGAGGTTTTCTGATGGGAACAGACAAAAGTTTCTAATTATAGAGGTTTTCGAATTATCGAGGTTCGAATTAGCGAGGTTCTACTGTACCTTGTTCCGTAAAAATCATTGACCCTTCACCACAACATTAAACTGCATTTTGAAAGGGTTTTTGGCAAATTGATTAACTATGTTTATGCATAAATATTATGATTAACTCCATTACATAAAATTCATGACATTAAAAAGCCAACCAGTCATGGAAGATCTTGTGTAGCATGAGCTGGAGATGACAATATGAATTAGTCTCAATCGGATAGTTTACAGCCAACATAAAATGGCATTTTCTTGAAGAGTATGGTCCAATACGTAGATAGGACAAAACTGAATCCATTGTTTTTGTCATACAGATATATCTTAAAACTGTCCCCCTTATCTTACCTTTGTCTAATCACTCTAATCCCTAATTTCCTAGCATTAAATTAATAATCAATCTGGTCCAGATACTCACGACAGTGCAAACAGAAGGAACTCTGCGATGTCCTCGACATACCACTCAGGTAGAGCTGAGAACAGGTGCGGTGGCTCAGGAGGGAGGGGGAGAGAGGGGGACAATGGGTTGTCAGTCAGAAGTGTCAACATGAACTCTGCTACGGAGCTGTAGAACAACAGTGAGCGTCTCATCAGGTTATCATCCAGCAGACCAGCGTCTGCACACGCCTTGCTCCTCGTCAGCTTCTGTGGCGGCAAACAGAACCTGTACTACCTTTGACCATGATTTAACACACTCCTTTAGTAGATTTTTCCTCCTTATGAATCAGCTGGGGATAATTTTAATGTTAGTTCTGTCCGGTGCCGCTGCGGGTGTGTTTTTGTTTAGAATTAGTTTCTTGTTATTTCAGTTATTTAAAACCTTGTTAAACCAAATAAAACGATCTAATCACCCTATGATCTTTTAACGTAAATCTTTAGAAGTAAAAAACTGGTGAGTTGTTCCATTTGGATGGGACGTCAGCTGCAGTATTTGTAGTCAATGGTACATTTCCCTTTGAGACATAAGCAACAACTTTGGACTCTGCAAGTCCTATTGTAAAATCTGAAATCGTTTTTGATTATTTTATATCTGATGCTAGTGTGAGTGGACTAAATGTTGATATTTTGGGGCAAATTTTACAGTATAAATCTTGTTGTTTGGTTATAGTATCAGAACACAAGAATTAGTTGCATAAATAAAAAAAAATTCTATTTTATAAAATTTTGTTTAAATTTGTGAACAAACAATACATTTTAAAAATAGAAGACAAAGTAAAGGACAGAATTGTAGTCTAAAATTAATCTTCTTCAGGTGGTACAGGGCAATGATTAATCTGGACAAAAGTACAATAAATTTCAGCATTGTTGTTTTACCTTGATCTGCTGTTTCCATCTTTTGATCAGTTCCTTGTTTCTAGCGGCAAACGGAAGAGCTTTCCACTGATGTTCGCTGCTCTGCATTTCTTCAACCTGTGAACACAAATAAACATTGGGTTAACTTGCACATCAGTTTACAGATGGAGTCATTTTATAATTTAACATCCCAAACATATGAAAATGAATTAATTGCCTGAAAAAAGTAAGTAAAGTATTCAAAATATAAGGAAAAGAGATTAAGTTCATAGATCAACAAAATTTCACTAACAGCTTATAAATTTAATTTAAACGAGCTGTTGGCCCGTCCTACGTATGGGAATCGAGTACTCAATTAAAACTGAATATCATTCAGAACAGCTAGTTTACAACTTGGTGGCCGATTCACACACACTGGCTTTGAGTACTGTAGCTACATACCACCTTCCACTGCATAGGCCTACTATCACTTACCGTGCCTTATTTTACCACCTTGGCCACTGAATGCCATTTCTGGATGACAGGAAGACATGAAGATACCAGTCTGAAGATGTCTTTCATTACTTGGTCTTCCAAGTGGTCGTCTACCTTGTAGTACTCCTTGGAATACACTTTTAAAAGTTGAAGTATCTTCTCTCCGCCATGAAAAGCCTGCCCAGCCCATCCGAGATCCGAGCCTTTTGGTCTATTTTTGGAATGTACCACCTTCATCAAGTTTCTGAATCATACAGTACTACTGGGATAGTTATGATATGGTATGACTCGATTTTGGTTTCTACTGACACCCTGCAGCTTACTAGTCAGTTTTCTGGAGACCTACTCCACCGGTTGACATTTTCATTACGAATATATCGAATATACCAACGATCATTACGTGACCATGAGTCATACCGACGATCACGCCGTGACTGTGAGTCATAGCGACGATCACCCCGTGGCCTCGGATTTATACCGACGATCACACCGTGACCGTGAGTCATACTGACGATCATGCCGTGACCGCAAGTCATACTGACAATCACCTCGAGACCACAGAGTCCTACCGACGATCACGCCGTGACCGCCGAGTCATGCCGACGATCGTGCCGTGGTCGCTAGTCATACCGACGATCATGCCGTGGCCGCGGATTCATACCGACGATCACACCGTGACCGTGAGTCATACTGACGATGATTCCGTGACCGTGAGTCATACCGACGATCACCCTGTGGCCGCGGATTCATACCGACGATCACGCTGTGACCGCGGAGTCATAACGACGATCGCGCCGTGACCGCGGAGTCATACTGACGATCATTCCGAGACCGCAAGTCATACCGACGATCACCCCGTGGCCGCGGATTCAAACCGACAATCATGCCTTGACCGTGAGTCATACCGACGATCATTCCATGACCGTGAGTCATACTGACCATCATTCCATGACCATGAGTCATACCGACGATTATGCCAAGACCGTGAGTCATACCGACGATCATGCCGTGACCGCGAGCCATACTGACGATCATGCCATGACCGTGAGTCATACCGACAATCATGCCATGACCGTGAGTCATACCGACGATCATGCCATGACCGTGAGTCATACTGACGATCATGCCATGACCGTGAGTCATACCGACGATCATGCTGTGACCGCGAGTTATACCAAGGACCACCCCGTGACCGCGGTCATTTTGACGATCACACCGCGACCGCGAGTCACAAGATTCTATAGGTACCTGTAAATTGTTGCCCATTTTTTGGTTTTTATAGATCAGTGCCACAAACGGTAAAAAATTGATCTCTTTTGGTAACTGCAATACTCAAGACTTTCTTTTTATGCACAGAAAAAAATCCCGTCCCTTCCCGTCCCGAAAATTGGGAAGGAAATAAAAATCCCATCCCGTCCCGTCCCAAAAATTGGGAAGGAAATAAAAATCCCGCCCCGTCCCGAAAATTGGGAAGGAAATAAAAATCCCGCCCCGTCCCGTCCCGAACTAAAAATTCAATCCCGTCCATCCCTAATTATAGACATTCCTCTGTTGTGATAAATCAGTACTGTACTGTAAGTAGCTTACCGGCCTATCACGATCAGTAGCTTACAAAACTTTCTACTGTTTTGTTTTGTTCTTTACATGGTTTATGACTACGCAATACAGTGTTTGGCTAGGTTATAGGAGGGTTAGATCAAGCTGTGATTTTAAAGTTACAGTTTTTAGCCTGTACCAAGGTCAATGCCATTGTCATGATTGCACAATATTCAAGATCCCTCCCCATTATTATGCCGGATAATTAAGGTTCTACTGTACAATGTAAACACTGTACTGTAAAGTATTGTAGCCTATGCTACTTTAATTGTATTTTAATGAGGTCGAATCTCAACCTATATTGACCGACGCTGGTTCTGAACCTCAACTTAGCGAAATTCCTGCAAACCTAACCTCTATATAACGAACCTAGTTTTAACGAAATCCTTGAAATAACGAATATTCAGTTCGGTCCCATCAGATTCGTTATACTGAGGTTGGACTGTAGTTTTTTTTTTCTACTTGTTAATTTTGTATTTTACTGGCTACTCTCTCTACATTTAAAATAGCACAAATACTACCCTGTCCTGTTGGACACATCCTGAGATGTTTTTAATCAGTCTAATTCCATTGTGACTGTGTTTTTGTATGCGTACAAGGGGCAATATGACATCTAGGAGTTGGCTCAGCCAGAATGAATGTCACCGACCAAAGGTAAATGTTCACCATCTGTGGATGTGTAGGTAGACCTACCAATTTCTGCAGATCTCTCAATGCACGCAGCCTCCGCTGGTACTTGTTGAGCGCTGGCATTAGAGCGAGATGGTGACAGTGCAGAGTGAGAAACCAACACTGAGTGGGAAACTTGGGCTCTTTCCACACCGGCTTGTCCGACTTGTCTGTACAGGCAATACATTCAATAGAGCCAGACAGATAGATGCATCTACAAGGTTGTAATATGAGGTCTACTGTCTAGTCCCTATAGCACAAAAAATAAACTCAAAAATAGCACAAGGGTAACGATTTACAAATGAGCATACTGCCTCATGTCTGACCGAAATCACTTTACTTACAAATAATTTCAAACCCTAAAACCACCTAAACGAAACGCCATTTTAAAATTAGCCTGTCCTACAGAAAATCCCCTCCACAGGGGGGGGGGGGGGTATACAGGGAGTATTTTCTTAAAACACAAAAATAGCTATCTAGATAGACATTAAAATACCAGATTGAAAAGAAAATTTTCAAATATTTACTATACAAATACATCACAAATATATTAAAATATATTAAGATAAACACAGTACGGACACGAATACTGAACTACTGTGTTCATCTTCTGACGATGTTAACAACTGATCAACTCTACACTATGTACCTGAAGCTGACGATGGTGTTTTAACACCGAAACATGTCCTGAATAGACATATTTTATTGAGCTGTGACGGGAATTACGTAAGTAATTTAGTCTTACATTACTTTAATTTAGTTAGGCTCAACTTTCTGTTACTTTTAAGACCTTAAAATGAAAATCCGTTATTACTCATTGACTTTCTGTGACCCCCTAAGACTTCCCTAACTGGTAGACACTCTGTATTTGCAGCGGCACTACCCTAGCATAGCACATGGCTCGAAAGCTACAAACATTTTCATAAAAACAACTTTTAAAACATGGTAAACATGAGTAATTTAAATTAGATTTATTCAAGGAAAGGCTGGAGGCCAGGATTTTGAATTGTAGAATAAGGTGGATAGCAGCTAGCCTAGCTTGAAAAAGTGTAGGTAGGCCATAGAACATGCAGAAGTTGTGTAAAATAGTCAGCAGCCATTTTGTAAACTCTTTCTCTAGACTTGACAAAGTTTCCCAGCGGACAAAATATTGAGTGCACAGTCACAGTGTTTCTTCTGCATGTTCTATGGCCTACTTGCACATTTTCAATGTAACCTAGCTGCTATCCTTTTATTCTGTAATTTAAAATTTATTATTTTTAGTCTAGAAAGTATATAAACATCGACCATCAATACATACTGAGATCGTCCAGCCACTGAGTCGTCTCGGTGGAAGTCAGTCGCAGTCGGGTGTCGTTCTTGATGTCTACCATGCTGGAGGGGTGGAAAGGGTAAAGAGCATCAACGGTGTGCAATTTGACCTGAAAACATATGCGATACCACTGTGTAGCACAATAACATAACCTGGAACTTTATGTTTTATCTATATAGACATTGGCTGAAAAGGGGATTGTGCGATTGTAATTCAAGCATTTATGCAAGATGAAGAAATGTATTCTATTATAGGCCTATCTCAGTTTACTTCCAACAACATGTGTGTTCAAATGTATAATTATGTTTCATTATTGACACAATTCATGTATAGAAACGTACTGTTTGAATAAAGGATTTTTTTATTTGATTTGTGATATCTCAAACTCAGCATCCTTCTATCCACATTACACCAAGTTTGAGGGACTGTACTGTAAATATTTTTCAAAAGCATACACGACCGTTTGTCCCAAAAACTGAAAATTTTTCAAAAACCTTGTTCAAGCTCAAGCTTTAACCAATTTTTTTAACCTACGATAACTACCATACCTTGACCGCCAGCAACTGCATGACAGACAGCAAGTTGAGCATAAAGCCGTCCCCAGCCAAGGCTCTCTCTTCTGCACGGATTTGTGCTCGCTTCTCATTGAGCCGCAGCAGAGCGGCAACGTAAGCCAACATAGCCTCTCGAGAGCTGCTCGCCACAAGGATGTCATGGAAGATCTTGTGTAGCATGAGCTGGAGATGACAAAATGAATTAGTCTTGATCGGATAGTTTACAGAAGAAATATTTGTGAAATAGTTTTTCCTCTAAAAATATGTCCGGTTTAAGATAAAAATAGGCTAATCAACAAAATACAAAATCATGTCAGTGTATTGCCCTTGTGTGTATTGCTGGACATGGTGAAATACCATTTTACAAAAGATTCACTACATAAAAAAAATACATTACCCTAAAAATATAACCTAGCCCCTACAATATTGAAATACTATGCTGTTTATGTTCACATTACACTTCAATGTTTAAAAAGTTGATTAACTGCTACCAATACGTTACGGGCAAATAATCGGGGTACCCATTATTCAAAACCCCATTCATACATTATCACAATTGTCTGCATTGCCCAGATAAAAAATAATAAAACCTTTATTACTGCACAAATTATTTTTAGATTCCCTACTTACTCTTGAATTCTCCAATTCTTGCTGCAAAGTCGATTGCAAAGGTTTGTCTGTTGAGGCGTTGCCACTGAAGAATCTATCTGCAACTTTAGGCTCATCTTCAGCAAACACGGACACACTCAGGAATGGACCGAGGAATGACGTTCGAGCAATCTCACGACCTCCTGCGCCCGTCACAATGTCAGGTAGGAACTGAACCTGGCATGTGAAAACATTGTTTAGTTAACTACAAAGATTAGAATAAAATATTTTCAAACTAAAATTTTAAGTTGTAATGTAGGTTTAAAGTTTTGGCACAAGCTTTCAGTCTTTCACAATATCCCTCTAAAACCAGACACATTTTGATCTTCTAACCTGATGAGTTATAAGATGGCATATCGGCCGAAGGTTGGCAGTCGGGCCGACCCTCATGTCTACGAGGTCAGAGAGAGCTTCTAGCGGCTTCCGGTGACTGTTGCCGACAATTGACGCACCTTGCATCGACCGGTACAACCCCTGTAGAAGAGGGCTGAAAACCTGTAACAGCAGTGTCACATGAAATACTCTAATGTTCAGAACCTGAAGAGCAAAAAAAAATTTCTTCAAGTTTTCAGCCTTAAAAACTGAAACAAGTTTGACAAGAGCCACAAGCGAACTTTAAAATCTAATTGTGGTATATTCACGGAATTATACAACAGTCATTTTATTTTTGACGTACTTGCAGTAACATTGACAAGGACCAAGGGACTGATTGATAAAGCGGGAAGTTCTAACTGAAAATTCAAAGCTGAATCCAGATTTTTCAAGGTTGACAAAATTTACAGCTCATTCACAATTTTCACAGTTAGAGTTGGTCTCAAACTAGTAACATAAATTGAATTTCTTTCACAGGAAATGTCAAGTGTTTCAAAATGAGAGACAGCTTTACATTTAAATTGTAGGCTTAACAGAGATACAAAATGCTACAAACACTAAATGTCTGAGAGAAGGTCTCTGTTCAGTCGTAATACTATTGTGATAAACTTGTGTTTAATCTTTGTAAAACCAAAAGCTAACATGATTCAACACTTTCACTGCTATGCAACGATATATCATTGTTTTTTTTATCTCTAAGGGATATAGAGAGGAATTAACCCCCTGTAAAACCCTGTTTCCAATGTCGAATCATGCTGGTTCGTAAACTTATTCAAGTTTATTCCACCTTACACCTTTAAACCAAATTTAAGTTTGCCCAATATAACCCCGTACCGGCCCAGTATAACCCAGTATAGCCCAGCACTGTTCCAGTATAACCCAGTACCGGCCCATTATAACCCAGTACCGGCCCATTATAACCCAGTACTGGCCCATTATAACCCAGTACTGGCCCAGTATAACCCAGTACTGGGCCAGTATAACCCAGTACTGTTCCAGTATAACCCAGTAACGGCCCAGTATAACCCATTACTGTTCCAGTATAACCCAGTACCGGCCCAGTATAACCCAGTACCGGCCCAGCATAACCCAGTACTGGCCCAGTATAACCCAGTACTGTTCCAGTATAACCCAGTACCGGCCCAGTATAACCCAGTACTAGCCCAGTATAACCCAGTACCGGCCCATTATGACCCGGTACTGGCCTAGTATAACCCGGTACTGGCCCCGTTACAGTTCGGATTGGGTGAATCTTTTAGCTAAGTGGTTGTTAGTATATCCTATGAACATGCAGGTCACCAATGGCCGTTTTGCTACCTTTTGTTAAAATAACCTTTTCTATATCCCTTAGATATTTTAAAAAGCAACAATATATCGTTGCATAGCACTGAAAGGGTTAAATGATTTAAAATGATTTATACACACATTTAATCAATCATGTTCCCTTGCAATATTGATGGATGATACACACTATTCTGTACATGTATAGAGTTATTTTGATTTGTAGCTTACCTTGTTGAGGGTGTCTGGGTTGGTGTGTGTCCGTGCCAGTAGCTCGGGGAGGAAGCCTCGAGGTAGAGTCTGGTTGATCACCTGCTGTAGCAACGGTGATGACAACGGACCCAGCCGGCCAGTAAAGTCCACCTGCACAATACACCAGGGATACTCTCAGAGAATGTTACATTTGGCTACTAATCTATTCTGAGCCCACTGGCGATGGTCAAAAAGTAAATGAATAAAAAAAATCAAGTCAAAAACTCAAGTCTAATCTAATAATGAATTATCGTTATTTTTAACTTATAAATTTTTGTCCATCCAAAAAAGGAAAAAAAAAATTTCATTACATTCACTGCCTTTGAATGGCGAGTGTAACCAAATAATAAAATTGACTATAGAATCCAAGATAACAAATCCAAGAAGAGAATCCAAGATTCTCAAACTTGAACCTTTTGTTGAGATTTGAATTCAAGATTGACAATTTGGATGTGACACATCACTAAAACACGAAACGTTGTGTATTGTTTTTTACCATCGTGATGGAAAATGTCCACAATAAACCTTTGAACAACACATCACTAAAATTAAAATCTTATTCTAATGGCAATAAAAAATTGTATTCCAATTGTGAATAAAAAGTTACAATTAAAATTAAAGTTAAATTTACAATTTTATCAATACCATTGCAGTTTTAAATTTCAACCACATTGATATTACTTGCTATGATGAGTCACAAGTGTTTCAGGCTAAGAAAGGTTCAATACTAAGAAAAGAAAATACAAATAGATGAAAACTAATTCCACAGGAGAGTTTACAACTATAAGTAGGCCTACCTATATGCATTAGGCCTACTGCTTTTGTAAAAAAGTGAGACTGGGAAAGGCTACAAGATGACATTCTAATTTGGTGATTGCATATTTTGTCAAACGTATCTCATCTAGGCCTATACAGGGTGTCACAAAATCGGTAGCGTGCTATGCAGAACTGGATTCTACATACAAAAATAAGATGAAAATCAAGAATAACATTTTTCCCAAAATCGCTTCGTTAACCAGATATCCGTAATTTTTGTTTTTGTTTTTGGATTTTTCTAACAGATCTTTATGAAACTTTATATTTAGGTTAGGTAGAATAGACCTATGTGAGAAAAAAAATCTTCATCCAAAACAAAATTAAAAAATGGTGACCATTTTAATTTTTCATAAAAACATCCATTCTTTAGTAATTTGAATTAAAAAAATTAAAATTGAAATTTAGAATTGGATCAAGATATTTTTTTTCTCACATAGATCTATTCTACCTTAACCTAAATACAAATTTTCACAATAATCCGTTGGAAAAAATCCAAAGATAAAAATGTTTATGGTAAAAATACAAAATGGTGGATATCTGGTTAACAAAGTGATTTTGGAAAAAATTTATTCTTGATTTTTGATTTATTTTGACCCAAGGAATCAGTACGTAAATTACGTCCCCACCTTTTTTTAACACCCTGTCTATTCAATTCAGTAGCTGTGTTCAGAACATTCAAATATGATAGTTTAAAATTGTAACTCCATAATAGGTCTATTTAAAAAATTGCATTAATAATAAAATAAATAACATCCAATAATATTATTTGTATATTCATATTCATGTATGTAGAATCCAGTACTGCATAGCCGCCACATATTTTTGTGACACCCTAAACCTGTATGAACATAGTTCCGTGAGCCAGTCACAGATTGAGCTAGTGTCAAAAATGATATTTCCTACCTTAAATTTTGTTGCTGAGATAGTTGCATAAATGATGTTAGAGCTTACACTAAGTCATCCTATGTATCAACTTGACTTGGCTAAAAAAGTCCACATGTTTGACAGAATTCAGTAATAATTTACTGAAGTCTTGTTTTTCTAAGGTAGTCAAGCAATTTCATACCCAAGAGAAATGTTTCACACTAACCTCTTCCATGAGGACATCCTGCAGCATGAGTGAGGTGTGTTGAACACACTGGGCTCTTATCTCTGCCAGCACTTCCTTGAGCGGAGGCATACTGCTACGCTGTAACACACACATACACACAGTCAACATTATTACATAACTTGGTGGTTGGTTGCAAAAATTAAATCCAATACACCCAATATGCTTTAAAGTTTTAAAAACTGTGAGAATTTTCATCAGAAAATTCCATTTATTTTTGTTGGTTCAAGCGGCACTAAGAAGAAGTTACTGTGTTATCATTGCTAGTAAATGTTCGCCCTCAAGGGTATTTGTTTAATATTTAGCATTAATCAAGGTGCTATATAGTCAAGTAATCTACTAGCCAAAGTACACTAACGCATCATTCTCAAGTAAGAACCAAAGGCAACAATGCAAGTTGATACCATACTATAGCACACCATCCATATTCAGACAGAGTGGGAGTGATGGTATTTGGTGCTCGCTTAAGTGTAGAGCAAATGAGGTTATTATGTTCTTGGGTGTTTATAAAAAAAGTATTTTTGTGGAATGTAGTCAGTGAAGGTTGTTTGAAAAAGGGACTCAAAAGTTGTTCCTTTCAAACCCTTAATTGAACAGCTTGAGACACTTTGGGGTGAATCAGGTGATTGTCCCGAAAATTTGAAAGTAAAATCAAAATTGTTCCAGGACTATTATTGAATTGAGGCCTACAAGATCATAAAGACCCGGAGAAAGGTGCACTCCGATCCTAATCTCTATTTATCCTTACAGGCAAATGTAAGGATCTCTCAAAGTGCATTGAGCTACGTCTGACACGTGCTTTAGCTGTTAATATTAGCGCCATCTGATTGAGGCCTTACTTTCTCTTTGCACCTACCTTGGGATGGTTTCTCTCTTCATTAGCCACCCTTGCGTAGCAGTCTGTAAGATATGCCAGGCCCGTGGTGGCGAGGGACGGAGTGGCGGGAGGAGAGGCGGACGCTGAGCTGGCCGCTGCGATGTTCTCACTGCTATCCTCGGGAGTGGAGCAGGAGAGGGGGGAAGGCAGGGGGTTCTCCCCGGATGCTATCTGACACATCACCTCCATCAGCGACTGGCTGATCAGGTCCTGCACAACATCAAACACTTGTACATATACTTACACTGTACTTATAATCTATCATACAGATATTACAAATAATATGGTTCTGTTGGAAAATACAGTAATGTCCTGCTATTTTGAACCAACTGTGATCGATCCTTGTTCAGACTAGGGAGAATTCGGAATATGCAGATTTCTGTAATAATTAATCATCAAGACTGTGGCAAAACCATGAATGTTACTGGTAGAAAAGAAGGTGATGACGTCTCTGTGACCACAGAAGATATTAACGAGTGGCTGAAAAATATGTTTTCGATCTCCCCATGACTACAACGAGCTTTTGTTTTTGCGATGATCTTGCGTCTGCGAAGATGCATGATCAATAATATTTCCGCAATTGCTGGTGATGTTTAAGGTTTTGTCGCTGAGAGATGTCACTATATCATGACGATGTGTCTCTGCGAGCGAAATATGTTCACTATTTCCTCTTAGCTTTATACTCACGTCTAAAAAAAACTTGTTTTTTAAACTTAAGTTCGGAATAGGCAGAGATAATTTAAATACCAATGTTTGCAATAGCGGGACTCTACAGTGACTTTTGGGTCATTTATAAAATTGGGTCATTTATAAAACAGTATCTTCCTCGTGTCCTTAATTTAAAAAATGTCAATTACAGTGGAACCTCTAATAATTTTTTAATAAGTATGTTGATAGTTTATCTATACCTCAAAAACCCTAATTAATTTTTTTTATTTATTTATTATCATCTATAGGGCCTACACATATACAGAATAGGCTACTCACATAGAGTATACTCATTTACACATTATTCATTTTGTTGACGATTTAAGATTATTTCTTTTCTTTGCACAATCATGTACAAAAACTCAATTCAGAACTAAAGCTAGTAGAAAAATATTAAATAACCACTTAGGCCTCAGTTAATAGGTTTTTTACACATAGGCCTATATATATGTTAAACTTTTTTACGACACTATTGTAAGTTGCTTAAAGTTGTCTTTGATGTCTAACTTTTATTGGTAGAACTACTACTAAACACTCAAAAATTTGAAATAGTTGAGATAAATAGCCTAGGCTACTTAAAATAAACTACCTGAGTATCAATCTGAGAATCTCCCTCCAGTTTCCGCTGGTTCATTCCTGCTGCTGTTTCTGATAAGAATATGTTAGAATCGCTCTGCTGTGTTTGCGTCCATGATACGCAGAGAACTCTTGATATTGTCGTGAAGACTTGATCGTCTGTATTGTCACTGGTTGAAGACGACTGAAATACAACCATTCAATCAGTCGAGTAACAACAACAAGGATCTAATAATTAAATAGCTTGATAATGATAACTAATCTGACGAAAAACAAAGAGCCCTGTTGTGAAAACAAATAATCTTGTTAATTTTTAGACTTACTACATAGGCTACTACCCATTTTCACTAGCAAATTCGTATTCAGACTGGTTAGAGTAATTGCTTCTGCTTTTACCAATGTTGTCAAGGAACCTATAGTGCGATGCATTTGTAGTTTTAAAGACGTAAAACTCAATTTAAGAAAAAAATCAGAATCCTTACATCTTCATAGTGTTTGCTAAGCAATGGAACTAAATATAATTGTATAACTACGGATAAGTTTAGGGCATGCACACACAACTTTTTTACATTCCTACATTAGCCATAATTGAAGGTGAATGCAACTCTAACTAGGTGGCGTTCGCAGAGGCATCCACAAAATTGAGCGGAGTCATCAAGGGTTCATATTATATTGTTTTTGTCATACTACAGTAAAAACAGTCGTTTTTAATGCATGCGTTGTGGGTCTAAAGTAGCATTTTTATTCTTTAGGGAGTAATAATCGTTTTTAGCCTCTATGGAGTAAAAATCAGCTGTTGTCAACTCAGTTGTAAATTTCTATTGTAAACGATTGCATGTATCGAAATATGTATTCGTGCTTCGTAATCATTTTAACCTACAGTCTACAGTCTCTTCCCATAGCATTTTAGCATTGCAGATACATCAATCCATTCCCACACTCAACACTGCTCACCTTTACTACTTCCTTCACCACCCCCTACGTCGTGGACCTGTTTCCCTCTCTTCCCATAGCATTTTAGGATTGCAGATACGTTAATGTAATTGCCAAAGACAGTTCCCACACTCGGCACTGCAAGCCTTGCTACTTCCATCACCATTCCTTACGTCATAGAACTGTTTCGTTCCCTTCTCATAGCATTTAAGTATTAGATACGTTTATCTAACTGCCCAAACGATCCCCTCACTCTGCACTGCCAGCCTTTACTACTTCCTTCACCACTTCCTACGTGGGGCCTGTTTCCTTCCCTTCTCATAGCATTTTAGGATTAAAGATACATTAATCTAACTGCCACAGATGGTACTCACACTATGCTCATACTTTACTACTTCCTAAGCCACTTCGTACATCGTGGACCTGTTTTCATCACTTGCCATAGCATTAGCATTTTAGATACGTTAATCTAATTGCCACAAACATTCCCCACACTCCGCACTGCTAGACTTTACTACTTATTTCACCATTTTCTATGTCGTGGGAATGCTTCCATCCCTTCTCATAGCATTTCAGCATTGCTGATACATTAATCTAACTGCTACAAACGGTTTCCAGTTCCCAAACTCCACACTGCTCACCTTACTACTTCCTTCCTCTTCTTAAGTCGCGGACCTGTTTCCCTCTCTTCCCATAGAATATTAAGATTGTATATACCTTAATCTAATCGTCATAAACTGTTCCCACACTCCCGACAGCTTGCCTTGACTACTTCATTCACGACTTCCTACATCACAGACCTGTTTCCCTCCCTTCCCATAGCATTTTAGGATTGCAGATACCTTAATCTAATCGTCATAAAAAGTTCCCACACTACGGACTGTTCGCCTTTACTACTTCCTTCACCACTTCCTATGTCACGGACCTGTTATCCTCCCTTTCTTTAGCATTATTGGATTGCAAATACCTTTAATCTAATGGTCACAAACAGATCCCACACTCCGAACAACTCGTCTTTACTACTTCCTTCACCATTTCCTACGTCACGGACCTGTTTCCCTCCCTTTCCATAGCATTTTAGGATTGCAGATACCTTAATCTAATCGTCATAAACAGTTCCCACACTCCGGACAGCTCGCCTTGACTACTTCCATCACCACTTCCTACATCGCGGACCTGTTTTTCTCCCTTCCCATAGCATTTTAGGATTGTAGGTACCTTAATCTAATCGTCAAAAACAGTTTGCACACTCCGGACAGCTCGCCTTGACTACTTCCTTCACCACTTCCTACGTCACGGACCTTTTTTCCTCCCTTCCCATAGCATTTTAGGATTGTATTGTGAGGTGTTTATTTCGGGTTGGTTCAACCTATCCCAAACTTACCTCCGATTTGCTCGGACAGCTCGAGTAGTCCAGGGTTCTCGCTAATAGTCTCCGTCGCTTGCTAACCGCTTCTCGATCTTCGTAGATGGTACCTTCGTCGTCCTACACGCACACTATACTATGGTTGTATGTGAGCACAACGACGCACTGACTAGGAATATATCGGCACTAAATACGATGCTTCTATGTGAATTAACATACGTAACCAGCTTCTAGGCCAAACAAAAGGTATCGCTTCTCGAATAAAAACTAAAAATAATACTCTCGTAGTGAAATAAAAGGTCGTCCCACGCAATAACAAAATAACGAAATGAAATACTTTTGGATAAAATAAAATAAAACCACTTTAGCTAAATAAACTAAAAAGTGTAGGCAACTGTGGCACTGCACTCGCAGTGCCGGCCTGAGAAATACAATACGCTAATCTCTTACAACTAAGGTGATCGTAACGAAAATTAACTTTTACTCGCCAAAGTAAAACGGGAAAATATTACTAATAATGTAAGGATACAATGCAGTACTTACGCCTGGTCAATACTTATTTCGCTTAATATTATCGCCTTTATTTTCGCGCTCGTTGCGTATCGCATCCACAACTTATTCTCGCCGCAGGTCCGCTATATATCTCAGGAGAGGGTGTGTAGCAAACATGCGCTCGCCGTCGACTGTCCGCTCTTGAGGGAGGGTGTTTGGCGAACAAGCGCTTGCCATAAACTGCCTGAAGAATTGTCTCCGGTCCACTGGTCTCGGCTTCTCCCCAACACGTCTACGTCAGCGCCCCGAGGTCGCGACGGCCAAGTCACGAACTAGGGGACTTGACTTGCAGTGGACATGTTTGACATTGTTGTCGAGCGCGCTCAAGCCTTCGCGGCCTTAAAATAATTAAAACTAACCCTCTAATAAAATTTGACCATTACAGTATATACTTTAATCTAATCATCACAAACAGTTGCCACAGTCCGGACTGCTCACCTTTACTACTTCCTTCACCACTTCCTACGTCACGGACCTCAAGCTAGTGTCGTCATTTGATTATATTTATGATCCATACTGTTTCTGTTCTAATATCTGTGGAATAATGCTATAAGCTATTTCTTTATCTACTGCATTCAAAAGTCAACAGCTGATCACATGTCTTTGTTTATGTGTCAAATACTGTTTCCATAAGGATTACATTGAAACTTTGAGACCCAGTGGGGCAGATTCCTGAGAAACTTTTTTAACACCATATAGATGTTGGCACTCACCGATATGGTCTTTATGACCCTATGCAAAATTTGAAAACGATTGACTCAGCCGTCTAGGAGGTGTTTGCGTATTACGAAATGCATAAGAGTCGACGTATGAGAGCTTCGCTCGCTCCGTTCAATTAACTATTTTAATCTTAGTTTTGATTGCTAAAACAGTAAAACAATTATAATCAAAATGTTCAGCATTTGGAAACATAGTTACAGGAAACATAGTTTGCAAAAAACTTACTCTTTGTAGCGCCGCTTCTTTAGACTCTTCTACCTCCATGTTTTCTATTCCTGAATCCACATCTACTTGAGAGTTGGATGCCACGTTCTGTTTCTCTTCAGGCTGAGCGTATTCCTCAACTTCCATTTGTGATGATGTGTCGGTGCTTTGTGAATCACTTTTTTGTGGAATTCCTACATTTAAGGGTTATTTTATAAGTTACAGTGTGAATAGAGTAGGCCTAGTTACGCAAATAAACTAATAGCCATTAAATTTCTTATAAGGTTATATTCAAGCAAATAAAATTAGGCCCATTTAACTCATGAATTAAGTACCAGTGGTCTTGTTAATATTTAACAACCTATTGTTAGATAGCCTACATCATTAATTCCATAGTTTTTTTTTTTTACTATTTACAAAACACATATTTATATAATTTGTATCCTTCTGATCGGAGAAAATATTATGTTGGCCTACTGTAGGCTTTTGCAATACCTAGGTCTAGTCAATGATACACTAAATTATATTAGTGTTGGCTATGCCTTGTTCGTCTTTATCTCATGAACCAAAAGAACAGGGATAATGAAATAACGCAAGTTGGATGATTTCAAAAGATATTTAAATATGAGGCATAGGCTAAGTAATAGCTTAAGGATTGGTTAAAAGTAGCAAAATGCCTTTGATGTTTCAAATTAGGGCCTATAAGAATTTACCAATCTTGTCAACTTTAATTCAAGCTGTCCACAATTTATTTTTGGTAGCATACATCTTAACATTGTAAGTAGGCCTAAACTATCTACAAGTTGCAGCCAGAACTAAACGGTGCTGTCTCTTGGCAAAGAGGATGGCCATCAGCTACTTAACTTAGACTCCCTACTTTAACGATAATAAAATCACTCTTAAAGTAGAGTACCGTATTTATGGTTTCCTCTTACAGATTACAGCAATGTTAGACTAGGGCAATCCCTGACTACGATGGCCCTGAAGGGACATTCCAGTTTCTTTTTGTCTTTCATTCACTTAGACTTTTATCTCGAAGTACTTCGACTTTATTCTCGAAGTACTTCGACATTATTCTCGAAGTACTTTGACTTTATTCTCGAAGTACTTCGACATTATTCTCTAAGTACTTCGACTTTATTCTCGAATGTGCTTATTATAGTTTGTTATAATTTTACGGCATACACAACCCAACTAACTGTTGATGTAGGGGTGTTTCTGCTGTAAACATATTTTTGATAAGAATTGGCAGATAGAAAGGGGCTTGAGCTTTAGGTCACATAATGGAATATGACATTAATGAACTGATTGAACAATATTTTAGTTTAGGCCTTCAACAGCCTGAAATGCTTGCAATTCTTTTATTGAAGCATAACATTTGCATAAGTGAGCGGACACTTAAAAGGTATACCAAGAAGCTCGGACTTCATAGAAGGAAACACTTTTATTTCTGATATTGACTCTGTCAAGGATTTTATTAGGTCTGAGTGCGACAGAGACGAGAGACAGTGGAGACAGCAGACAGAGAAAGAATCAGAATCAGAAACAGAATAGAACGAACGTATTCGTATTGAACCTGCATGTTCACCTTGCATGTTTGTTGAGTTGAAGTAAAACTAGACTAGATAGAAATGTCGAAGTACTTCGAGAAAAAAGTGGAACTACTTCGAGAAAAAAGTGGAAGTAAAATGAAAGACAAAAAGAAACGGAGTGTCCCTTCAGGGCCGTCGTACCTGACTATCGTTGGTGTTAATGTAGAAAAAACATGCTTTTCACACAGACAGATGTATTTTGTTAGTGCAGCAACGCGCGCCGGGTAACTGCTAGTTTATTTATACACGGTATAACCATTTTACAAGTAAGTTTAGGCCTAAGGTAAGGCACCTATGTAAAGCCTATAACATTCATTATGCTCAAGACGTTATCCCAAACAATAGTAGGACTTCTTATATAGTTAACACTTTCATTGCGTTTACCCGCTACAGGTTTACCAGTCACGCGAAACTACTCACGGGTGCACGTGACAGGTTCATTTATTTATTTATTGACGGACAAACCATTACATACAGAATACAATTTTTGTGATACAACTATTGAGTTGATGAGTGATGACTAATAACAAAAGTGCAAACACCTTTGTTATTAGGTGTTTACCAGTCATTTGGTTCCCCCCAATATTGATTCATTTTGAGCTCCGTGATTGCCGGAGAACGTTATAATCGTCGCCAGCCTGTAGCTTAGAATGGAAGCTTTATTTTGGTGTAGGTTGGTACTAAAATTTACCGTAAAATCCCGTCTGGCAATGCTTTTGTCTCGGTTTCAGGGATTTTCTCTTTTCGAGCCACATTACAAAGACAAGGCTACGGATCCAGGCAGTGCTGCTATCTTTGATTGTTTCAGTGAACAACGTCCACTCGCGGGGTAAGGCCAGGCGCACACAGGCGATTTTGAGTCGCGCAACAGTTGCCCGACTAATCGGGGGACTGTTGCGCAACCGACTCGGAGACTCTGAAGTCTAGCAACAGTTGAGCTGGAGTGCGCACACAGGCAACTTTTTAGTCGTGAATCTAAAGTCTTTACAATTGTGAATCTAATCGTGAATCTAAAGACATTACATTCGTTAACAGCGTTAACAGTACCGAATGGATTTCAATGATACAGCCGTAGTGCTTTGTTGTTGAAGTTGTGATTTTTTATTTTATCCTCTTGTGGTTGTTCCAATCTTTAGTAACTGCCAAGGACACTTCATCCCACAACTTCTTCTTCAAATTAATATCCGAACAGTCTTTCAATGACTTTAAATATAAAGGCGGCATCTTGTCAACTTAATCAATTAATTGTTTGACATCCTCATCACGGAACTCCTTTTCTAAAAACTTCACACAACAAAAAGAGAGCAAACACTAGTGACAGATCTGGCCACGAGTAGTTGAATTCCTCGGGTGAGACTGAGCGACACAGCGACAATTTAGTTGCATGTGTGCGCATCTACACTTGGTTCAATGGATACCAAACCTGGAGCGACAGTCCCGCAACAATTCAGTCGCAGAGCAGTCGCTGTCAAATTGGGTCCGGGAACATCGGTTGCAACAGTTGCGCGACTGTCCCCAGACTGTTTCCTTCGTGTGCGCACTCTAATTTAAAACAATGTTGAACATTTTAGTCGGGCAACTGTTGCGCGACTCAAAATCGCCTGTGTGCGCCTGGCCTAACGCAGCACAATCCCTGCTGCTTTTTTGTGCTTTGAAATATTTGAATACCATTGCGTTTGCTGATTCGGTGGCGTGCCTTGCCGCCATTGGCGAGAGCCTGTTTGATGTATGCCGCAGTGAACGTGTTAAGTGCTACAGGACAGGGTGGTTTAAATTTTCAATCACTGCATGTAGATCTGTACAAATTTATTCAACAGCATGTAAAAAATTTTATCTTTTCGCATGTATCACAGGGGTAGCGGATTTTTATCCCCCTGGAATTTTACCCCCTGGGCAAACGTGACGTCACAAACCAGGGGGTAAAATTCCGGCCGCGAACTTTTGAGTTTCGCGACATCAGCTCGGTGGATTAAACGCGGAATTAAACATATATTTTCACGGCTGTGAGTTTAATCAGAACACATCAAATTATAAAAACCTAGAATATACGGCCCGGATTTTTACCCCCGGAATTTTACCCCCGGAATTTTACCCCCCGGAATTTTACCCCCGGAATTTTACCCCCTGGCCAGATATATAAATTAGTGAGAACGATTTATTATCGTCATTGTGACGGGTCGATTATATCGGTTAGTAAATAAATAATTAAATTTGTATATTAAAGCTAAACATTATAGAATGGATTCAATGGTAGGACAACTTCGTGTGAATCCGTCAGTGTTCGGAAAATCAATACGCGTGCGCGCTTGACTTAGGAACCAATGAGAAAGCAGATGCTCCGGGCTCCGGGTACCTGGCTAGGGTTCTTCAGCGAGGAGATACCGTAGTGAAAGGACGTGTTTTGTTTTAGTCCATATTTCTTAAAACACAAAGACATCATTTGTACCTTCCACCGTGTAATAGCTACCTCCAAATGTATTTAATGTTAAAGTGAAGTGACCCGGATATCAACAACCGTTAACTTATCAGAACGAAATAGACTTAAAGTCAAGTTGGTGAAGCGGGTGACTGTGAATAGCAAAATGCCGGTCTTCGCATCATGGTGGGAAAATGGCGATGGCAGATCCTTGTCAACGAACGGTTACGACGCCGTGGCTAAACATAACCTACGCAGTCGCAGGAGTGCTGACGACCGAATCCAGGATTAGACCTCGTCCGGCTACGTTCATCTCATTATTACACCAGATAAGATTTAAAAATTAATTAGGCCATAGGCCCTATTACATAACTTATTATAAGTTAGTTGATCTAAAGAACTATCTTGAAGATTTAAGATTCGCCCAAATGAATATTTAATACTCTCTAACCAATTGAACTTTTCCTTTTTGTATTAATAAATTAATTTGTTATAAACAAATGAACGTTTATTTTATTTGTAGAACAGCCCACAAGATCTGTAGCTTAATGAAATTAAGTATTAAATATAAAAAGAGTAAATAAAATATTGACATTTAAATTGAAAGTAAGACAAAACATAGGCTACCTTTTGAAAAGGTAAACAAACAAACAAGAAATAAACGACACATCATTCAGTTTTAATTTAGTGGTAAACATTTTATTATTAAGTAGCGTATCTTAATTTATATGTAACATTAACTAATCGAACAGGGTTTTAATATTAATTTTGAGATTCGAGTGTCAGGATTCGATCTTTGAAGCCAACTGTTGGTTAATATGATCAAAATAAAACAGCCAATTCTGTTTACTCAGTTGAGATTACAAAATAAATAAATAAAGATAGGCTACCTACTAAATAATGAAATGTTTACAATTAATTAAAAACAGAAATAAGAAAATCAATCATTCAATTTCTAAAATCAGCCAGGGGGTAAAATTCTGGGGGGTAATAATCCGGGGGTACAATTCCGGTGGTAAAAATCCGGCCCGTACATCTTCAGTTGTCTAAACGCTAGTTATATGGACAGGGGGTAAAATTCTGGTTCTTATCGCTAATCTAATTAATCACGCTCTGACTATTTTCATTAGACTTCCAAATCCGCGGGGGTAAAATTCCGGCCGCGAACAAACTTTTGGCCACTCAGGTTACTACGTCGTAGTGACGTCAGCTTTGCCCAGGGGGTAAAATTCCAGGGGGATAAAATTCCGGCGACCCGTATCACAATGTAAAATGTATTGTAAAAGTAATGTTCAATGTGAAAATAAATAAATTTTCGTGAGAGTAGGCCTAAGATAGTCTAACTTAGATTGATGAGCCCATGGTGCTTAGAGTTTAATGAACCAATAACTTATGCTAGTTTAAATTAAGGAGGATAACTTAGGATAAGATTAAATAAATTCAAGTAAAGTAACCTACCTCTCTCAGCAGGGGCTGGTGGAGTGGGAGGTATGAAAAGTCCCGCATTTTGTGATGTGGCCGGGGACACTGGCTGACTTGTACTTGGTCCTGGACTAGCACTGGCTCCACCAATCTCTAATCTTGCTAAACGCTTCCGTCTTATCTGCAAAAAGATATTCCCATATTAAGTTACTAGTAACTTAAGCTGGGATATTGACAAAACTGTTTCTATCTTTTTATTTGGTGCTCAGAAACATTAAGTTAAGTTAAACTTAATCCTTTATTAAGTTAAGGGTGGACCGATGCTTCTAAGTGTTAAAAGTTGGTAACTAAAGTTGCCAGCCTTATTGAGTTAGTTTAGGGCCTACTGATAACTTAAAGTATTAACTCATCCCAAATCCTGAATTATATTGAGTTAATCGGCCTATCCTCATTTAAGTTAGGTAGCCTAACTTTTGTAAACCATTGTAGGTCGGGTTGCCATATGGTAATTTGTAAAAAAGAGGAGAATTTAGCTGGCGGCCCCCACTCCAGTAAATAAAAGTTTATGGGCTAGCAAAATTGTATACCTACATAGCACAAATATTATAACAGAAACGGTAAGGGTCATACACATAAAAAAAAATATGTCACTGGCCTGAAAGTAAACATGTTTTTATAAATATTTAAATGGAACTATCAAAAAACGTCCAAAAAAGTTGTTAAGACTATTAGTAGGCCCATTGACATTGGGGTCAGTGACATAATTTCTTTCTGTTTATTAATCCATACTGTTTCTGTTCAAATATTCATGCTACAATGTCAATGATCAAATATGGTACGGTACGCATAAAATTTGCATCTTGTTTGTCACATCCCACTAAAAATAACGAAAAACGTAAACCAAACGCTCTCTGTCTTCTGGACTTGGTTTGGCTTTGATAGTGAACACGGATACTTACGGATTTCGGACTGGCCGGCAGACGCGATTTAAAGGACTGGGAGCAATGAAACAGACGATAATTTAAGGACGTTGCTGGCCAAAGTGAAACTAACAAGAAATAAAAAAAACATTACCCCTCCTAGTAGAGTACAAGAGTTTTTTTTTTCAGTCATTGCATAACAATATTTGCAAACACAAACATTTATTTGAGGCCTACTCCAAAAGTGCCATTATACAATGTATTTTAATAGAGAGTAAAAAAGAGGAGATTTCTCACTATTTGCAGAAATCCCTCGGAGCTAAATTTTGAACGTTAAAATCCGGTAATCACCGGGGAAATCCGGGGATGTGGCGACCCTAATTGTAACTTAGGCCGAGGTAAAATGGTGGAATGTGGAGATCTAGCTTAATAAGTTAACTTACAACTGTAATGATTTGATAAATAAACCTTACTTGGGTTCTTATTTTGAATAATAACAAAAACATTAAGCCTAGCTGGAACCGATAGCTTACCAACTTCTCCTGATACTTGACCAAATTAAAGCCATAAAATTAAATGTTTTATATTTCTGTGAACACGACACATGTATGGAAAAAGTCAAATGAACTAAGTTACATTAAGACTATGCGTAAAAATAGGACCAATAACTTAATTGGTTTGTTCCTGCAACAATCCATGCACTCCGTATTCGTTAAGTACCGGTACCTAGGCCTATACTTAAAAAGATTAATATGTTAGGTCTAGGCCTACCTAAGTTAGGCCTACAGCTTAGTATGTTGTTGTTGTTGTAGGTATAACATACTAGTTTAGGCCTATAAGTTAGTAATAAGTTTGGGCAGAAGTCTTAAGTTAATCTGCTTTCTAGGATTGAGGGTGATTTACATTTAAGGTAGGTAAGTAACATAAGCTTAAGAATTTTCTCTCCCAGGGGGTTTCTTTTAATGAACAGGGATTCAAAAAGATTAAATTAACCTACTTAATTGTGTTTAGTTTTCCAACATCCTGACTATGCCTAGACCTAGGGCCATTATTTTCTCGAATATTAAGTTAGTAAGCTTGTCTTATTAAAATATTGTTTAAAAACTAACTTAGACCTAGCCTAAAAAGTGATGGATCAAAGAAAATTAAAACATCCAATTAACTTAAGTTAGTATTAAGTTAGTTATTATTTTTCACGGACCTTCAACTTTTATCAAGCCTTATCAAACTAGGCCTAGGCCTATACTAAGTTTACTACCCTAATAGGCTATCAATGATAAATGCCAAAACAATAAACAATAAAATTATAAAATTCTTAATTTAATATGAAGATTTATTTATTAAAATATGTATGGTCAAATAAATAAACAAGTGGCAAAAATAAAAATATCAACTCACTTCTTCCTGACTAAGCTCGCTCATTTTCTCCTACGATCAAATTCTCTTCCTCCTTCGTTGCAGATATACAGGTCACAAAGAATACACCTGACAGACGAACTTGAGTGAAAATTTTAACTACTATGAATTAAAAGTGCGATGTTTAGAATTTGTGTCTTGCACAGATTTGAAAAAGATGCACTAGAAAACAGCCATTTTATGAACAGTTTTATAAACTTTCTTTAATAATTTACAAAACTAACTTCAATTTTCACACTGTTTGGAACTTCAAGCAAGCTTCGTGAAACAACTGTGACGTCAACGACAGCTGGGTCTAGGTGTTTGTAATCATGACTTGGAAATTGGAAATGAAATGTTCTTCTTCCCTTCCCGCACAGATTTCACAGACTTCAAAAATTAACCTAATAAGTTTCTAGTGGTTTCTTTATTAAAAATAGATCAATATTAAAATAGATAATAAAATATTATTATTTTATTCCCTATTTTGTTATGTGTTCGCTGATTATAACAGCACATTACAAAACAGCATAGGAATTATATAATCAATAACAACATAATATCTTTCATTTGCATAAAAATAAAGACGGGATCTTGGGAACGAGTGTTTCACCAAGAACAGCTGTTTTCTAGGAGTTATTTGTCAGAATGTAAACAAATGGATGGTGCTGCCACCTAGCAACGGTCCATAGTACTAACATTTAAAGTTTCCAAATGCATAGCGCTAGTAGTCTCGTTTACAAAAAATAAAATGTCTCACGTTACAAAGATGTAACACCGTGCAGCAAAGAAGTCAAAAAGTCCGTTACATAAATGTAACACTGTGCCTGAAAGAGTTAAGTCTGCAAGTTTTCTGCGGCGGGGGTATTATAACTAAAAATTATAAAATTAATTTCAATTTTGTTTAGCGGTTCTAGCGGCGAATGCTGACACTACAAGATATGTTAACCATAATCCCTCCCGTGTGCCCCACCGTGTAAGTGAACCCTAACCACGCTAAACGAGAAAGTCTTCCCCATTGGGTGAGCAACTTTTGGGATACCTCGGAATGTGATCGTGACGTCATAGAAAAGTTCAAAGCATAGGTTCAAGTATCGACCAACAACCGGATGGGCAGTTTTAGTTCGTAATCGTATCGAAGTCGTAAATCGTAAGTTGTGTTGTCAACAAATGATTGGATTCTAATGAATTGTTAAGCTGTTTAGTATTTTAACAAATTTGGGTGATTTATATATAACTTAGACCTAATACTTGTGTTTTACTTTCCTGTATATTAAACTCCATTTACTCTAAAGTGTCGAACTATAGAGGTTCTACCGTACCTGAAAGGATTTAATTAAACATCGAATCAGGCAAATGAAAAATCGCCTAGTCTTGTCCTGAACGTTTGTTGCGGCGGTGGTGGTATTAATACTCAGTTAAGTCCTGGCTTACATTTGACTGTCTCCTGGCCCATATTTGGGTTAAGTTAGACTAAGTATTTGGTTTCCAAATAGGCCTAGAGTGAAAAATATTATAGGCTATTTTTTAAGAGTCTGAGTTCTTTCCTAATCTGCCTGAAGTTGAAGAAGCTTATTGATACAAGTTATCAAATATAAAATTTGTAAATACAGTGGAGAATCATATTAAAACAAAAACATTACGGCAAATGAATTAAGGGCCTATCCAACCTTTTGGCCACTACCTCTGTCATATCTTAGGCCTAGGTCTAACGTTACTTTGGCGTTTTGTGGGAACTAAACAGTAAAAAACCAGAAAGGACACAGTAACCACGGCCACCTTTAACTCCAGGCCGCGGCCTTCGAACTAGCAACGTCGCAAGTGGTGTTGTATTAGCTGTTTTTGTTTGGAAGCATCTAATGGTATTTGTGCATTTACGAAATATTGGTTACTGGACTATGACAATATTGACTCCGCTTAAAAATGTACAGATATAGATTTTAATTCATATTGTTTCCGTTTTCAATTCTGTATGTTTTATTTTCAATATTTTAATAAATTTATGTTCAGAAATTTAAATTTAAATCAATAAAGTGCGAATTAATGAGCTGATGTCACCCGTCTGCCATTTTATCTTATGGGACGTCTGTCACTGAACAACACCACTTGCGACGTTGCCAATTCTACCAGGCCGCGGCCTGTAGTTAAAGGCGGCCGTGCAGTAACCCAATTCTTGAGTTATTTTAAATCGTTTAATTCCTAACATCTGCCTCTCTAATAAGTAAATGAAAATAATATGTCAAATCCAAGTCTAAGTAAGAAGTTTTACTCATTCATTCATTCAAATAAGTTGTTTTTGCTAACAAGAGGGTAAGTTTTCATTCTTAAGTTATTTTGCGATCAGTTTGTTTCTAAGCGAGACTAAATATTACCATAGATGAAACTAAATTAGGCCTACGAACACATTTCTCAGAATAGAATTTTAAGTCCAAAAGCAGTAGCCAAAATACAATTAATCTACCCTGGTTAAGATAAGTACGGTACCAAAAGACATTTTCAATTCAGTTGGGTGTCATTTTGCAGCCTTATGTGAACACTCATGTATTCATTGATCTAAAAGTAAAATGTCCTCGGCCAACAGAAGTAGAAGTGACCCCAAACCAGGAAGGAAGTTGTGGTGTACCACTAAGTACCACAAAAATAGTCAGCAATCTCTAAAATACAGTAGTTCGTTCGATTAGAGTTGTCGTAGTTAAGGTTCGTATTTTGGTCAGTGTGCTTCAACCATTAACTAATAAGGTGTTTTGTTTACTAATACAGTAGCAATAATTAGTGTTGATTAAAATCGTCAGGTTATTTGCTTTTTTACTTTACATATCGTAATAAATGGATCACATCAGACCGAATTCATTGCGGTACCGGGTTAACAGAGTCTTCAGTTTAGGAAGTACGGAGCCGTCGAGAAACGTCAGAAATCGGCCAAGGTAGGCTCATTTGTGGTGGTAGTAAATACATGCTCATATACCTTATAGACATACAGAGTAGGTTATGATTAGAAAGTTTAAGTTTTTCAATTTTCTATTTAGTTGATAATGACTCCTGTAGAAAGAAAATGGTTGATATTTGTTCATACACACATTTTGTCCAATTATTTACCTTAAAATAATTTCTAATAATAATGTCTTTATTGCTTTTTGACAACTATACATTGTATAGCAAACGTCAATCAATACAAAAGATGCAATAAATAAGATAAAATATAATATATGTAGCTGTGTAAACTAAGGTCGGAAATTGGTTAGGTATTTATTTATAAAATCTACAGTATATTAATGTTCAATAGTTGCAATAAAACATAGTATTTTACAGTTTATGGCTACAATATCCATTTTCCAGCTTCGTATAATTTCCTCCCTTGACAACATACAAATTAAGCTTGTTAAAAAGTTTGTCCCGAGATTTCTGTTGACAATGGAAATTTATATTATCATTGCAACTTTTACTGTATTGTGTGACATGAAATGTTGGTACATACATACATAATTTCGCATAATTATCGCTTTTTCTCCTAAAATGAAGATAATAGTACTTTAAGTAATGATTAAATTTGTATTCATATTATTGTATAAAACCGTCTAAACTATATTTTTACATCATACCCACTACAACCAAGACACTTGATCGTATGTTTATAACCATATAACTGGGACACTTTTCTAAAATTAGCATTTTAATTATAGATTTCTCATTAACTAATACATACGTTTAACTTATTTGTTTAAACAATGAGAAACTAGTTCTACTCTGATACTATTTTTATTCTGATACAAATTTAGGGTTAAATTATGTCCATCCTGAATATCATTGCTTTGATTGTTCGTTGTTAAGACGTGAAAAGTCTAAACATTTTCAATTAAGCCATATTGCAGAGCACTAAGATAAATACGAGGCAAAATCATTAAACTAAAGTTAAATCTAGAGACAGGAAAACTGTGGTATTTAGTTTGATTATGAAACACATGCCTGTGAGCAGTAAGGTTTAAAAGTTATTGTATCGTTGTATTTTAAAATAAAAAAGGTCAAATGGTTCTAGTTTATTTGTTAATGCGTAATTTGCTGTAATAAAGGTTTTAAGCATATTACATGGATTTAAAACATGTTTTCTCAGCCTAATCGATAAAGGTTTCTTCAATGGAAGGTGCCAAAAGACGTTGTAAATGTCACTCGTCCGTTATTTTCATAGTTTAACAGATCCAACAGATTTAAAATTAATTATTCAACTTATCATCAATACAGTATGATTGTCAATTGCTCGGGTTTCGTTAAGCAAGAACTGCCTTAATCTATAATGTAGTTTTAGTTAAAAGTTAAACTGATGAAATGATTGATTATAGGGGTATTCATTGTATCATACGGTTTCAAAAAATATAAAGTATTAAAATAATCAATTTGTTTGCTTGATTTCTTTAATCATTAACTTAAATAATTTGATCGAAAACTCAGATTCAGGATAATTTAATTTTATAAAAAGTTTGTGTTTCACAGAATCAAAGGCAAACCTACAACAATAAATCTGACTAGTGGCCTATAGGGGCCACCTAATAGGACTAATAACCAAATAGTCCCTAATTTAGACTACAATAAAAAAAAAACATATATAAAATGACAAATATTCGAAATAGGCCTATGTTTTTAAAGTTATCAATTTTACGTTAGTTAAAATTAACAGTGTTTTTTTGTTTTATATCTTAGTTTTCCTTCCGTTGGAGTCGTACATTAGTTGCTTCTGATGTGTCAATGAAATACAATTGTAAAATCCTATACTCTAATACGAGCAATGTTTGCTTGTATGTATGTATGCTTGCTTGCAAAAAAGATCTCGAAAATGGCTCCGACGATTTTCTTCAAATGTTGTAAATAGTTTATTTCTGGCCTAAAAACGAGTTTACTGCAGTTAGAACTGCCAACAAAAATCTAATTACGTAGAAAAATGAAACTGAAAATCACATTTTTTTAACATTAGTCTTATGGGTTGCTAGGTAACCATGTTGGCTGAATTAAATAACAAGAAAAAAGTAAACAAAAGACTTGAAGTTGTAGCATGTGTTCATAATAAGCTAACTACCCACAGTATACTAGCAAATTACAAATACAGTACAAAAGGAAAAACATCACTTGTTGTTAATATTTAGCAAAGATTATACTGAAGATTACTCGATACATTGTAGTCAAGGGTAGCAGTGCGAAGTCTGGGATCTGTTTATGACGATTAGATAAGGGTATGGGCAACCCTAAAATGCTATGGGAAGGGAAGGAAACAGGTCCTCGACGTAGGAAGTGGTGAAGGTAGTAGTCAAGGCGAGTTGTCCG